ACGCGTAATTAGCATCGCAATTTCCCATCCTGATAGCTCCTACGGTTGAATCAGTACCAATCGCTGGATAGTCAGTCTGAGACCAATTGAATCGATACCTAGCAAATCCATCGCCACCTCCCTTTACGTGCATGAAATTATTCGCCCATACCTCTCCGCCTGAGTGAATGGATGCTTCTGGCGACCATGTACTCATACCAATTCCCAGTCTTCCTGAGCTGTTTAGATAAGCTTGAGTTGTGTTTCCAACCATGAACCTTAGCGGGTCGCTCGTAGTGGTGCCTAGAGCTACACCACTACTTCCTCCCGCGACATCGTTGTATACCTGAATTTCAAATTCGATTGGAGTAGTAGCATCGTTGGCTATACGCATTGCGCGTTGCCAAGACCCGCTTAGTAAATTCGCGCTCGAAACTATATCTATTTTTGCAGTACTGGTAGCTGATCCAAAGCAAATGTATCCTGCTTGAGTGATTCTCATACGTTCAGTCATTGGTGATAATGCATTAGCTCCTGACCGTGTACTGATTGCAAAATCAGCCATTGAATATTGAAGACTCGTAGCGGTTCTAGTACAATATAGATTAACGCTAGGGGTGTACGTTGTCATATCACTAGTACCTTCAATCGTGAACGATAATCCGGCCTGAGCGCCAACCGTATTGCTTTGATTACGAATCATGAGATTAAAATCAGAGGCACGCGTTGTTGATGTAAATGATGTCCCGGCCGCAATCTGACATTGGGTAGAAGTAGTGGATATCAGATTGGTTGACGTTAGAGATGAGATACCTGATGAGATGCTACTATAAGAGTCTAGTACACGAGCCTTTGATGCTTCTGCAGTTCCTGTTCCGGTGGTAAGATCTAGATAGTTCAGCTCAGCGGTAGATGCTGTGCATCCAGCAAGCTTGTTCAGCTCCGCACCTGTAGCATTGAGAGTATCTCCCCTGAGTTGAAGCGTAGTAGGATTGATATTCAAGGTCGTTGCATTCATAGTTTGAGTACCTGACTTACTAATCGTATCACATGTGATCGTAGGCGATGATATTGAAGTCGAAGCTATAACGTTTCGTGATATGGTTAGATCGCGAATGCCTGAGTAATCCTTCGTACTATTGAGAACCACAACGCTACTGGCTGAAGCGCCCCCTTCGATAACATTGAGAAAGTAACTGACTCCATCCCAAAAGTTCAGATTCGGAATGAATAAACCGGTTCCACCAGCGCTAAGGGTTAGATTGCTAAGCGTACCTAGACAAGTAATATTAGGCTGAGCAGCGGTTTGTAGCGTTCCTGTTATCGACGTCGCTGTGAGCGAGCTCAGGGTTCCTAGGCTGGTAATGTTGGGCTGAGCAGCTGTTGTTAGCGTACCCGATACATTACCCGAGCAATTTACAGCGGTTAGAGTACCTAACGATGTTATATTAGGCTGAGCAGCAGTCTGTAGCGTACCAGTAATGTTAGTTGCCGTTAGCGAGCTAAGACCTGTAATGGATCGACTTGCACCAGTAAAGGTTATACTGCCTCCGATCGTCAATCCAGTAAGCGTACCTAAGCTGGTGATATTTGGTTGAGCAGCCGTCGCTAGCGTTCCATTGATGTTTCCACTCACGGTGAGCGACGAGAGTGTCCCTACACTAGTTGCGTTGGTCTGAGCAGCAGTTGCCAATGTACCAGATATGTTTCCACTCACGGTGAGGGACGATAGCGTGCCTAAGCTAGTAATATTAGGCTGAGCCGCTGTCTGCAGCGTGCCAGTAATCGGCGTTGCCGTCAAACTACTAATAGTAGCAATTTCACCTGATGCACCAAGTACCAGAGCTTTGTTGATAGCGGCAGTACCTGGAGTAATATCAGCTACATACGTTGGTACGCCTGAAACGGAAGCACCATTAACAGTTAGGCTACTACAGCTGAGTGCTCCAAGACCGCTGATGTTCCCACCACTTCCAGGGACAAGCGCTACACCAGGTGATGCTACGCCTTGAGAGACACCGGTAATGTACGTCAAGCGATAGTCATACTTGTTCAGATAAACAGTCTGAGCATAGTCATACGTTAGAAACCCGCTGGCATCCAATTGGAGAAAGAATGCCGGATTATAAATCGGCGATGTGAATATCGGGCTAGGATAAGAAAAACCTGAACTCATCTTTGTTTGATCCTATATAGTTTAGACGACAATCATGAGCGGTATTCCAGATTTCGGAGCTTCAATCCCTAAAAAATTCAAAAGCGCCTCGATGGGTGATATTCCAGCACTTGACATCAAAGCGCTGTTTAGAATGGTGGTTCTGGGGCCATCGTTCTCAGGGAAGAACAACTTATGTATGTTCATCCTCAAGCATTCTCCTCACGTATTTGCTCATCTAACGATCATTGCTCGTAATCCTCACCAGGAGTTATATGAGTATCTTCGTGATAAGCTTGATGGCTTTATCACATTCACCGACCCTGACTCGCCTCCGAGTGTTGAATGGATACGTCATACACCAATTAATTCCAATAAGCCTGAGCTCGTCATCATCGATGACTACAGCAACGATAACCTTCTTCAGAAGAATTTGTTCTCACATTACTTCCCTAGAGGGCGCCACTTTAAGCTATCAACCATCTTCTTGAGTCACAGCTACTTCGCAACGGACAAGATGATCAGATTGAACTCAGAGTACGTAGCGATCCTGAAAGCTAATTCTAAGCGAGACCTCCAGATGGTTGTGAAAGATTTTAATATCAAGGGAGTAGATGAGCGTTCAATCATCTATTATTACAACAAAGCCACGGAGCGAAAGGGCCAAATGCTCTTCGTTGATTCGGTCAAGGGTCAGATCAGGTATAACTTCGATAGACCGATTCGTATCGAGGACTAATTCCAATTTATCAAACAAAAATATGCCTACAAACATATAATCAATATGTCCAGCTTTATCAAACTCGACAGCACCCATCTGGTACAAAATGGAACCAATTCAGCCTGGAAATACTCCTTTCCCGGATCGGCGGCTGACTTCCGCGATGTAGTATGTGACATTCAATCGATTTCGATGGATAACAGCGAATATAACATTGATTCAATGCAATTTCAGAACACAACGTTCAAAATCGAAGTACCTACGTTGCAACTACATCCACAACCAGTGTATCCCTCCCTGATGGTATTTATTCGTATGACGATATCAACCGAAGCATTCAGACTGCTCTTGTCAATGCTGGGGCGTATCTAATCGATCCGTCGGGGAATAACGTATTCTATATCAAAATGAGTGCTAACAGTGTCTATTACGCTTGTCAGCTTGATTTCTCTCCTACGCCTACAACTCTACCAACTACCGGTTGAACATGGACCAGACCTACCTCCGGTTTATACTCCTCTGGTGGTACTGGATTGCCGACTACTACTCGCGTTCCTCGACTGATCATCGATAATGCTGAATTCGGTAAAGTAGTTGGTCTCACAGCGGGTACATACCCCTCCACATCAGCTACTGTTGCAAGTGCTCAGCTATCGAACATCATTCCTCAGATTCACCCGACCAGTTCCTACATCGTTCGTTGCGATCTGATCAAAAACGAATACGTGGCTTCTGGTGATATTGTCAGTGCTTTTGATAGAGGCGATGCCGCTATTGGAAAGGTCATTTCATACAAACCGAGCCAGTATGCGTGGATGAACTGTCACAATGGCGCTCGAGCTAGTATTACACTCAGTATCTATAACCAAAATGATAAAAAAGTGATTTTCAGAGATACGTCGGTATCCACCATGCTTCTGATTCGTCCAAAAAAATAAGACGTCCAGAGAATTTTTTTAGGGCGGCTACAACGTAAACGAACCACCAGTCTTACGACGTGCCCTGAGCGCAGCCATCTTAGCCTTCATCTCTGGCGAGCCCTTCGCTGGACGTTTCTTTGCTACGCCTACACCATAGCGGCGACGAACCTCCTTTCGCACAGATCTGATTAGATCCTCATGTTCCGGCTTGGTAGCTTTTGATAGTAGGAACTTCTCTCCAGCATCGACTGCGTCGGTGATGACCCCCTTGCGCTTCGTGTATGCAAGAGCATTCTTTGCAGCCTTCTTTACGTCAGCCATTGATACGCGACCTCCTTCATTGTCGCTATCGGAATCATAAATACCAATGCCGGTTAGGGACTTGATTGCAGCTCTGGCTGGAACAGCAGCCGTTGGCTGACCAGCATAAGTAGCTAAAGCAGGAACCGCCGCATCAACGGCTCTGGATAGTAGACCTGAATCCTTAGCAAATTTGTATGCAGCCTTGATCCCTCCCCATACTTTGGACCAGATAGAGCCTCATTGAGCCTTTTTGTAGCCCTTCTTCACTTCGTGCTTGGTAATGTCGAGTCTGACACCGCGTCTAGCTTTACGAGCCTTGAGCGCCTTTTCAAACGAAGCAGGGTGGAGATGGATGACTGAACCACTACCCTTTAGTTCGCTTGAGGTGAGGCTGAGCTTACCAGTCTTGAAAGCTTTGATAAGCTTCCGCGCGGGAATATCACTGGAGATTGTTAATTCGCGATACATGATTACTATATACGTTGAATTAAATTTATTCCAGAATTGTCAAATTTAGATCTTTCATTGTTTTGAATACATTTGGCTTACGGTATTGCTTCGAATTAGCCATAGGACACAGAATGGTCCACAGTAGTCTCCATAGGTTCCTTGGTATTGCTTGGTGTTGTATCGATCGATACCATACTTCTTTGGTGGTCCTTCCCCCATACTATCGAAGAATTCACCATTATGAACCGCCGTCCAGTGTCCTACCTCAAGATTAGGAGGGCGAAGTAGAATCAGAAATGACCCTTTCTTGGGGAGATGGGACTTTATCTCATTTGATTCGAATATATTATCGAGTTGAACGTTCATTTTCTCAGCGAGTTCGATGAGATCATGATCTGAGGTGATTGGCTTGATGAGGTGCGACATATATTTAATTTTATCAAACTATATTAGGATCCATATAGATTCAACGATGAGCGAAACTCAACTATCCGATCAGTACTTATACCAGAGCTTGCTTAAGAGCGACCCGGAGATCAAGGTATCTTCGAGCAAGCGTGTACCGCACGTTATTGACCTAAATCAGGGTTCGTACCAGAATGGTGTCATCACTATCGATGCTACGGCTCAGCTTAACGGTTCCGAGGGCTTCGCAAGCCTTCGTGATGCCTACGTTATGCTTCCCTACAAGGTCTCAATGAAGAATGGTGGCACTGCTCAAACTGCCGCTGCCAATCGTCTATGTGCTACTCTAAAATGCGGAAATTGGAACGTTATTGATAGTCTGAGTCTGGAACTAAACGGAAAGACTATCGTCTCTATGGCTGACTACAAGCTCTTTTGGAACAACGTTCGTGCTCATACTGGCTACAGCCCTCAGTACGTTGAAAAGCACGGAGCTGAATCGTTCTTGTACCCTGACTCTGCTCAGTCCGTATCATACAGTTCTGGATCCGCATCTACCAGTGGTGATGGATATTCAAACACCATGGCATTCTCGTCTTCCTTTGCTGTCTCGGCTCCTCCTGGTGGTGCAACTATTCCAAATGATGGTTTCGTTAAGCGCCTTCTATCGAATCCTCCTACGGCTGGCGCTGACTTCTCCAGCTCGTGGCCGTCGGTAGGTGGTGCTGCTGCATCGACTACCATTTCTAACCAGACCTCGCGTGGAGCTTTCGTAGCTGGTGGTACTGCTGCTAACGCAATCATGGGAACGTGGAACTACATGCTTAAGATTAAGCTCACCGATCTGCATCCTATCTTCCGTGAGCTTGACTTGATGACTAACCCTCAAATTCGCCTGCGTTTCCGTGTGAATCAGGGAACGTCTGTAGTCGCGGTAGATGCTTTAAAGGGTATGTCTCTAACCTCTACTACTCTATCGTCTGATAATAGTTGTCCGGTCATTATTGCCGCTTCTGCTACCGGTAATCTGATGAGTGGTGTGCTTGCCGCATCTGCTGGCTTTAGTGTTGCTTGGGGAGCGGTTGTAAATGCTCTTGAACCTACCATCGATGGTACATACATGCCTTTTACTACTGCTCGTTTGTATGTCCCTTTCGTTCATCTTGAGAACCCTCAAGCTATTATCTCTGAGCCGGTTAAGAAGGTTCGCTACAATGACTGCTACGCACAGTGGTTTTACCAGCGTGCTGGTATTGGTAAGTCCTCGACTCAACTAAATGCTTCTTTCGATCTACAGCTATCGGCAAGTGTTAAAAACGCGAAATATGTTGTGCTTTTACCATTCGCGGAACAGACAAACAATTTTGTTTCTGCTACTGTTCAGCAGTTCCAGAGCCCCTTCGATAGCTCTCCATACACGCTTAAGCCCGGGGCGTCGATTCGCAACTTTAACGTTCGTATTGGCTCGACTCATGTGTTCGATATCAGTCATGACTATGATTTCCACCACTTTACCAACGAAATTGCTAAGATTTCAGCGATTAACGGAGATCTAACCCCTGAGCTCGTAAATGGTCTACTTGACTATCAGACGTGGTCGCTCACAAACCGCATGCTTATTGCCGATGTCAGTCGCCTGACTGAGCGCGATGTACCTCAGGCTATTCAGATCCAAGGTACGAACGCTGGATGCCAAGGTGTGAATATGCTGATCCTCGTAATTAGCGAACAGGAACTAACGTTCGATAGACTAACCGGGGAGGTTCTTGACTTCACTACAGCCTAAGTAAAAAAAGATATTTTAGTTCAGTTCCTTGAGCAGCTTTGGACACTTGTCAATCACGAATTGACTTTTTCTTAGCCAATCGAGGTAGCCTGGATCCAATTTACTAATCTGCTGTAAAGATTTGCCTCGATACTTACCCCACGTCATCATATAGGAGTTATCGTTATTTAGGAATCTTGAGTGAAGAAAGATTTTCATTTCCTCGCTAATGTTGAGACTGGGCTGGTTGTGAATCCAACGACAGTATCCAGGATCATTCTTGAATATATCCTCAATGGATTGACCTTTGTATTTTCCGAAAGATAGTTCGATCGTCATGTTCTATGTGTGGGTATCTATATACATAGCCTCTTAATTTTTTTGAGAAAAATATTAATTCTGAAAATGACTTTGTAAGGTGCCAGTAATTATTGCGAGTCGAGCTGATTCAAATTCGAGATGAAGACTGAATGGGGTTCGTTCTGATAACTTAAAGCTCTTTAAGCAATATGGAGCTATCTAGAGGTGCTGTCGATTTATTTACTAATTTTATGAAGGTGTGCTCTTGAACGAGTCTAGTTAGTAAATTACGGTAAGAAATGGGGAAAATAAAAAACTGCCGGCGTAATGTGCCGCGACCCACTACTCTCAAGTTCCCGACAGGCCTTGTAGCTCGACGATACAATGGTGGCAGGATCTGGCTGTGCGTGGAGAACTCGACCGTGACGAAGGCTTTCGGAGTGGGTGGCAAGTAGAGCGAGAAGCTGCAGCAGCAGTAGTCGATCGATCCACATGGCGGTCTGTTTTAACTCGACCACCCAGCAGACAAGAAGCAAAATCTGAAATGGAGGCCAAGTGGCCATGCATCGAGAAGGAAGTGGGACCAAGACCCGCCAGGACCTGCATGACCGCGCCGGTTCCTTTAGCTTCGCCCCCGTCTTTTACTTTGTACTACCTGGCTATACTTGCTACCGCCTCTGCGGTTTGGCAACACCACAACCATCTTGGACCACACATGTCCTGGCTGTACCCCTTGTGGAACAACAACATTGTAATTGCCGCTGAAGTTCGAGTATTTAGGTTTTGCAACGGCGTCTTCTTCCATCCTTGCAGTCATATTAATAGTGATCTCAAGCCTCGAGCAATCGCCGGTCGGTTTTGGCTCCGTTGGTTTATTCAATTGGCCAACATTTGAATACTTTTTAAATGATGGCAATGCCAAACTTACAATACAAAAATACGGCAAGGAATCGTGCCGCGACACATTCATACCGCATGAGGGTATTCGGTACGGGGAAGTGATCGTAGTACCGTAGATACCGTAACTTAACAGTAAATACGTTTGACTCCCAAATTCTTTTTTCTTTTAACTATTAAATAACGTTATTGAGAAAAAAGGGAAAAAATAAAATGCCACACAAATGTTGCCCGTTTTTTTACTAGTATGTCACGGTGGGTACACATTGGAAAGCTATTAGAGGGCATGCAGTATACGTTAGAAAAAAGTTTACAGTATGTGTTGCATAGTTCAACGCTGAAATTGAATTTCAGATGTTTTCCATGGGCATGAAGTTTGTATTGAGACATCTAACATAATAGTGTCTGAGAATAGCCGATGTGCCCCAATGCTATCAGGACAGCGGGGGTGCTTCACTTTGGTTGCCAGGCTTATTGAAACTTGTTGAAACTAACATGGGATAGTTCTTGGTGTTGGGTCTTGTGACAGTACTGTCGACCCTAAAGCTGCAAGACATCATGGACCACAACGGCCCATCGCAAGCCTTAATATACTCAAATTTAGTTTGCGATGGACCGTTGTGGCATTCGACTCTAATATTATAATTAGCGTTGAGGTCATGCTCTTGTATCTAATTTAGAGGCGGTCGTCGTCCAGTTCAAGCAATCAATAATAGTTCCGACTTAGCAGTTTCAATTCATGGCAAACCAAAAGCGTGTGCTGGCGATTGCTTGGTGAAGTAGAGCCGGAGCGTGTAGGCTTGATTTGAGGACTGGAATATTTGAGGGAGAAAAAGCAAAGTGAGTGAGGGGCTACTTCTTCCTGCCACTGCTGCGGTCAGCATTTATACTGGCGTGCAAACCATATTTGGATTGCACTAGCGTCGGGGGCATGTTTGGAAGATGTATAGAATGTCGTCGACACAACAAGTTACAAACCGCTTTAGCAGACCAGAAGAAAACGGCAAGTCGCTATCTTGTCCTCTTACTAAATTCGTGTTGGTTGCGACCTCCTATAAATATTGAGGTACTTGGCCTGAATGGGACCATGACGTAGGTTTATCTGGTCCATCATGAGACCATGAGCGGCATTGCAAGTGTAACTAGCTTCTTATCTTGCCCAGCTCGTGGGGCAGATCGTATTGCTCCGCTGCGTTCGTTCGCCCGCGGGAACTGGAAGTTGACTCCGTGCTGGCCGACAGCAGCTAACCGAGCTACTGCGCCGGATCGTCCGTACACACACGAACGTATCCAATTTTATTAAGGAGGCTAGATTACTCAATAGTCCTCAGCCAACTCGTAGCTATCAGCCCACAGCCAACAACTAGAGCTAAGTACACTCAGTCAATACACAGAGAGTTCACCCACGCACGCGAGCTACTAACCCTCCAGTAGTAGCGGAACGCCTGTCGACACTCCACCACCACCTGTCCGTCACTCGTCCAGAAGGAGCTGTCGCCCCCAGCAAGAGCTTTCGCCCTCGTACTTCGTTCAGCGAGAGCTTTCGCCCTCCTTCGTTGTCCGGCAACCCGTCACCAGGCCACCCAACTCGTAAGTGCTCGCTTGCTCCAAGCGCGCTAATTCTCAACCGCTTGCGCCTCACCGCGCAAATTTCCAACTCCCCCGTCCTCACTCGTTCGCCACCGCTCGTTCTCCTCCAGCCCGAAGGCCAGCTCGCACTGCCGACCCTTCGGCTTCGAGATCTTCTTCTTCGTCAGCCACTCCCAGCCGTCCGTTCCGGCTGCCACTGCTCTCGGAGCGACCGTTCGCTCCCAAGATCGCGTTCGTGCGGCTCTCCGCACCCACCGTCGTCTGGATCTCGCGACCCACCAGCGCGCACCCATGCCAGCCGCTCTCGTCCGCCATGCCCCACTCGTCGCCCGACTCGTACGACCAGCTGTCGCTGCTCGCCTTCCGTGGTCACCACGCCGTGACCGCCATCTGCCCATGTCCTGTTACAAAAGTATATAACCCCCACACGATCCACACAGAGTGCATGGCGCTAAGTAATGAAACTAGGCGTTGTTCGCCAGTATAACCCCTCCCCAGAAAGCAGTTCCCCACTCACTTTTGCTTTTGCCCCCTCAAGTTCTTCAGTCCTCAAGCCTACACACTCAAGCTCTATTTTGCCAAGCAACCGCCGGCACAAGAAGGCATGATGCGACTGCATTTATGCGCCACTCTGCCTATCCTGCTCTGCCTTGCAGCTACCGCGGATCCGGAGAGCTACAGCGGAAGTGGATCAGCTCGCGACAATGCTGGTCACGACGCAGGGGTAGTGTATCTACCGGCGGAGAGTATCCAGCACGAGCTATTGAACACGACCGGGCTCGTACCCGACTCCCTGGTCTCGGTGACCGCTAGCAACGAGGCGTTGAAGGACGAATCCCCTGGTCTGGCTGGCGTGACGGCTCCTAACACGACTGTGTATTCGTCCGTGCTGATCGTCCCAGCGAAAGCTTCGACGGCGACGACTACCGCAGTCTCGGGCACGCATGAAGCAGCATCCGCCGATGCGTCGTCTGGACACACACAGCTCACGTACAACTGCACGTCTGCAGCGAACCTTTGGAACCTGCAGGAGGACCCGAGTGTCGTGAAATTGGAGAGCTTTCAGCAGTTCTCAAGCAACCCAAGCGCCAGCAACTCGACAGAGAATACCCGCGAGATCGTGGCCGTCGCCTCGATCGAAGTCTCCAACTGCGCCACCGTTCAGAATACGGCTGTCGGTCGACCAGTGCTGGGGGACGCTTTCTTCGGCGCGGAGTTCAGCAGCGACCCCGCCTACTTCTCCACAGTGAGCGCTTGTGGCACGGGCATATCCACACCAGGGGGTTGCCTGCTTCGACGCGGGCCAACTTCTCTGAAGTGTATCCAAACTGCAAATTACGTTCCAGTCGACTGACTTGGATAGCCTCATGCACTCCAACGTGTCCGCAACAACTGGGGAAGGTAACAAGACCCGCCGCCTCGAGTTGGGCGCTTTCGGCTTCGTGGAAGACCCATACTGCGTGTACGGGTGCGGAGAAGTAGGCGCAGCTCCGGGTGAGTGCGTGGTGGATGTGGTTGACGGTAAAGCCATTACGACGTCGTGTCAGCTTCAGTGCTACGATCAGAATCCCTTCTGCAACCATGAATGCGGCAACAAAGTCGGCAAGCTAGATCTACTCCCCGCCAGCGAGTGCTACTATTGCGAAGATGATTATTTTGATGACTGTGATGACGGGCTCAGTCGTGCGAGCTGGGATACGTGTTGCGTCACGATATCCTGCGAGCCCGTCGATGACACGACCGTGACGAACCCGAAAGGACTCACGTGGAATTTACAAAGCGATGGGGAGACCCTCATTAACCCGTCGTACGTGATATACCAAGATGGAGATTGCTCCGACCCGACCGACTTCTCGAGTGATTGCTGCAGTATTTCGTGTGAAGACTGCTACGTCAGCATTTCAGTCGTGTCGCTCTTTCTAAGGAAGTCGTGCGAGGTGGCGCGAAGAGCAGTACATTCGAAAGCCCAGCCTTGAGGAGGCGCCTTGAGAGCCGCGCGCAGATCATCGGAGGTGCGCGGCGGCTTGAGAGGTGGCTACCCCACCATAAGGGCTTGCTTTTGAAGGAACTGCTCTTGCGTACATACATTAGAAGACAAACAGAGTAGTTAGTTGTTTGAGACCGCATACTTACCTTTAGCCGACCGTGGCAGCACCGACAATGGCGACCGTGCCCTTCGCCGACAGTGGCGCTCAGGCGAAGCCGACGGTGGCTTCCGTGTCCTGCGCCGACAGCGGCGTCCAGACCATTCCCTGCACCGACAGCGGCGTCCCGGAACATGCCGACCGTGGCAGGCATGACCGGTGTGTGCTGGCCAAACATTCCCATAGCGGCGGTACCCTTGCAGACGTCCGTCGGAGATCAGGCGCATCGGCGCCGCTTGTGAATCTGCTCGCGCGACGTCGCCGCTGCCTGGTCTCCGGCCGAGGAGGGTCTTGCCACGAAGCGCCACGGACGCGTGCCCACGCCGATCACCCTCCGCCGTCTGCGTCTTGATCCCGCGCTTGTCCGTCGCCGCCCACATCCAGTCATGGACCCGTAGCCGCCCGAGGAGAAATCGTTGGCGAGAGCGAGTTCGCTACCCCACGTAGCAAAAGCGAGCGAGGTCTCGACGGCGACCCCGCTGCTCTTCTCCTCGGCGCAAACTACGAATGCTACTGCTCTAACTACTGGCGGTAAACCTTGCGGTTGGTGGGGCTCTGCTCCGCCACCCGCTGGACTAAATTCCGCCCTACATACGGTCACCTGCCCATCTAACTTCATGGCCGCCGTCGTCGTACGTGTCGCTCGCCGTAGCCGAGTCCGTCGTCGAGGCGTGGATGCTTGACCTCTTCCGTCTTCCAGAAAACATAATTATCGCCTCACAGGCTCGTCGATAATTCCTTATACGCCGACATTGGCACGTACGGCATCAGCGACTTCTCTACATCGTCTGAGATCAAGCTGAGCGGCAACTCGTACCTGCGGGTCAAGGGTTTTGCTCCAAATGGCTGCAACATCGAAGACGTGCACAATACCATCGACGAAACTGCGACCATACCCTTGTATGCTGGGATTGCTGTGGAAGTCGAAGTGCAGCTCGATATCCTGTGGAGACTCTCGCGCCAACCTCACGGCACCAGCGTGGAATTCGGCGCCAGCACAGAGATTGAAGGCGTCACTGCGGGATATCTCAACTCCGGTACACCCGTCAGCGATTTAGAGCAGAGTGGCATCGACATCGAGCTGGAAGTGGCTGCAATTCCTACCGTCAGGGCGTCGCTGTCTTTATTGGGCGGCATCGAAAATCGGCGTCAAGACCAGCTACGCCATCTCCGCTGAGCTGAGAGCGTTCATCCAATTCCCAGAACCCGTTTCAGCGTTGCTGACGGAATATCTTGACCCAGAATCGTATTTCCAGTATGGCGATTGCAGTTTGCCCCACTTCATGGAATTCGCCGGGTACGCCGGGTTCAAGGACGTCACCATCTCGATTCCCATGTCTCTGAATATTCCCTTCGTAATCACCAAAACCTACGAGCCCTCGGCGAATGCAGGCAGTTTGATCAAGAGTATTTTCAGCGGGTGCATCGCAACGGCGTAGATGCAGAGATGCTGCTGTCAACGGCAATAAACGCAGTTTGGTATATTTCTGATGAAAAGCGACGGAAGCTGAAGACGATAATCATGTGGCTGCTCGGCATCTCTGAGATTGACCCCGACTTCCTTTCAATTGACTCCGTTTCATCGAGCACGGGCAAGATTTCGATTAGGATCTCAGTGCCGCCGTCTGTCGCCAAGGTTTACCCCGAAGCCTCAGATCTGCAGACAGTGCTGTATGAACGGGCCAGAACTGTGAGCTTCTCGAACGCCATTTCCAACTACGTAGGGCTGGATTTGAGTGCGCAGTGCGACTCTGGCTCGTGGGGCTCAACCTGTGACCATTCGTGCGAACTTAGTCAATGCATCAAGGCCAAATGTAATCCTGTGGATGGCGTCACTATCTCGTGTTCGTACTGCGAGAGCGGCTACTGGGGGCCAACCTGCAAAGAGCGCTGCGACCTACCGACGCACTGTGCTAGTGCGTGGTGCCCTCAGTACAGTGGGGCTGTATCCGAGTGCTGGACCTGAGAGGAAGGCTGGGAAGATGATCTTTGCGAAATGAGCGCGCCCATTTCTTTTCCGGGTTCGAGTGGAGATTCATCGAGCTCAACGTCGTCGGGCTCGACGGACAGCACGCCGACACCGACAAACAGTGCCAACACTGGGACTCAAACCAATTATGCGTGCACATGGACACCGAATGGTCCGCTGCTGTGGCTCCTTCAAGTCTTCACTTCGGCCTCGGGCTTGATTTGGCTGCTCTAATACGGCATTCCATGCATTTAACATGCTCACCAGCAAAACAACGACATGTATCGTAAGCACTTCATTTTAATAAATACATCGCTGCCCAAACTCATGCATTGGTTGAGCAGGATGCACCGCGCTAGGCTTCATCCAATGGTGGTGCATTCGTCATCTTCATTAGTTTAGCTTAATGAACTCAATATACCTCACCTGAAAAATGAATGAAAATGCATTCATCATTTGGATCATATAAACTAGAGTTATCAAGTATTAATCCAAAACTAGAGCATTATAATATTCCGAATCAGAAGTGGAAGTTTTTAGTATTCACTCGATTTATGCAATTTGTATCATATACTCCAACCTAGTACAGGGACTGGAACCCGCTTCGGGGACTTGAACCCGCTTCAGGGAATCGAACCCGCTTCAGGGACTTGAACCCACTACAAGGACTCGAACCCTCTCTGTGTTTCAGGGACTCGAACCCATATGTGGGGACTCGAACCCGCCAGATATATTACCGCGACCAGAACCTGTTGCTGCTGTTCACCGGGACTTGAACCCATCCGTGGGGCCATCCTCCGCTTTCAGTCCACATTGCACACGAAACACTCGCCGGCTACTAATATCCACACTTCTGTATCGCACGTCCTTCAGAGCTCAGGACTCGAACCCGACTCAACTTTGGGGACTCAAACCCAGTGATGGAGTTTGGCACTTTCAGATTCACAGTTGGTTGGAGACCTGTTCGTGCAGTTGGGGTTACGCAGTGTGGATCTCGCAACGACATGTGTCATGTTGTATTTCCAGATTTTATCAACAATCTTCCAGCGCTACGCGCCTGCTACCATCGAGGACGATGGTTAATCTGGAAGAGGGGAGTAAGCGAATGGGGTTTTAGCGGACGTCGGCAGACACCTCATCGGACAAGTGCTCAAGCACGAGGACTAACCCATGGTGGACGACGACTACCTGCTGACGAACGAAGCGTACGTAGTGGTGGACGTCAAGTACTCGATGAAGGACAAGCGCTCAGTGGTCGACAAGAACCCGATGATGGACGAGCTCTCGCTGACGGACAACTTGCTGACGGACGAGCACTCGTTGATGAACAACTACGCGGTGGTGGGCAACTACCCGATGGTGGCCAACTACCCGCTGTCGGACAGCTAGTCGCTGATGGACGAGTACTGACCGGTGGATAAGAACTCACCGGTGGACAAGCACTCGTCGGTGGACAAGGTGAACAAGTACTTGGTGGCGGCGGACCCGTACACGGTGACGGACTACGAGGACGGTAACTTCAACTACGCGTACACCAACTACACACAACTGGATCCAGCGGATCTGGATCCAGGCGACTGCTCAGTCTTGGATTTGCTCGGTGTTGCTCTCGGACGAATGCCGGAAGCAGAACAAGGACGCGGTGACGAAGCAGCAGACTCAGCCAGTGTCCAAGTAGAAGCAATCGCTAATAAAAGTTGGGGCTGCGCGAGTGGCTCCGGCGCAGGGACGTCAGTTGAGTCCCTGTTGCCAGTGGTTGTTGACCTCTTTGTGCGTATGTATAGAGGACGACGCCTGTTGCTATACGACCATGAACGAGTACCGAAGCAAGTACTGCGCACGAAACAAGCAGCCGCTTTCTTGGTGGTCATACAGGGGCGAATCAACACGGTCGGCGCACGCGATAGTGCGTCGTCACGAGACTTCGCTTCAGTGGGCTCGAACCGAGGCGCAGCGCTGACGAAGTGCTGCGATTGCGTTGATGAGCTGGAGGTATATGGCCTGGAGATGACGCCTGGAGTCAATGATTGGAGGTGTTGTAGTGCAGTGGATTCCTGTGGAGTTTGCTGACTTTGTTCGTGGAGTTGGAGTGGAGTTAGTGTGAATTGATGAACTTGTGGCGATGTGCAGCGTGCTGGTGAAGGACTTTGAAGGCGAGCGAATGCGACGAGCTGACGGGTGGCGAGGTGATGAGTCGAAAGCACAGATTGAGTAACCACCGGACTGAAGAGGGCTAAGATGCAAGAGGCCACTCGAGTCGACGGACTCTCCGCTTATGCGGATTGAGATCGAAGATGGAGAGGAGGTGGTGAGCCGAGGAGCCAGCCAGTGTTGAGGTCTCTGTGTGACTTGTTGACTGGCTACACTGAGGTTTGGAGCGGACGTGAGTCCGAGGAGGCTGGAAGCATGGCTGTGTGGCGAAGTTGACGATTACATGGCTTGGTGACGAACTGGGGGTGGATTGCCTGCGCCAAGGACTGGAGACCCGGGAGGCGATGATAAAGATTATCGAGAAAATTGATCGTACTTGTGTCGCGCGTCCTTCTGTGGTTCGAGTCCACCAGTGGTTTGAGTCCACAGAAGCTGCAGCGGGTTCAAGTCCCAAAGCAATATCTGCGGGGTTTAAGTCCCCACGGATGGGTTCGAGTCCCAGTCAAATGATGCGTTGGGTTCGAGTCCCAGTGGAATGCAGAGACGGGTTCGAGTCCCCACAGATGGGTTCAAGTCCCGGTGAACAGCAGCAACAGGTTCTGGTCGCGGTAATATATCTGGCGGGTTCGAGTCCCCACATATGGGTTCAAGTCCCTGAAACACAGAGAGGGTTCGAGTCCTTGTAGTGGGTTCAAGTCCCTGAAGCGGGTTCGAGTCCCTGAAGCGGGTTCAAGTCCCCGAAGCGGGTTCCAGTCCCTGTACTAGGTTCGAGTCCTTGTACTGGGTTTGAGTCCCCAAAGTTGAGTCGGGTTCGAGTCCTGAGCTCTGAAGGACGTGCGATACAGAAGTGTGGGTATCAGTAGCCGGCGAGTGTTTCGTGTGCAATGTGGACTGAAAGCGGAGGATGGAGTTTGGCACTTTCAGATTCACAGTTGGTTGGAGACCTGTTCGTGCAGTTGGGGTTACGCAGTGTGGATCTCGCAACGACATGTGTCATGTTGTATTTCCAGATTTTATCAACAATCTTCCAGCGCTACGCGCCTGCTACCATCGAGGACGATGGTTAATCTGGAAGAGGGGAGTAAGCGAATGGGGTTTTAGCGGACGTCGGCAGACACCTCATCGGACAAGTGCTCAAGCACGAGGACTAACCCATGGTGGACGACGACTACCTGCTGACGAACGAAGCGTACGTAGTGGTGGACGTCAAGTACTCGATGAAGGACAAGCGCTCAGTGGTCGACAAGAACCCGATGATGGACGAGCTCTCGCTGACGGACAACTTGCTGACGGACGAGCACTCGTTGGTGAACAACTACGCGCTGGTGGGCAACTACCCGATGGTGGCCAACTACCCGCTGTCGGACAGCTAGTCGCTGATGGACGAGTACTGACCGGTGGATAAGAACTCACCGGTGGACAAGCACTCGTCGGTGGACAAGGTGAACAAGTACTTGGTGGCGGCGGACCCGTACACGGTGACGGACTACGAGGACGGTAACTTCAACTACGCGTACACCAACTACACACAACTGGATCCAGCGGATCTGGATCCAGGCGACTGCTCAGTCTTGGATTTGCTCGGTGTTGCTCTCGGACGAATGCCGGAAGCAGAACAAGGACGCGGTGACGAAGCAGCAGACTCAGCCAGTGTCCAAGTAGAAGCAATCGCTAATAAAAGTTGGGGCTGCGCGAGTGGCTCCGGCGCAGGGACGTCAGTTGAGTCCCTGTTGCCAGTGGTTGTTGACCTCTTTGTGCGTATGTATAGAGGACGACGCCTGTTGCTATACGACCATGAACGAGTACCGAAGCAAGTACTGCGCACGAAACAAGCAGCCGCTTTCTTGGTGGTCATACAGGGGCGAATCAACACGGTCGGCGCACGCGATAGTGCGTCGTCACGAGACTTCGCTTCAGTGGGCTCGAACCGAGGCGCAGCGCTGACGAAGTGCTGCGATTGCGTTGATGAGCTGGAGGTATATGGCCTGGAGATGACGCCTGGAGTCAATGATTGGAGGTGTTGTAGTGCAGTGGATTCCTGTGGAGTTTGCTGACTTTGTTCGTGGAGTTGGAGTGGAGTTAGTGTGAATTGATGAACTTGTGGCGATGTGCAGCGTGCTGGTGAAGGACTTTGAAGGCGAGCGAATGCGACGAGCTGACGGGTGGCGAGGTGATGAGTCGAAAGCACAGATTGAGTAACCACCGGACTGAAGAGGGCTAAGATGCAAGAGGCCACTCGAGTCGACGGACTCTCCGCTTATGCGGATTGAGATCGAAGATGGAGAGGAGGTGGTGAGCCGAGGAGCCAGCCAGTGTTGAGGTCTCTGTGTGACTTGTTGACTGGCTACACTGAGGTTTGGAGCGGACGTGAGTCCGAGGAGGCTGGAAGCATGGCTGTGTGGCGAAGTTGACGATTACATGGCTTGGTGACGAACTGGGGGTGGATTGCCTGCGCCAAGGACTGGAGACCCGGGAGGCGATGATAAAGATTATCGAGAAAATTGGTCGTACTTGTGTCGCGCGTCCTTCTGTGGTTCGAGTCCACCAGTGGTTTGAGTCCACAGAAGCTGCAGCGGGTTCAAGTCCCAAAGCAATATCTGCGGGGTTTAAGGCCCCACGGATGGGTTCGAGTCCCAGTCAAATGATGCGTTGGGTTCGAGTCCCAGTGGAATGCAGAGACGGGTTCGAGTCCCCACAGATGGGTTCAAGTCCCGGTGAACAGCAGCAACAGGTTCTGGTCGCGGTAATATATCTGGCGGGTTCGAGTCCCCACATATGGGTTCAAGTCCCTGAAACACAGAGAGGGTTCGAGTCCTTGTAGTGGGTTCAAGTCCCTGAAGCGGGTTCGAGTCCCCGAAGCGGGTTCCAGTCCCTGTACTAGGTTCGAGTCCTTGTACTGGGTTTGAGTCCCCAAAGTTGAGTCGGGTTCGAGTCCTGAGCTCTGAAGGACGTGCGATACAGAAGTGTGGGTATTAGTAGCCGGCGAGTGTTTCGTGTGCAATGTGGACTGAAAGCGGAGGATGGAGTTTGGCACTTTCAGATTCACAGTTGGTTGGAGACCTGTTCGTGCAGTTGGGGTTACGCAGTGTGGATCTCGCAACGACATGTGTCATGTTGTATTTCCAGATTTTATCAACAATCTTCCAGCGCTACGCGCCTGCTACCATCGAGGACGATGGTTAATCTGGAAGAGGGGAGTAAGCGAATGGGGTTTTAGCGGACGTCGGCAGACACCTCATCGGACAAGTGCTCAAGCACGAGGACTAACCCATGGTGGACGACGACTACCTGCTGACGAACGAAGCGTACGTAGTGGTGGACGTCAAGTACTCGATGAAGGACAAGCGCTCAGTGGTCGACAAGAACCCGATGATGGACGAGCTCTCGCTGACGGACAACTTGCTGACGGACGAGCACTCGTTGATGAACAACTACGCGGTGGTGGGCAACTACCCGATGGTGGCCAACTACCCGCTGTCGGACAGCTAGTCGCTGATGGACGAGTACTGACCGGTGGATAAGAACTCACCGGTGGACAAGCACTCGTCGGTGGACAAGGTGAACAAGTACTTGGTGGCGGCGGACCCGTACACGGTGACGGACTACGAGGACGGTAACTTCAACTACGCGTACACCAACTACACACAACTGGATCCAGCGGATCTGGATCCAGGCGACTGCTCAGTCTTGGATTTGCTCGGTGTTGCTCTCGGACGAATGCCGGAAGCAGAACAAGGACGCGGTGACGAAGCAGCAGACTCAGCCAGTGTCCAAGTAGAAGCAATCGCTAATAAAAGTTGGGGCTGCGCGAGTGGCTCCGGCGCAGGGACGTCAGTTGAGTCCCTGTTGCCAGTGGTTGTTGACCTCTTTGTGCGTATGTATAGAGGACGACGCCTGTTGCTATACGACCATGAACGAGTACCGAAGCAAGTACTGCGCACGAAACAAGCAGCCGCTTTCTTGGTGGTCATACAGGGGCGAATCAACACGGTCGGCGCACGCGATAGTGCGTCGTCACGAGACTTCGCTTCAGTGGGCTCGAACCGAGGCGCAGCGCTGACGAAGTGCTGCGATTGCGTTGATGAGCTGGAGGTATATGGCCTGGAGATGACGCCTGGAGTCAATGATTGGAGGTGTTGTAGTGCAGTGGATTCCTGTGGAGTTTGCTGACTTTGTTCGTGGAGTTGGAGTGGAGTTAGTGTGAATTGATGAACTTGTGGCGATGTGCAGCGTGCTGGTGAAGGACTTTGAAGGCGAGCGAATGCGACGAGCTGACGGGTGGCGAGGTGATGAGTCGAAAGCACAGATTGAGTAACCACCGGACTGAAGAGGGCTAAGATGCAAGAGGCCACTCGAGTCGACGGACTCTCCGCTTATGCGGATTGAGATCGAAGATGGAGAGGAGGTGGTGAGCCGAGGAGCCAGCCAGTGTTGAGGTCTCTGTGTGACTTGTTGACTGGCTACACTGAGGTTTGGAGCGGACGTGAGTCCGAGGAGGCTGGAAGCATGGCTGTGTGGCGAAGTTGACGATTACATGGCTTGGTGACGAACTGGGGGTGGATTGCCTGCGCCAAGGACTGGAGACCCGGGAGGCGATGATAAAGATTATCGAGAAAATTGGTCGTACTTGTGTCGCGCGTCCTTCTGTGGTTCGAGTCCACCAGTGGTTTGAGTCCACAGAAGCTGCAGCGGGTTCAAGTCCCAAAGCAATATCTGCGGGGTTTAAGTCCCCACGGATGGGTTCGAGTCCCAGTCAAATGATGCGTTGGGTTCGAGTCCCAGTGGAATGCAGAGACGGGTTCGAGTCCCCACGGATGGGTTCAAGTCCCGGTGAACAGCAGCAACAGGTTCTGGTCGCGGTAATATATCTGGCGGGTTCGAGTCCCCACATATGGGTTCGAGTCCCTGAAACACAGAGAGGGTTCGAGTCCTTGTAGTGGGTTCAAGTCCCTGAAACACAGAGAGGGTTCGAGTCCCTGAAGCGGGTTCAAGTCCCCGAAGCGGGTTCCAGTCCCTGTACTAGGTTCGAGTCCTTGTACTGGGTTTGAGTCCCCAAAGTTGAGTCGGGTTCGAGTCCTGAGCTCTGAAGGACGTGCGATACAGAAGTGTGGGTATTAGTAGCCGGCGAGTGTTTCGTGTGCAATGTGGACTGAAAGCGGAGGATGGAGTTTGGCACTTTCAGATTCACAGTTGGTTGGAGACCTGTTCGTGCAGTTGGGGTTACGCAGTGTGGATCTCGCAACGACATGTGTCATGTTGTATTTCCAGATTTTATCAACAATCTTCCAGCGCTACGCGCCTGCTACCATCGAGGACGATGGTTAATCTGGAAGAGGGGAGTAAGCGAATGGGGTTTTAGCGGACGTCGGCAGACACCTCATCGGACAAGTGCTCAAGCACGAGGACTAACCCATGGTGGACGACGACTACCTGCTGACGAACGAAGCGTACGTAGTGGTGGACGTCAAGTACTCGATGAAGGACAAGCGCTCAGTGGTCGACAAGAACCCGATGATGGACGAGCTCTCGCTGACGGACAACTTGCTGACGGACGAGCACTCGTTGATGAACAACTACGCGCTGGTGGGCAACTACCCGATGGTGGCCAACTACCCGCTGTCGGACAGCTAGTCGCTGATGGACGAGTACTGACCGGTGGATAAGAACTCACCGGTGGACAAGCACTCGTCGGTGGACAAGGTGAACAAGTACTTGGTGGCGGCGGACCCGTACACGGTGACGGACTACGAGGACGGTAACTTCAACTACGCGTACACCAACTACACACAACTGGATCCAGCGGATCTGGATCCAGGCGACTGCTCAGTCTTGGATTTGCTCGGTGTTGCTCTCGGACGAATGCCGGAAGCAGAACAAGGACGCGGTGACGAAGCAGCAGACTCAGCCAGTGTCCAAGTAGAAGCAATCGCTAATAAAAGTTGGGGCTGCGCGAGTGGCTCCGGCGCAGGGACGTCAGTTGAGTCCCTGTTGCCAGTGGTTGTTGACCTCTTTGTGCGTATGTATAGAGGACGACGCCTGTTGCTATACGACCATGAACGAGTACCGAAGCAAGTACTGCGCACGAAACCAGCGCCGCTTTCTCACCCCCATTTCGTGGAGGTCGCTGTTAATTCACTCCTCTACCCGCTCAGAATTGAGCGTAAATCGATATTCGTATTTGTATTTGTTGCGGTTTAGGCGGCTATCTACTCCCAGGATCGCGCTCAGCGGCAACCCCACCTATAGATGGCATGCCCAAGTGGCTCGTACATATAAAATCACGGTGAAGACCGTGCTCAACGGGAGGCGCTTGCCATGATCATGCTCCAGCTCAAGATGCTGTCACCCCCAAAGTTGCAAAATCTACCAATCTTGTGCACGAGCAACTTTCAACATTGAGATACCCGTATGATGCCACCGGCCGAGCTGAATCAACTGGCCTCGACCACCGGTTTCTTGAGTGCCCGAAATGTCTGCTAAACGGTCGAATTATCCCAGCAACGGTATTTTTAAGTGGTTAACGATGATTACCAAGAGGTTGCTGGGTTTCGATCTGAATTCGCAGTTCGAAGAACTGTCGATTGGGGAAGGGTTTTGGATGTCATCGAACGACATTCACGCTACATCCGTAGCTGCTCTCCCCCAGCGGATGTTATCGAACAACATTCGCACTACATCAGACAGCACTCAATCGAATCTGGTCTTACAGGTTTTGATATATGCCTATTCGCCTCGGAGCTTCTTTTCCTTCTACAGTAGATAGATGTCAGATGTCCACATCCCACCTGAGGAGGAAGTAGAGCTCCATCACATATATTTTAGGTGAAAAAGAATGCAATTCTTGCTATTACACAATATGAAACGGTTTCAAACGAAAACATGCTTACGAACCTAAGTACGAATCGCGACTAAACCGCATCAAAGTGACTTGTCTTGTGCTTCGTATAAGCTATCGAACGCCCCAAAATGTTAAGAACTCGAGGAGTTACATCGGTCTAGAAAAATATCTCCATTTTCGGACCCCCTAAATTCCCGATTTTATTTGGGGCGTGTGACCTCAATATTTTTCCAATTGTAACGTACTACATGTCAAATAACTCAGTTTCAGAAAGAGACTATGCTACTGTAGACTACACGGCAGCCACGCAGCCGGTGAACGGCGCATACCAGGGATGAAGCGTCCCTCAGTTATGCTATCTCTCTTCCTGCATATTCTGGTACTGTACGGCACTTCTAGTTGTACCCATTTCGCGATATGAGCAAACAGCTGCTTAAAGTGCCAGACGGCAGCACGTTCACGATGCTGCTCCCAGCGACGCACTTGTTCGGCCACGTACGCCTTCGCCTGAGCCTCGCTCACTTGAGCCTTGGTCTCGTCGGGTCCTCGGGAATCCGAGGGCGCCGGACTGGATTGGGCTTCAATCTTGAGCGCGGGAGCTTGGGCGGTCGCGGCCGGACTGGATTGCGCGAGAGCAGACCGGATCTCGGCTTCGTCATTCAGTACGCCGTCTTCTTGGACAGTCGACAGCGGGCCTTCGTGCTTGATCGTCGGGGCTTCGTCCAGAATCTTGACTTCATCATCCGGCTGGGGAGAGTCCGAAACTCGATCCTCAGCCGGGGGCTCAACCTCATCGGCGCCTCCCACAGACGCCTGGGCGAGTTCATCATCCTGTGTGTTCTCACCCTCATCCAGTCCCGTCACCGGGTCTGGGACACATTCGGTGCCGGCCGGCACAGACTCGGTCGAGTCCGCCTCCGGAACCTCATCCTGATTTGCTAGGTGCGCATCCAGAACGGAGGACTCCGGGGCCGCTTGATCTTGATCGGCCGCCGACGCCTTCTTCTCTTCCAGGGCCGCCTTGCGCTTCTTCGCGCCAGCCTTCCAAGCCTCCCGGACAACCTCGTCCAGGGCCTTGTGCTCCTCCGGCGGCAGCCCTTGTCCTCGACGCGACTGACACGACGCCTCACCGCGTCCGCCTCCGCGTCCACCTTCACGTGCTTCCTTCCTTCCAGCCATAACCCAACTGTTAGTCCAGGCAGTCAGTAGAAACACCCCTTAAGACCAAATCAATATACAAACAAACAACTCGCGGTGAAATCCCTGGTTCGAATCCGGGCACGCGCACCAGCTGAGGCGAGGCGGGTGAACGCCTTGATCGTCCAGGTGTATAGCGCACTATGCTGGACGGGATCGGTTCGGAGTACCAGAGATATCCGCTGCAATCCGATAGTCCTCGGAGCACAGGATGTGAACCGGGGGCCGCGAGGATCGCTTGGACTTGGCGTGTGTCAACCCCTATAGGTATCGTTTACCTTTGGCGGACCGGACTTCACCGAGTGAGTTGTTGTAAATACAGAATCGAGTCTGCTGGGTGTGTTCCTGAAGCAAACTACACCGAATGAACAGAAAGTCAGACCGAATCGAAGGGACCACAGTCAGATCCACAATTCAGTATAACCAACACACAGAAATACAATGCCGAGCTAAACGTCACAAAATATACAGCCACCACTTATTCTTAAAGAATAAGTGGTTTTAAGACCCTTGGGTGGGGGGTCTATACGCCAGTCAACTTACGAGCCGTCACCCAAGGCACTGGTCAACCCTGGATGCACACTCACTTACGCGCACCACCCTCACAGAGTGAGGGAACAATACAAAATATAAGTCAATCCTATCACACAGTAGTCAATCAATTCAGTCTCGGGGGTGACTACCTCTACCGCCTAAGACACTCAGGATGGAATATGAAATGGATGCCCGGATAGAGCACGCAAATTGGAAATAAAGCTCTCACAGATCACTCCAGGGCGCGACACCCTAGTCCCTGCCGACTTTGCCTTGGTACCTTTGAGTCCCCACTACACCAGTGCTCGCAACACCAGTGAGGCCTTGAAACGTCCTCCGTTTTAAGATCGCACGAAGGCGGATCCCACGTATAGGATCTTGAAGACGTCAATGTCAGGGGGAATTCCCAGCCCGAAGAAAGACGTCCGCGTGTTCTCGGCAAATTGGTTTCTGTTTGATCTTACGTTTGGCTAGCTATCTGTTTCACTTCACTGACTTCTAATAAAGGTTTCACTATGCTTGACTTGTCTTGGATATGCTTCGACCTTGTGCACGGGACTTCGATCTTCTTGCACTGAGCTTGGGTATGCTTGACTTGGCTTGGTTATCGGGCACCTTGTCGACGTCAACGTTCCTTCGGCAACACTCATCATCTGGCGACAGAGGTACGTGGGTACGGCGTCTCATCAAATCCGCACTGGGCCTCTGCGTCTAATCACGTGAGCCATCCTGTGTCGCTTGCCGTTCTTGGTCGATCCGGTCCTGGATTGCTGCTACACACACAGCAGTACTGGACTTGTTGTTGGTGCGGTCACGATCCAGTATGGGCACCAGGGGTCAGACCGAATTGATCATCCGGTCCGGCCTCATTCAGTACGGCACCTTGGCCTCCGGTGCGTCGCTACCGGGTGCACCACGATCCAGTCCGGCAAACAGGCCAGTCCGGCAAACAGTGTACTTTGTCCAGTGAGGTCTTGGGCGCATGGGAGCATGGTGGGCATGGTGAACTTGGGGGTTGGTCCGATGTCTTGACGGAGCCAATGCAGGCAGCAGCCAGGATACGTTCACTGGCTGCACTTGCGCGCCTTAGGCTTATCCTGCGGTCAGGGAAGTCGGCGGACGGACAGGATGTGTTACTCCACACCGAATATGAGCGCTCATCCGGTGGGCACATCTCCGATCCTGTGAGCCCATGCTTACTGCAAGCACCAGGGCCCGCCAAATCCACCATGCGCATCCACTATCCACATGTCACACTCCACGTCACTGGATTCCTGTTCACTGCGACCAGTCACAGTCAGGCGAAGGGTCGTCCCATCCCAGCGGTCAGACATGGGTGCGGATAAAAATCCTTTCCCACATCGTGTCACCAAGCTGCATCGAAACGATGACTACGACGACATTCTGGGCCACATTGAGGCGCTAGCGTATGGCCCAGAAACCAACGAGACGCAGCCGTTTTCGTTTGCGTGGCAGCGTGATGCACGTGGGAATGGCTCTGACGAGCATCCGTTTATGGGGGGTTGACCTCCAAGCGTCTGCTTCGGAACGCCGCACGGGATCCAGCATCGTTCGTGTTCCACATGGACGCCAAGTTCAAGGTGAACCAGCTGTCGCATCCAGTCATCGTGTGCGGTGTGTCGGACAAGAACCGGTCGTTCCACCTGGTGGCACTGTTCATCACATCTCAGCGACTGGAGGGGCTGTATGTGAAAGCTCTGTCGGCACTGCGGAAGGTGTTTACTACGGTAACGGGCCAGCAACTTTTGACCAAGTACACCATGGCGGATGCTGAAGCGGCGCAGCAAAATGCTGTTGACCAAGTCTTCGGTGTGGACTCGGACTATGTGTACCTGATGTGCTTCTACCATGTGATGGCCAAGGTCTACGAGCGAGTCAAGAGTGTTCCCAGCGGCTGCGTGAGAAGGTGACAGCTGACATGTACGATCTTCACTTTGCCGCAGACCAAGCTGTCTATGACGAACAAGTTAAACTTGTCCTACCGGAATGGTCTCGCGACGCTGAGTTAGCCGAATTCAAAGGCTACTTTGACCGAGTGTGGGTGAAAAGTGAGTTCCACCGTTGGCAGTGCTTCCATACCCCGAGTGGATACGTAACCACGAACAACCCTGTCGAGCGGTTCAACCGTCTGATCAAGCGTGACTACAATCTACGTACGAAGCCTAGATTGGAACGCTCTTCCAACTGCTAGCGGATTGTTGCGAACACCAGTCGGTTACTCCAAGAAAGTTCAAGGACGTTCCTGACGTGACTCAACAGCTCGAGGCCAGGGTCAATGACTTTCGGCAGCGGAACCTACTCGTCGACATGACACCAAACCGGTCCAGCATCGAGGTCCTACTCGTGTCACCGAATCCCAACCTTGTACGTGTGCAGTCACGTGGTTGTGTTCGTGTGTACTTACCAGAGTTAGGTCGCAGCCGAGAGACTGCCCTGTGTCAGCGCATATGGGGTCCAACTACGCGCGCATGGAGCTAGAAGGACAACTGGAGTGCGGCTGGGAGGTTGATGTGAGTGCGATGTCATGTGGATGCAAGTACAACTTCAAGTTTGGGCTTTGCATTCATGTGCTCTTCGCTCTTCAGCTCAAGAACTACACCGGCCTCGACGGCAAGCGTACACTCGTTATTCGCTCCGTGCCCAAGAAGCACCGCCGGACGCGGACGGTAGCCACGCGAGTTCCCACTGGCCGCCCCAAAACCAACGGGCATGCACTGAGCACTGACTAGAGTTAGTTAGACTTCAGGTAACCAATCCGCTAAAATAAATGCCTTCCTGCAACGTCGCAATTGGGACAATGCTAACATACTTCGATGCTTGAAACCCCTGGAACTGCAAAGCCTTGGCCTTGCACTGCATTGATTCAGCTCATTTTCTAACTACAATCCACGATGGCAAGCCCTGACACGACTCCCTCCGCCGCCGACACTCCGCCGAATGGGTTCACCGCTTTTTTCAAGTGGTGCCAGGCGCATCTTCGCAGCCGTGGCTGAGGCCGCATAGATGAGGCGGTCGCACGCTATTTGATGACGTGGGGTCACATCCAACGTGGTACCTCCTTGTCCGTCGGTGCGGCGATCAAGCGCCTCCTCGACGCGGTACCGAAATACCACATCACCTAGGCCCTTCTCGTTCACGCAGCTGCCCAAGGCGACGATGCCGGTGAGGCAGAGTGGATGCTTCCGGCTGGGGTTGACCTTAGCGGTCGGCCCACCTACCAGATGCGCACTATTCTCGATGATATGAAGAAAGATGGTCGGGTCGTCGTCCTCACGACATGGGAGCCAACGTGGAAACCAACCGAAAACCTGCCATCGGCTGAGATCAAGAAGTACAGGCAGCGCAAGCGCCGCAAGGTGGAGAAGGCGTTGAGGCAGAGGCCAAAGAAGACAAAGAGGTGACAATGAAAAGAAGCACAGGAGGCTCAGGATTACTTTCATTAACAATACAATACATTTAGCTGCAATCTCACTAAAACCGCCCATGCATGCCAGTAGATACGTCACAGCATTAAGCCATTGTGCAAAGCCATCAGCTAGAGCGGTACAGGGTCAGACAAGTCTGACCCTTCAACTCGCTCTGCACAAGCCATGTACAACAACCTAGCGCTGCAACGCATCCCAGCACGCCGCACCCTTGGTTCTGCTCGTGCTGGCCGTGCGCGTGCGCGGGCGCCGCCGAGCCAGCGCTGCCCGCAGTGGCACGCCACGCTGTAGAGAGGATGGCTTGCGGTGCTTGATGTCGATTTGCGAATGAGCAATAGGAGGAAGCGTGGCCGGCAGCGGAATGGATGGTCTTCGTCCTCCCGCTGGCTCGGCCGCGTCTCTACATCTTATCTGTGTGGCACACAAACCTTGTGTGTGTTCCACTTACATGGCTGTGTGTTTTTACTATTTTGTCGGTATTGATAGTTTGATAATTGTGAGTGTCCCCGGATAATTGCGATAATGTTAGCGCTGGAAGTGTGATCTAGCTTGAAATATACAGGCAATTCTTATTGCTGGCAATTTGCGTCTCTGCGTTGAAGTGTTTCCTGTACTCGATCACCAGACAACAAGTTGCACCCTTGTGATGTGTCAACGAGTTGCATCCTTGTGATGTGTTACTGCAGTATTGTGACGGACCTCTGACATGATTTACATGTATGGATTTATGTCAGTTACACTCAATGGTGTTGTACCCCAATTTGGATTTCCGGTACGTAAATGTTTTCATGGCTTACTGACTGCGGCACGGTACTACACTGCATTCGTACATTTTCGGCATCTCTGATGGATCATTGGCCGCCGAGCGCAGGGACGGCGTCACGTCTAAGTTTATGCGGCGACATAGATCGTACTTTGCTTAGTCTGAGTGCAAACATTTTGCTCCAAAATCGAACTGCAGTTGTTGAATCCCGCAAACGGAAAGCCGAATGTGAAGCATAGGCGCGCGCTATCGTGGCGACGTTGATTTGGACGAGTTTACAAGAGCGAAATCGGTGCAATTTTCTCCTGCCAACTGCCGCGGACGTTGAAACCCACAGCAAGCTGCAAGAACCGTGAGTCGGTACCTATCGCCATAGCGGTGACGGCTTTTCGGTCCAAGCTGCATGCGCGCAAGGACGGCGGAAAACCAGCGACTCTGGTCTGGTGCTTCGTGCTAAGCAGGCAGCTGAAGCAGCTCGAGGAAAGATGGAGTCGAATGTGAAGGTTAGACGCCAAATTGCTATCGAGGCTTGGGCTAAGCTGCACGCTGAATGCAAGGCCTCCTACCACTCGAGATATCGGCTATACTGGGCGGCACAAACTCCACTTCTTCGAAGCACTCTTTCTAGAGGACGTAGGGTATAGACGCCATCTTGTGCGTCTTCAAGCTATCCAGTAGTAGCAGCCTGCACCACGTTACCGATGACTTTGAAATCGGTGTAATTTAGTTTCAGCAAATTAGTACGGGTTCATTGCAACAGGAGTAAAAAGTCCTCGTCTATTTTTTCCATGTTTTTTACAAGTAAAAAGTCAACTCCAACAACTCTGCCTCCGCCCGCGCAAATGACTTCCGCTATTTTACTTTTCGCGCGCAACATGCCTAGAGGCCCAAAGAACACAAACAAGAAGAAGCTACAAGTACGCATTAACTTTATGGTTGTTGCACCTACTGCTATGCCAATATTTTATTCCCTAGGCGCTCAAGCTACTCGAGGCGACAAGTACGACTGCGGTGGCAGTCACGGCTGCTGTGGGGGTCGACAGATCGGCGCTTCACCGCTGGAAGAAGGACCCTGACCGTATCGCTGCCTCGAGACCCAGTCAGTGCTTCGCCGACCCACGCGCGCGTGCCCACGTATACGTGCAGCAGCCTGAGCTTGAGTAGAGGTACGATTTTCAAAGGCTGTATGCCTGTTGATTTTTTTCTATTTGTAGTCTGTTGTCGCTATACGTATGTAGGCTACTCGAATGGATTATCAACATGAGCAAAAATAGATATATTTGTGTGTCTACCAACTGCCTACTGCTGATGCACTCGAAGTTTGCTCCCGTCCTCTTCGCTTCACGGTCGCGGGCGGCTAGCTTGATGTCCATCCGCCGGTTTCCTCGAGCGCAATCGGCTGACGGTGCGGCGGATTACTCACAAGGGCCGTAAGAAACGGTCGGATATGGAGGTAAGCTACGGGTTTGTTCAATTGTGAATGATCACCGTTATCTAACTATTGGATTACGTATGTATGTTTACAGGAAGTTGCGAATGTGTTTTCGCACTCCGTCCTGTTGAGGAGGATGGGATTCTATCCTACATCGATGGACCTGGCAAGTAGTCAGTGTACAACATGGACCAAACGGCCGTCTATGGGGACATGAATGGACATACCACGATTGACTTTGTGGGCGCGCAAACGGTGGACGTTGTGCAAGGTACGCTTGCCATTTTCAGTATTTTATAACGCTATGCTTACATTTTGAACGTACCTGTAGGAAGCGCGGTTAACGGCTTTAGAGTGTGCGTATTCCTTGCTGCGTCGGCCACGGGTGAGAAGCTGCCACCGTTTGTTGTTTTTGCAGGTATGCCCGGCGGGCCTGTCTCCCAAGAGGTCTTCAACCCTGCTTTTCGGGCAGCGACAGTCGAGCATACCGTGCAGAAGAACGGGTACTGCGATGCCATGGTCATGTTGGACTGGATTGAAAGGGTACGTGTTTTGGTATGATGCGTGTATTGACATTTACTAATTTGACTTTGTTTCACTATAGGTGCGGAAGCCGTTAGTGACGGATGTAAGCTGCTTATTCTCGACAGCTTGAAGCCCACAAGGTGGCGTCGGTCCGGTACGCGTTGCAGTAAGAATGCTGCACGCAGGTCGAGTTCGTGCCTCCCGGGGTGACTGGCATACACCAGCCCATGTATGTCTCCGTGATGAAGGCCTTCAAGAACCACATCACGTACGTACTTGTTTCTTATTTATGATACTCATACTGTCATTTACTTGCACTATGCTGCGTTTTAAGGAATGCGTACCTGCAGTATCATCTGGAGCACCCGTTTCCGGCGACTGCGCGCGAGAAGCGAGCCCTGATGTCACGCCTTGTGACCGAAGCCTGGGACGCGATACCTGCCGCGGTAATTACCAACGGCTTCATCAAGGCCGGTTTGATTCCAACCGGCCCTCGCGACCGTAGTGCCCGCTTCCGCGTTCCCGACGTGTCGACTAGCGACCCGCCATTTGTATGCGATGAATAAGTTTTCTTTTCCTTTTTGTCAAAAACATAATTTATGTGGCACAGAGTGGGTGTGTCACCCCTATGCTTAAATCTCACAGAGTCCTGTTTTGACTTTTTACGGGTTGTTGCACTCTACCCGTGCGTTGCAGCGAACCCGTGGTTTACGGTAACTAATCAGAATATATACCACCAAAGATGAACGTACCCTCTCGAGCCATCCCATCATGACCCGCTCGTCGCAAAGTTTCTTCCGTTGCACAGTGTGTTCAACTCTAGCTGCACCAAATGAGGTGTCCCGCACCTCCGTTGCTACGCGCGCACCAGGCACACCTGCATAGGGGAGCTTATGGCCAGTCGCCGAATCAGCCAAAGACACGGAAGCATGGGAACACATATCAGTGGGGGGACTCGACAGTAGTGCGTCCATTCATGTCGATGTATATCGCAGTTTGGATCATGTTCTAGACAGCTCATACTTAGCGGGACCAGGCTCCAAGGCAAGAATTCCTTTCCTGTATCGAGTGCTGGGATGGACCGCGAAAAGATGTCGCAACTAGCCTGTATAAAAAAGCTACTAATCGATACGATATTAATCGAAATACAATCCGTACCTTCATGCCGCTGTGTTTCTTCTTTCCTTTGTGAGTGATCTGTCGGGTCGTCAAGTGTTTTCGCTTTAAGAATGGACGGGTGAACAGAAGAGTCGCCGAGCGCGTCCTGCCGCGCGAGAGTTTTGGTGCAAATTTGAACATCATGAGCAACAAACCGTAGATATGCAAAGCGATCTATTGTTTTGCATACCTACTATCCAGTCGAATAATCTTTAAAAAAAGGGCAATCACGTCAACCGTTAGTTACCACCATTGAGCCATTTTTGCTAAATATTGCGTACTTTTAATCAAGAGCAGGATGGCGAACACGGAGTGCAGAACGGGTGGACGGATCTACGTAGCTCGTAGGTAAGGTTTTAAACGGGTCATCTGCAGATCTGGTCCTCTTAGGGGGCTTGTATCGCTGGCGAGTGCTGGTTCTAGTGTCAGCGGGTCTAGGGGTAGGGGGAGTAGCAAGTCGAAAACCAGTGTCTGTCGGGTTCTGACTGGCAGCGAGCTCTCGGAGAGCTACTGGCTTCTGCCTTCTTGTCGCGCGGCGACTGTTTGTCTGCTGCATTTACGCGCTTCCTCTCAAGTTGACATGTCGAGCAGGAGCAACACCAGCTCCGACAGCGCGGGAAGTGCCGACCCAGTGCTCGCGCCTGCGCCAAGCATGCCTTTCGTCTTTGAGATCATCGGCTACGACGACTTCTGGGCCAACATTGCCGGCTCTGGTAGTGCACTTCCAAGTGCCGACGTGCAGCTAGCCCCTGACGGGAGCTTGCAAAGGTATGTAGGATGCAATTGCTTGAAGCAAGATGAAGCCATTTAGATATTTTACTAACTGAAGGTGATACATATATAGGAATGAGGCCTCGTCGGGCAGCAGCACCAGTAACACGACAGCATCTGAACCTGGCTGCGGCGTTGCTACTCCGCAAGCACAAGGACTTGCTAGCGCACCTACTGGTGGTGCTCAGGTGGCCCTCGGCTCCGCTGGCAAGAGCAAGAAAGGCGCCAAGAAGGTGAAGAGAACGCCGGCCGTGACGGCCAAAAAGGCCAACGCTGTGTTGGAGTGGACCGACTCCATGGTACGAGACTTGATGTCGTTCAGTCGGACGGAGAGGCATGCAGTGACGGTGAGGTAGAACAGCAAGCAGCTGGAAAGGGTAAAAGACGAAAGACCATGGCGGACAGCTTTGAAATCGGCATGCAGTCCATCGCAGACGTGAGGCGAGGCCGATGAAACCTTTGTCGCCTAGGGGGGTTCGTATAGCGCAGCCCAAGACTGTTCCCCAGGGTGTAGACCCAGAGAATCGACTTGAGAGTCAACAGCAAGAAGATAGACCCAGAGATTCGCAGCCGCAAAGCTTTAAACCCTGAGAATCACATTCCTTGGTTGGCGTGGGTACCTTGTGTAATCCCTGTCGGCTCGTTTGTCTTCGACGGAACGGCACTCCACCGGTAGTAAATGTAGCCTCGAAGAGCGGGAGTGCACGTCTGATCCAGAACGCACCTCCACACCAAAGGCAAACCCAGAGAATCAGATCCCCCGAAACCCAGAATATCACGAATTCAGGGTCCAGGGTTTCAGTCAACTCCGGGACGTGGAACTCAGAAGACACCTTACCCAAATGCCCTCCTAGCTCGACAAAACCAACAAATACAGAGTATACAAAACACTACAACTAGCCGTCACTTATTCTTTTGGACCCTTGGACGGTGGGTCACACACACACTAGGCTCACTCGAGTCTGAAATTCAGGGGCCTAGCTCCCCTGAGACTCACACAAACGCGCACCCTCTCGAATAAAGGAGGAAAATACAATCACTATCAGTTACCTTCCCTTCACACAAGCAGTCAATACAAAATCCTGGAGGCGACTACCTAGCACCCCAGAATACCCTCTGGAATAATATGAAATGGGCTTCCACGAGCACAGCAAGTGACCCAACTAGGATATGGAATAGATGGATCACTCCACGAAGCTCAAGGCCGTCGCTGGTCCCCACCTAACTGGACTTGAGTTTTCATGGAGTCCACACAGACGGCTGTCCTTCGCCGTTGATGTGCCCTTAGCGTCCCGCGGTCGTAGTCTCGGGTCCTCCGGATTTCCGTCGGCAGGCTTGGCCGAAGTCACTTGCGCAGTACAGGGTAAAAGGAACTCTGTTTGTCTTTTATCAGCTACTTCTCTCTCTCTTACTTCTTCGGGCAAATATCTTCTGTTCACTATGCTTGGGGTCAAATGTCTTGTCTTGAGTATACCTTGGGTTCAGCGGTCCAAACTTGCGATCGGCTTGCGACTCCTTTGTCGCACGGCGTCGAAAGTGCCAATTGTGGGTCCTTGGACTTGGTCTAGTCTGGTGCAGGACTCCCTCTCGACTCCTCGAAAGTATCCAGTCTGCGCATCCATAGCGGTTCTTCAAGGTCACGCATCACTTTGATTGCAGACTGACTTCGAACTGACTCGAATCCCTGGAAGTCAGGTGGCACATCTTCTGAAATCCTGGGAACTCTGAGGAATCTTGGGGAACTGTGGGGATTCTTGGGTGTTGGCTTGGCAAACACTTAAGTTCAGTATAGAGAGTCTGGATTTATGGTCCAAACCCAGAGAGTCATCTTTTGAACTCTGGGTCACCTGCACTCAGGGAGGTGAACTCTGGGTCATCGTGCGGCACTTTGGGTTTCCGTGCAGCACTCTGGGTAACAAGTCTGCAACATTGCAGGCTCGCGTGTATCTCCACAAAGCCAAACTTTTAGCGGGTTTAGCGGCATCCTGCGCATGATCATGGTGGTAGTGGGTTGATTCTCAGGGTAATTTTATCCTCTGGGGCACTCTGAGCCACAGCACGATGAGGTGTACTCTGGGATACATTCGCCAGAGACACTTTCCGCCAGACTTTAGGCACTCATCGTAAGGGAAAGTCCGCGGCTGGACTGAGTGTTCTCTGAAATCCTGGGCGTGCACTCCCAGGATTCACACTTCCAGCCAGTTGGGCCCATCTGCGGTCAGGCGCTGGATTCATCCCGAGAAATCACTTCTCTCCCACAGTCGCCATCCATTTCACACGGGTACAGCCGCGCCGTATCTAAGTCATCCACCAATCAGCATCCGATAAAAACTCCAAGTCACAGAGGTGACGGCACATCGTCGGCAATTTTCTGGGGACCGCCTCGTGTCAGACGGCTTTCAAGCCATGGCGGCGACGATGCTGCCATCGGCTCCTGTGGCTACCGTCACCACCGACGTAGTGCAAATAATGGACGCTCGTTTTCATGAGATGATGCAGCGCCAAGACCCACTACTGGCGCAAATGCAGGTTCAAAGCCAGCGGTTTGCTGTCCTCATTGAAGCCATGCAACGTGGAAACACAAACTAGAGCCCGAAAAGAACGACGATTCAGATGCAGAAGTAATATTAGTCTACATAGCAAATAGCTTCGCAATATCATTTCGTTTTTGCATGCCTAACTTTGTTCTAAGCTTGCGCACACGGCTAGATTGCTGTTGCAACTCCGCCTCATTTTCTTCGTATTCTTCAATTTCGCTCCCGCGTTCGCAGAACGCCGCTGTCGTAGGTGCATTATCTTGCAGATCTATCAGCACTAAGTAAGCAACAATTATGCGAACAGAAGCATTTGGCGGGCGTTCTTCTAGCACCTTCGTCAAAATGCGAAATCTTTCCTTGAGCAGCCCGAACGCACCTTCAATCGCCATGCGCGTCGATGACAAATTGAAGTTGAAGGTTGCATGCGCTCGTGTGAGCCGTCCGCCTTCATCTTTCTCGCAATAAGGCGTCATGACGTTAGGGGACACTCCGTAGCCCGAGTCAGCTAAAACGTGATGCCCACGGGGCAAAAGCCGAGAGATGTTCCGGCCAAAGCTCGAATGTTGGAAAATCTTGGCATCGCTCCATGACCCTGGGCGAACGTCGAAAGAAAGGAATCGCTTGCGGTGGTCACAAACAGCTTGAACGTTTACAGAAGGAAATCCTACAAACAAAACAACACAAAACATAATTTCATTTAACTCAAACCGTAAGAAAAAAAATAAAGGCAGCTTTTGCAAAGTGTTAGTTACCTTTGCGATTGTACCAGCCCTCAAAATCGTGAAGGCGGTTGATGGCGATTAATGTTCCGTCCATTGCCCCACAGCAGAGATGGAAACCTCGATCGCGACGAAAGCCGTCGACCACAGTGCGCCACTCGCCGTGTTTGAGGTAGCTTGATGCATTTAGCCCGCATTGCTGTTAATTCACGAACGATCTCGTTGACGCTTGCCATACACCAAGATTTAGAAACACCAAATGCCTGTGCAGTCTCTCTAAATCCCCCACTCGATCCTAAATGAAACAATGTACAAGCTACAGCTCTTTCGAAGCTATACTTTTTGTAAGGTTTCGCACGAAACCGCGAAGTATACCACACAGTTTGACAAATGTAGCCTGCGAGCAGCGCAAATGGCGGTAAAACCAAGCGTTGTAGCAGTCGTCATCAATCTTAGACTCGAATGCAATAGCAGCCTCAAAAGTAAACACATTCATTGGGGGATTCCTCTGTAGCATTAACGCACATACCAACGCAACACTTGCTGCGACGGTCTGCACAGCAAGCGCAGCGAGAAAGGGAGGACGCGGCATCGGCAAATTTCTGGCGAGTTGCAAGCTGTAGGGTTTAGCGCAGGCCAGTCACCTCACGGTCCACAGAACCCGGGAGCCAGGGCAACTCACGAGCTCTCGAGTTTCCGATGCGCGATGCATTTTATCCTAAACCTGATTACAATCGACCAATCAGACAGAGAGAAACCCCTACGCCTAACTTGGACACCTGACCGAGAACCAGCACTCGCCGGCGCGACCAGCCACTTAGGGTCCCATAACATCCAAGCAGGACCAAAGAGAAAAAAGCAGTGTAATTTTAGATTTGTTCCTTTCTTGATATGGGGCCCAAACGAGATATCGACCAAACTTTACAATTGTAGAATCTCTAACTCTTGATAATGGATGAAAACCGACCCCGCTATCAGAATTTGCTAGCCCAATTATCTCCTACCATTTGAAGGTAGTTACCGCATTGTTTTAATTGCGTAGCAATGTATGTAGATCTGGAAAGTTTTGTGTGTGAGACTTAATTGAAGTAAAGCATCGTAATGCACTGAAATTCGGCCTAACAAAATAGGGTTTAGTGGCGATCTCATAGGACCATTTCTTGGTTACAGTATCGCTAAATCTAGTGAGAAAGTCAGATTGCTCTAGATAGGTGAGTGCAGGAATCGAAGGATTGCGAACTGTGCACCACATGTGTTGTTTTTAGTGCTCTTTCGGATACAATCCGTTGTACTGTCAGTTATTCGCTAAGCTTCGGCTGTGTGCGCTATAAGGATGGCTACCTGATTATTGCTCTGAAAAATCAGCATTGGAGCTGCTACGGTCATAGACATGGCGCATTTCTCGTAGCAAATCCGTCGTAATTTGTGGAGACGAATTTGACGTCTCTACAAATTGCGTCCAGTGCAAATGACGCGTACCACTATTTTGGTACAATTCCCAATCACCAGTCAGTTCATGCTGCGCACGTACGACCGAGCTCCCAAGCCCCGCGTCAGCGCCTAAACCGTGGACAGCGGTGCCAACGGAAGAGGCTGAGGGTTTACTACCACCTAAGTTGTTTGTACGTGCATATTCACCTACGCATTGTTTATTACTGCTGTCTAATGAGATGACTGGCCACAGCGCGACACGGGGCAACATGCCAGCGTGTACGATGAAGGAGTGTACCCATGTATTTATCACTCAAATGCGCTGTTTTTGGTCGGTATCATCGGTTGTACGCAAATTGGGACATATTTGGTACATAAATTGCGTTTTGTGACAGCGTTTGTGTTAGTTTTGGAAGAGCTCCAGTGTCCACCTTGGTTCACGGAGATGAACTACAACTACCAGCAAAGAAAGGAAAATAAAAGAAAACGTCCATGGTTGGATGGGAGAAAACGACCGGACACGAGAAGTGCACAGACACATGAAACGAAGATACGCGTGGGGGTCTCCAAAAACTATCGTTTTGAAGAGAGTATTATGGCTTACAGTCACACCTCTATAAATGACACCCAGCTCGCTCGGTCTAAGATGCTGTTTCAGTTAAAGGATTGGTCAGATAAAGAGATGGCTACATTTTAATGGCTACATTTTCATATGGTAGGTGTGGCGTAGCGGGATCAGCAAAATCTGCGAGATTGCCAATCCAACTTACCAGCTGCGCCCGAACACCGACTTACGGAGGGGGTCCCCCGATGATCCGTGATCTGTGTGCTGAACTGATCACCTTGTGTACCCGTCGGTAGGGCTGGATCTGCTCCTCTGGTGTCTGCTGAAGCGTCCGAGCCTTGAAGACAGAACAGTCTGGGCGAGACGCGGGGATGTGGGTGGAGCAGCTCGGAAATCTTCACTCTGCTCGCAGTAGTTATTCCCAATCCAGTGGTAGTCGACTTGGATCGGGCGGCCTGGATCTGGATCCGGCCGTGGGGTTGCCTTTGGGTTGTTGTTGTTCCTTTCCTTTGCCTTCGTAGGTCTTCCTTTGCTGTACTTGCCGCTTCCTATAGCGGGATCCGTAGATGTTGACAGTTGGGGATGCACCCGGCCAAGTAGTAACTCCGGGTGGATCGGGGATCTGCACTTGCAAGTAGGTCACTAGGAAGGTTGCAGAACTGGCCAATGTATGATCCAGTCTTAACCAACACTAGATCCACTACCAGAATCTTGCTAAGTCGTGGGGCCAATGTACTTCCCGCTTCCAGGCGAAGGCGAAGGCACTTGCGATGTATAAGGCACTTGCGATGTATAAGGCAAATTCAACACTGATTTATGCTTAAGTCCAATCCCATCCCAAAGTCCTATCTTCCTATGGATCCCATCATCCCATCTCTACCTGCTGACTCTATGGGGCTTGATTACCTTCCTTGTGTGTCGCTTGATTGCCTCCGTCGAGCCATAATCTTAGATCCACCGCTCACTTCCATCTGATTCTGAATCAGAATCAGATCTGGATTGGATCGGATCGCCGATCCACTTGACAGCTGCATCTCTTGGATCTTGGGTCTCGAGGCATGGCGTTGCTTGGGCACAAATTCGTGACGTCCGGTCGCACTCGTAGTGTCTTCCGTTGCAATCTCTAACACCTGGTACGGGGCCCGATCCGCAAGTATGGTGGATCCGTCGCGGAGTCTGGATCCATCATTCTGCCGGTCACCCTTTGTCCCAATTTCTTGGATCCTGCTTTTCCACATAGGTGCACAATACAGGGGCTTTACCTGGTACCCCTCCAGCATTTTCCTACTCATGTTTTGTTTCGTCTTCACACAGACAGAACTCAACCCATAACATTAGGCGTGCATTGTATGTTCCTGCTCCTTCTCATTGGTATTAACAAAATCGCATCCCCTGAGGTTGTACGTAAGTTTCAATACAGTAAGATTAATAGGGATATTTCGGTATTCTGCCACCATGTCTGCACTTTTAACTGTTGCTTAATATACATACCCTTTAGTTTTTCGTAAATATCTATGTACGCTGCGCTGATTGTAAAATACTATGTCACCAGCGTCTTCAGCGTCCGCATCAGCCCCAAGCTCACCTGTTGCTCGTGAATTCGGCCAATAATGGGAGTTCGGCTTCAGCTCCGATGTTGACGTTATTGAACTATCCAGCGATACCGACGGCAGCGACGCTGGCTACGTGTCTCCGGGGTACGGAGATCGTGAGCGATGACGATGGCTCGTCTCTTTCGACCGGTGATAGCAGCTCTGGTGGAGATGGAAGCGACGACCACCTAGGCGACCTCGCTCTAGGAAGTAGCGAAGCCAGTGATAATGACAAAGATTAACCCGGCAATATTGACGCCCGTAGCGACCATGGTATCGACGCGATAGAGCAACGCGAGCGCGGAGTGATCATGGCCACCAGACCTGATGACTCGGCCCAGCGTGGCAGCGACATGTTGACCCTTGATGATGTCACGACGTCGCACCCGACGGTGATCCAGCTCAATGGTTTTCAGTACACTAAAGCCAGGGAGTCGTCACGAACGATATCTTTTCACTGCAGTTTCTATCGACGACACCCGAAGTTCAATGGCAAGGTGGACTTCAATTTGGCGATAGAGCGATGGGCAAGCGAGGAATCTTGAACCGTCGTTTCAAGCAGCCGTTGAGACGCTCTACAGCGCTACGAGTTTTGGCGTGGCTCAAATCGAACCGCTCCTTCTCAGTCTGCGGTCTGCCTGACCCCTGGCTAAACTCTTTTAGGTGATAGTGCACAGCACGATACAGCGTGAACACCTTTGAGTGGAGCGCGTAGCTGGCGTCCGCGACCACGTACATCCCCTCCACAACCTCTTGAAGTAACTCGCTGCGGGTCAGAATCATCGATTCGTGGGCTGCGACCTCTGCACCTGGGTAGATGTAGGCTACATTCAGTTGCCAGTCCGACGCGATGAAGACATTGGTAGATGTCCAGCTTTTTCGGTTCGAAAACGCTCGTCGTCATCCGCCAAAACCATGATCAATGCATGCACACCGTCGATTGCCACTAACGCCTGGTCGAAGTATGGGAACGCTTCCGTGAGGCAGGTGTATGACAAAGGCTTGTATAGTAGTGTAGAGACCGGCATGTCGGTAGTGATGAATGGTCGAATACGCCATCCGGAACTTGATCTCTAGATCTCGGCAGGTCGCAGCTTGGCCAAACCAGTCTTGCATTACAGCTATCACCTCTCGACGATATTTGATTTTTCTGGCTATAAAAGGAGCACACGCGTCAAATAATGTGTGGTACACCTTGCGGTTGATTCGGAAGTGGTCACGGAAGGTTTAGCACTCTCGTCAATCCTATCAAAAAAGAGTTACCATCTTTAAGTAGACGATGTACTGCTTGTGGTGATGGCAGCAGTCGTAGATCTCCATCTTGGTCTGCCAGTAGCAAGGCAGCAATAGCCTGCGCCAACCACACCACCTAGTTTTGCAAAGGCTACTCCCAGCAGGACCTGTACCTCTGTTTAATAAAGCACGTTTTTGTTGATGGTGAGGCAAGCCGATTTGCGGTAGCCATACTTTTCTCCATTCTACGCAGCCTGTTCATCGATGCTGATAATATTTAGCTTTGATTTCCGAAGTCAAACACGCCATTCGTTGTGAGGATGGAGGTCATTGGCCCTCTTCAGAAAATGCTTGGAACGTGAAATCTGAATCGTTTTAGTGATACTTTTTCAGGTTCCAGGGAAATGTCTTCAGCATACCGTTTTTTCCTCTAAAACCTTTAACAAAAAAAGTTCCAAGATTACCCCGCTTTCGTGACAATGGTTCAGTGATCTCTTTGGGTCGCTAAAACCTGGAACTTGCCAGGTTAAATAGAAGGCAAGTACAGCGGTAGGAGCATGCGGCACCTAGTCCACCAAACGTATAGCCGACGGAGAGAGTGCAACACGACTGCAACGATGAAAGTGCCACGAACTCTCCGCGCACAGGGGCTCGGGCACACACGCGCCATCGAGAGCTCTGAACGATAGTCTACCGTACGCTCGGTGTGACCCCCGCTGCAGTCGCGGAAAGCGGTGTGTGCGTGCCTCCTGCACCACACATTCGGTCAACTGCGGGAGCGCTACTTGTCGTAGGTAGTCGGTACCTTTCTCTAGCTGCTGGCCGATGCGCGACGCGCACGACGCGTCGCGCATGACCAACTACTCGTACAAGGCGTTGATAAAATGAAAAGTAAGAGAGGGCACTGCATTTTTATGTACAGAATGAGTGTTTTAAAGTTTGCGGTTCCAGGTGAGTCTAAAAAGGCACCTCTTGGAATTTTTCAGGCTTCACGTTCCAATTTTGGTGAAGAGGGTCGTTGTGGCTGAAAATCGTGCTTTATACTGGCGTACCAAAAGGTATTAGAGACACCAACAACACGCTAACCCGCAAAGGTAAGCGCTTATTGGATCCAAACCTGAAGACCAGGAGCGATCCCTTACACCGGGTCGGTTGCAAGCGCTCTGTGCACCTCAGGTTGTCTTCGGTCAACCCAAAAACCTGTACCACTAGCCACGAGCTAAGGCTAGGATTCTATGTAGCGCTTTCGCGCAACCCCACTGCAGTCCCTCAGAAAGGAAGGGTACCGGCGTGTTAGGCCTTATACAGGGGGACCAAGGTAAACCCTCGGTAGGTAGACTAATACACTCAGGGACACTCTAATCCCACAAATATATACCGAACGATACTCTAATACCGTTCCTGCCTCTCCGGCCACGCCAACTCTTGGCGCTGCCAAGGAAACTCTCGCTCAATGCACGATAAGCTCCCCGATAGGCATCCACACGCAGCCGAGCGCGTCCAGGCACTACAATAAGCTAGCCACGACCCTTGTTGGCTTTGGGGAGAGACTGTCTTTTTATTACTGAGTTTGTGAGGCCCTGGGGGCCTCGTTCTAGTCATCCTATGATGAGTCCTATATCCCTATACAAATATCTAGTGTGAACGATTGCAATAAGGCGATTCCGGACACATCAAATGACGACCGCGGCCACACTAATAAGTGCGGTCGAAGTACGCAACTAAATGCGTCTGTACCGAAAAGTGGGTACCATGAAGCCTCGTTCGGGGTTGTATTAGGACCCGACGAGGCTCCGGCACCTATCTGTCAGTCCAACGAGGATAATGTAGTCAGCCTAACAAAAGCGGCTACCTCCATCTCGCGCTTGACTGTACCTTGATTCTTGGACGACGGGCGATCGCTCCGGGAACTGTCATTTTCCGATACCACAACTGCCCCAGTCTGGACACGAGCCTCTGCAACAGGTGAGCGTCTAGGCGCCTTCCGTCCATCGCCTTCATGGTTTATCCGTCGCGCTTGCGCTTGACCGCTGCAACCTCCGCTCTCCGGGACCTTCCGTGTTTCGATATTGTACGGTCGAGTCTGGTTGCGCTTCGCCATCATATGGATCCTCGTTAGTGACGCCAGCTTGTTCTCCGTCATCCAAGGGTGCTGGCAGTGTAGTCACCGACACCTTGCAACGCTCTCTTGGGCCGCAAGATCTTTCATTACCAATCGGCGCTCCTATAGGCGCTGATAATACGGTTGCGGCGCAAGCTGCACATGTGACCGGGCCTCCAGTAGCTTTCGTCGCTGCTGAAGCGTCGGTCAACACCCGACAAGGCTCCTCCTGTGGTATTTCAGCTTCTGCTGGGCCACCGAGACCTTGAGGACGCTTAGAGCCGCTACGGGGCGCATGGCGACGCACACACTAGGAGCATTCCGGTGGTCATATGGTCCGACCTTGGTCGTTCCATCGATTGATGCAGGCTGCTGGTCTTTGCATGTTGGTTCCGTTTACTCCATCTTCACTTCCATCTTTTGCAACGTGTTGAACTCGAACAGAACGTCGTACGGCAACCGGTCACTTTCCAATTAGTAGTCCATCCATTGCTACACCACCGGAATTCCGGTGGTCGTATGGTCCGACCTTCCATCAACAGGCTGCAGACCGCCGCTCGTCGCACCTCGGCCGCATGCTTCTCAGCTTCACTGCCCTCTACTGTAGCTAGTTCTGCGTCGTTTGAGGGCTCCACTTCATGGGCAGTAGTCAGGGAACGTGCGATGACTCGTCCAGCCTCACACCATTACTACGTTGGAACTTCGGTGGTCGTAAAGGAGGCAGGTATGGTTGCCCCAGCCTGAAGCCCGCGAATCGCTGCACCGCCGACGTCGGTTACACCATCAGTCGCTTCGTTATCACTCGGAGATAGTGTAGCTGTGTCGACCGTGGTTTCGTTGCCTTTGTTCCACAGTTCCATCCGGATTTTCCGGTGGTCGTAACCAAATCGGGTTTAGTTGCCTCAGTCTGTGGCTCGGGAACCACCGCACCAGAAACGTCGGTCGCGCCTTCAGCTTTTTCCTAGTAACCGTGCCAGTGTTGACCGTGGTTCGTGTTACACTTACAGCAAATAGTCGGTGGTCGTAACGTAAGGTCTGGGTGCCCCAGCCTCCACCAAGCGACCCGATGTGTTGCAATCACATATCTTCGAGTCGCACCAATTCTCGTTCAGGGTCCCCACATTTTCTGCGCAGGCTACAGCAGGTATAACCGCCTTGAACGAGACTTAGTTGTCGGCCGTAGCGGTCCAGATCCATTCGTATCTCCACTTCATCATCAAGTCCATACTCAGTCACTTGTCTGGGCGTAAATGCCCGGGGTCCTGTCACGTCAAGTGCTGCGTCCGAAGACTCAGCTGACCTCCAATTAGCTTCATCAGCACTCGCTTCACTTCTTCTCGCTGGTCTCCGCCTGCCTCGTGCTGCGTTTCCACTCAGTAGCATGTTCACTCCAAGGCCGGGGTGATTGATTTGATCCTTCGACTAAGACCGGTCTTGTGAAAATTAAGACTGGTCTTACAAATCCGTAAAACCGGTCTTACAGATCCATAAGACCCGTCTTGTTGAGTGATACGACCAGTCTTAGTGAGGGTTCTGACACACTCTCTGAGGTACTTGAGGACACCCTTGCTGGGATGGCTGACGTCTCCACCTTGATACCTGGTCGTTCCACTTCGACGGCAGCACCCGAAGCCTCGGTCGTCCTCCAATTAGTTTCATCATCACTTACTCCACCTGTCGAGGTGTTGACCGAGACTCGCTTGCGTCTTCTGTTGCTCCTGGCTCCGTGTCGATACCTCCATTCCAACGTGACTAATTCACATAACATGTAATATGCAAATTCCAGTAGTTTCCTTCGTCTGTCACTGCGAGCTGGAAAGCCGTCGCAGGCAGTTCAATCATCATCTCCAGTAGCTTCTTTCGTCTGTCGTCGCGAGCTGGGTTACCCTCGCAAGCAGGTCAGTCGTCGTTAACGTATGCAACTAATCCTCGTCCGCGACTTGGGCCACGTACAAACGTATCATGCTGGGCTCGCAACTACCACCAAAACTAACAATGTTCGGCTGCGCACAGGTACATCATCTCAAGTCCGATCCACTTCGAAACCTCGGCCAGCCCGCTACCGAGAATCAATACTCGTGTCTTGGTTTACCTCGTTCCATGTAGGGCCAAATCCGAGTGATAGGCTTCAGTCGAGGTGTCGGTGGAGACTCCTGCGCGTAGTCGCTGAGCTCAATCTCATTCGCGGTGTCATCATCATCCGTGAACCCTTCCGCAACCACTGCACCCACGACCGAGGTATAATTCGCCTCCAGTAGTCTTTCAGGGTCCTTCCTGTCCGGGTCATCGACACAATTTTCTCCATCGGTATTAACCTTGGTCGTGGCGGTTCCTGCTTCAGTAAAAATATCGGTCGGGCCAGGATCATGTACACCCCAGTCGACAGCACCGTTGCCCCACGCAACCGACGTTCGATCTGGTTCACGGTGTGCCTGCGTATCAGGCGCTGTTCTGGCCATTCGCGGGGCTGGTTCCACAGCTGCTGTTACGTCTGGTGCGTCATGGTCTTCTTCCGAATCGTCGTTCAGCTCTCCAACCCCATCATCACGCTTGTCTTCGGCTCCTGACACCTCGGCCGGGGCATCCTGTGCCCCATGTTCGATGCTATCTGCGCTATGATCGGCGCGCTTGGATGCATATGCCACTCGGTGAAGCGACGACCCTTCTAGTGCGTCGGAGTCGACCAGTGCGCTTGTCTCGTCGTCCGAACCGTCGTTCGATACATCGTCACGTTCTGTGTCTTCTGCACCAGCCTCAGTAACCTTGACCGAGCCTTGGGAGACCCTGGGGTTGTCGTCATGATCCGGTGCACCGAGCCAAGAATAATCGTCGTTAGGACGACCTTGGAGATGACCTCTCGGCCACATTGGAGCGTTGAGCGTTCTCCGTAAGATCTTCCGCGGCGTTGAGTAAGTCCTGCGCTCAACCGCGGGTGGCTGTTTAGCCAGCCATTGGTCATAGAGACATCGCTCGCTTCCATAAAGAGTCTCGTCACGGCTCGTTGAGTATGCCAACACCTGCCACTCCTTGCACTTGTTAGGGTCCAACCTCGCGTTGCCGGTCTCTCGTGGTAGTTCACCATGCGGTACCCAGAGCACCACGGAGTCGTGCTTGGCACATTGTGCCGTTGTGGCCGTAATATTGGTGAGTCGTACATATATCGGCTGCTGCCGTCGGAGCCTCGTTACGGTCGGCACAAGCTTATCCGTGCGCCGTACCCACCATCGTACTCCGAACGAGGTAGCCGCTGGCGCGGCAGTCGAAACTCTTGCCACTCGCGACCGAGTACGTATAAATCCTCGGTCGGCCCACACGAAGGGTGCGTGCCGTAAGGTTTGTCATCTTCAACACTCTGCGACTTTAGCAGTGGTACCATGACCTCGTCCGGAAGGCGTGCGGTGCCATGAAATAGATCCAGCCAGATTCCAGCCGGGATCATGAAGTCCATCCCAAGGACCACATCCACCCCGGCACTGTGATCCATTATCCACATTTCGAATTCGTAGACCTGCTCCTACCCGAGGGTGATCTTGACGAGCGTCAGTCGCCGGGTCTCCATCACCCCTGGGTTGATGCCGCGGACTTCGAGACTTCGTCCGTGGTTTCGGATTTCTCGCACACGTAGCCGTTTTCCGATGCTGGCAGAAATCACGCTAACATTCGCTCCAGTGTGAAGGAGTATCCTCGTTCGCGCGTCGTCCACGGCCCCATTGACCAAAGCTCTCATTCGCTTCCTCTTGTCGTATCGTTGTGGCGACCACCACCCCAGTCTCTCGCCAGGCAGTAATTTCACCGCCCGAACGAGGCTTCGAGGTGGTCCCCTGATCTGGGCTAGACTTGTAATCAAAGCCTCGGTCGGGTGTCCGTCACGTTCATCATCATCATCTTCATCAATACCAATCTCAACGAGACTTGCGTCTCGCTTCTCTCCACTTTCCGTCGATTTCACACGTTCATTGCTCTTCAGGTCGTCAAGCCGTTTGCTTTCGCCTGTGAACGCGAACAGATAGTCCGCATCAACAGCAGGCTCAGCTAACTGTGGCAGCCCGATTGGGACCAACCCAGTTTCAGTTGGCGGGCTGCCTGGTTTAAATGGCTTCCAGACACCAGGCTTTGCAGCTCTGGCGACAGATCCTTCTTGTCGACCTTGGACTTCAGGAGCTTGGTGAGCTCGTGGAGTGCTTCACACTTCCCAGCGTCGTGCACCTGTTTGCACAGTTTGCACCGCCGGTAGCAGAAGTGCACCGAGTGGGACGGGCTTCCGCACGCGGCACACAGCCCGTACTGGCGCCGACCATCTCGTTCACGGTTGGACGGGCTTCCTCCGTTCCTGAAGCGTCGGTTATCAGACCGAGCGAACGTTCCTTCGGCTGCGGCCCTGTGGTCAGCATCGTTAGCGGCAGCGACATGTCCAGTAGACTCATCCGAGTCGTAATCAGCGTCTGAATCCTCGTCCGAGCGTTGGTCGTCCGAGTATTGGTGCCCATCCTCGAAGCAATCCTCGTTCGCCTCAGCATCACGTCGGGAGGCGTATGAAGCCTCGTTGCGTGCACCGACCGAGCCTCCGACGTTCCATTCCGCCATTACATCGGGAAGGGCGTCGACCAAAGTCACCCTCGACCGGTGCGGTGACCCGTCACGTCGGTCACGGCGGTGGTCGTCATCACGACGATCGGTGAGGCGGTCGTCGCCACGGTAACGTCGTTCCCGGCGATAACCACTTCGAGAATCCTCGTTCGACCGCGCGTCGCGACGGCGACTGTCATCTTGACTGGGGGAGCGGCGGAACGATGATTCGCGGGTCGATTTGCGGTCGCGGTGACGCAGAATGTCGTTGATCATGTCTTCGAGGTCATGAATGCTCTTGACCCGAACGTGGCACAGACGGTCTTCTAAGTTTCGGTCATCACACGTAACTAAGAAGTGTTCCACATGGTCCTTCGCGTCACGTCCACCGTTCTCAAACTGCACGCCGGCGTTGCGAGCGTACCCGTTAAGCCGGTTGAGGTAGTCACATACGTGCTCCTTGTCCTCTCGCTTGGCCGAGTAATACCGAGCCTTCGCAGACTGGGAGAACTTCGAGCAGTAGTACTTAATGAATGCCTCGCACAACAGTTTCCATGTGCGTCTCGTCTTGCGTGGAAGCTGGCGGCACCAATACAAAGCCCCATCTCTGAGGTTGAGTTCGAACGACATGCACCGCCCAACGAGTGGTGCATGTGTCGTAGACGAACGTACGAAGCCACTGCATGGAGTGTTCGCTCTTGTCGCGCACACCGTAGAACGACTTGATGTTGCAGAGAGGTAGATGCGTGGTAATCTCGAGCTTCGGGGTTGAGCTCTGATCGTCAGTCGCGCTCCGTTCGCGCACCTGACGAGCCCATTCGCTTGGCAGGTCGCCCTCGTAACAGTCGGACCCGAGATCATTATCACTGTCCGACGAGCCATCTCGGAGGTTGTAACGGTGGCTGGACCGGCGACCGGTTGCCCCGCGCGTGCCAGGCGTTGCGTACGAAACCTCGGTCTCCCTAGCCAGACGTTCAGTACGGTCCGTAGATCGTGGGGTTACCATGTGCGAGTCTTGCATGTAAGGCGAAGCCTCGCCCTTGACTGCGAAGACTCCGTCATCCGTGGCTGCCTTCCGAGGGGTCGCTGGTAGCGGGACCTTGGAGGGGTCAACCGCTTCCGGGGCCGAACGAAGCTTCGTTGGGCCTCTATCCGCCACTCCAAAGGCGTCGCGCAACTTCTTCCTCCACTTGGTAAGCGCCGCGGCGGCGGTGGTTGGCGTCCAGCTCGCGAGAGCAGCCTCCGTCGGGAGGATCTGAGGTTCGCATCCCATCGCCCGCAGGAGGTCCACAGTGTTCTGAGCGACCTGCCTAGTGCTCGTTGAGTTGATCGGCGTGGCCAACGCCCCTTCGAGGTCCATCCAGATGGCCTGGCGGACCTGCTTCGGGGAGAACAACTGCATCCACTCGCTCTTGGTCTTCATCAGCTCCAGGCATCGGCCTAGAACCCTGTTGGCCGCCGGAGTATCGCCGTTGAGGGGAGGACGAGTGCCAACTGGCTTGGAGATTGCCCCTCCTACCGTCACCGAGGCTTTGAAACCGTCGGTCGCACCGTCATCCGCGTCGTAGGCGGGCTCGGGGCCCGGCATGTCGTTGAACGCGGGTGATCGACCTCGATCCTCCACTGCGGCCGGCCGACACAACCGCGGCTTCCGAAGTCTCGGACATCACAGTCCTGACATCCCAGTCATCATCTTCGTCATCTTCTTTGGCGTCCGAGGAATCAATCGCCGTGTCACAGCTCGCCGAACGCTCGTCGATCGACTCCATCCGACCCGTCGCTGGGGTCGAGAACGAGCTTCCGGAGCGCACCGAAGCCTCGTTGCGCGTTCCACTCGACTTGACCGGCGTTGCTGGTACCGCTGACTTGACTCCCTTCGCCATCTTTTCACTTCTTCTTCTTCGCTTCTCTTCTTCTTCTCCTCTTCGCTTGTTGGGGGTAAAGACCTACAACAACCAAGAAACACAGAAGATCACACCGATCCCGGGTCGCGGCACCAGTTGTGGTGTGGCAATACCACTAAAATTCTCTTCTACCGAAAGGTATTTGAGACACCAACAACACGCTAACCCGCAAAGGTAAGCGCTTATTGGATCCAAACCTGAAGACCAGGAACGATCCCTTACACCGGGTCGGTTGCAAGCGCCTCTGTGCACCTTAGGTTGTCTTCGGTCAACCCAAAAACCTGTACCGCTAGCCACGAGCTAAGGCTAGGACACTATGTAGCGCTTTCGCGCAGCCCCACTGCAGTCCCTCAGAAAGGAAGGGTACCGGCGTGTGAGGCCCATCCGTTTCATATATATTAAAACTGATTCTCGCGTTGAAAGGCGACACCACATCTGAACGATTGTGCCCAACTATATCCGCACCTATGTATTTCGAGTGCTGCTGCCTCTAAATATGAAACGGATGGCGGGACCCCGGGGTCCCGCATAAAATACCGCTCACTTCGGGAATTATTTATTTTTGTCGCTGCAGGCCAAATCCCCCTGGCTCCACCAGTCGAAACCACATTGCGTCCGTCGGCATCAGCATCAAGCATGCCACCTCGAGCCACGGGAGGATCTCAATCGACTGTTCCTCCACGCAAGCGGAAGAAGCGGGCGGATCGTAAGGAGGCGGCCTATAACCGCGCTGTTGAGCTCCTTGGTGAGGAGAAGGTTCAGGAAATTCGACGCGAGTGGGATTCTTTGGAAACGGAGTTTGGAGGGCGAGAATGGGAGCAGTCAGAGGGAGTAATTCTGCAACTCCTCCAACAAGGATTGTCAGAGCGAGTTATTCGTGCCATTCTTTCTGTGGGTGGAAGTCGAGCCCCAAGATTAAGGAAAGTTCTAAAGGAGGGAATTGATACCTTGCACACCCGTCGCAGTCGCGCGGCGCCGGCGCATGCCTTTAGTGACTCAGACTTGGCTACATTCAAGAACCACTGCTTGACATGGATACTGGAAGACGGCTTTCCCTGTCCACACAGACGACCTCGCCAGTTCTTCAACGAACCAGGCCTTACTTGGAAAGTGGTCCATGCTCGATACGAAGCCGATGTCAAGCGTGAAGACCCCAACGCTCGCACGATGAGCTACTCTCGTTTCATACAGTATGTTCACAAGTTGTACCCCGGCGTCCATCTATCGAGAACTACTGAGGACGATTGCGATTGCAGCACTCGGCTCGATATTTAGCTTGGCCAAGATGACATCAGCGACGAAGAACGGGAATGCCTCCTTCTTCAGAAAAAAATGCATCTTAGTGAAGCTATCGCACAAAGACGCTATGTTTCGACTTTCATCAGAAACTACTCGGCTCTTCATGCCCCGGAACAGTATCTACCGCGCGATATCATTCCAGATACAGCCGATGATAACGATGCTGGGGTCCGTTCAGAGGCTTTTACGGATGAATCACAACCAAACGAGCATGATGTGAGCTGCAATAGCGATGACAATGGTGATGGTGATGCTCCTATCGCCGAGCCAGGTGGACAAACCTCGTACCAGAATTGTCGGGTGCAAATTCAAGCGGAAGACTACGGTGGTGGAATATCGATGCCTTACTTTGGTCATTCGCGTCCTTCAATCGACTATTACAACAGTAACCTCATAGTGCACACCTTCGTCGTGTACACTGCTAACTATTTGTTTGAGATTGATCAAGGTATTTGTACTGCTCGCAAAACGGTTGACTCACCGGACTCTGAATCGATCTCGTTCGCAATGATGAGCACTGACAACGTCGACAGCATTCGGAAAGCGGTCTTGGCGGAACTGTTTGGGCCTGCAGTCACAAGCATCTTTCAGGCGTCGATTGCGTCAGTCCAGCTTCCGCGCCACCCGATCAAAGAGCTGCCGGAAAAAAAATGAAGTCGCTGGCGGCCAAATACTTCACAATACCACCACAATACCTCAGCTACTACCCGAGTGTACCTGAAGCCATTCTCAATGCTCCTGTTCAAGATGGTACGACTCCGGGTGGACTCGACACTGATGATCAAGGAGCTCACAAGCAAAACCAAAAGAAGCGTAAACCAGGTCGACCCCGAAAAAGCCCCGCTCACCCCCGTAGCAACCAGCCTTCCATACTGCAGTTTTTCAGCGCAAAACCAGCTAGTAGTTAGGCCAAGGACATCCTAGTCCGTGCATTCATTACCCACATACATAATACATTAGTAAGAGCATCTCCAACGGTTAGGAGGGTGATATGGTTACCGGTTTGTGGTGAGAGCACCGGGTCCCGCCATTCGTTTCATATGTAGGTAAACACTACTAACAACAACTAGAACACACAACTTGTAGCGTAGTAGCAGCGGTGAGGCGGTATCGACCTCGCTTCTCGAGCTCTTTTTGTTGTTATGCTTGTAATAGCCTAAATATTGGCACCCCAACCTACAATTTAGCAACGTCCAAACGCACCACATGTCGTGCAAACACACAGCCACGGACCATTCTTTCCCTTACATTACTGTTTACGTTAGTCGCTATACGGTTTATAGCAATCCCTAATTATACAGAAAGAGATATATGTTTTATCAGAAGAGAACACGCTTAATTCCTAGCAGAGAAACAGGTCGATTCCGATCTTCCATACCGAATATCCAATGAACCACCAGTCCTTTCCTCGTGAAACTTTACCACATTACTGTATGCCCCCCACCATTGTACCTGTCAAGTTACAGTACCATCGGAGGAAGTGCCAATTAATTGGCACCTCCGTTCAGGCAATTCGGCTGTTTTTGTCGCCTTTCAACGCAAGAATCAGTGTTAATAACACAATGTAGTAGATGAATAATACAGACTTCTGCTTCAATAAAGAGCAGTCAACAACGCATAACCTGCTGAACTGTATGGCCGCATAATCGGAACCGCAATTGGCACAATTAACTGATATAGTAGATTGAAGATTGGCCTCGGCCAATCATAACGTCTCAATGAGATTTCCGCCAATCAAAAACCTTAAACCGAGTACACGGGAAACTACCCACGAGGCGGGAATCTGGCTGTACATTGCGCTCGGAGGGCAGTGGCGCTCACTTTTAGATTTCCAGTCTTGTAGCACACCAACTCACATGGGAGCTACATCGCCTAAGAAACGCGACTTCCAGAAGCGCGTGCGTTTAACCAAGGACCAGGAGTTGCAGGTCTGTAGGCGCCAACACGATTTCCCTGCTGCCACGTACAAGGAACTCGCTGCGTGGGCACGGATGCGCTTCAACCTGTTCAAACAGCCCTCGGAGCAAGTCATCTCGCGCGTGCTCAAGGGCGAGACCAGCCTCGGCCGGCTCACACTTTATTGCCTAAGCCACAAGAAATGGCGCCCTCCCTATCAATTGGAGCTCGACAAATGCGTGGTAGAGTTCATCACGGAGTGCGAAAACATTCAGTTCTCCCTCACCGGCCGCATGATCATTGCCCAAGTGCAAAAGCTCGCACGCCGGCTCAATACCCCCTCCTCCTTACAGCCTAGGTTTGGCAATTCTTGGCTCCGAAAGCTGCAAGACCGCTACGGCATCCGGTGGCGGCGTACGTACGGCGAGTCCGGTGTAGTTGATTTGAGGAAGGTGGTGGATGACTTCCAGCGACTACGTAGCGTTATCGGGCAGTACGTAGGTAACGATGTCTATAATATGGACGAAACCGGGTTCTATTACAACCAAGCACCGCGAGGCTCTCTCTGCCTCAATGAAGCGCTCGCTGTGAAGCCGGACAAGTCGCAGATTACACTAGCGCTGTGTTGCAATTCAACAGGAAGCGACAAGCGGTCGCTTCTTGTCGTTGGATAAGCAAAGGAGCCACGCTGGCTCAAGCACAAGCCTAGAGATGTCAAGTACAAGTCATCTAACAAAGCGTGGATGACCACGGATATCAACCAGACGTGGTTGAAGGACCTCGACGACACGATGCGCACTCAAGGTAGGCGCATTCTTCTGCTCGTAGACAATGCATCTTCTCACAGCGACGAGGGCGTAAATCTCACAAATGTCCGCGTGGAAAAGCTACCACCGAACACCACCTCGCAGCTCCAGCCGCTCGACCAAGACATCATATATTGGGTGAAGCGTGATGTCCTGAGCAGAAAGATGGACTTCGCGCTGGAGCTAGTAGACGACGGTACTCATGACAATCCATATAAAGTAGGAATGCAGAGAGGGGTGCAGTGGGTAACGAGAGGTACAACACCACGAACGCACTACTGTATTTTGTTAATGGAGAATGAAGCTGAAATCTGCTTTACTGATCAGACTAGAGTGAAGCCAACAGTGCTCAACCGTCTTTGCTGATAGATCGCGCCATGCATCTGCGCTCCATTAACCAAGGAGTTTGTATACAGATCAGGTGTTCTTTATTGAAGCAGAAGTCTGTACTGATATTTGTTTTGAATCGATATTCGTACGATATTAATATAGTGTCCAAGATAATTTACCATCACCGCTACAGTGACAAGAGTGGAGACTGGACCTGCGGAGGAAAGCGTCTGCCAGAAGTAGAGCGTCTCGAATTTCAAGCTGAATTGGTGGTGGTAGCGCGCAGACAGATTACTTCCAAGCACTTGCTGAGGACTGTGCGATGCAGAAAACTCAGGGTCTGCTCGTGGTGCAGCACTAAACCCTCTTCCACCACAGCTCGCTGCCCGCGGTGTAATTATAGTCCATGTGCTTCGTCACACTTCGTATCAATGTTGAGCTTTAGATTGTCAAAAAATATGACTCATACCCAAAAAGTGTCTGGTGATTGTTTGGATGAAATACGGGTTCAGGACCACACTCGAAACAATATGACTAGTATCTCACCATCACCACGAAGTATTCACGGCGTAAGAACGGCAGCCGCCGTGCGCCAGTGTGGTATCGGAAAATGACAGTTCCCGGAGCGATCGCCCGTCGCCTAAGAATCAAGGTACAATCAAGGAGCAGTCAAGCGCGAGATGGAGGTAGCCGCTTTTGTTAGGCTGACTACATTATCCTCGTTGGACTGACAGATAGGTGCCGGAGCCTCGTCGGGTTCTAATACAACCCCGGATGAGGCTTGACGGTACCCACTTTTCGGTACAGACGCATTTAGTTGCGTACTTCGACCGCACTTATTAGTGTGGCCGCGGTCGTCATTTGATGTGTCCGGAATCGCCTTATTGCAATCGTTCACACTAGATATTTGTATAGGGATATAGGACTCATCATAGGATGACTAGAACGAGGCCCCCAGGGCCTCACAAACTCAGTAATAAAAAGACAGTCTCTCCCCAAAGCCAACAAGGGTCGTGGCTAGCTTATTGTAGTGCCTGGACGCGCTCGGCTGCGTGTGGATGCCTATCGGGGAGCTTATCGTGCATTGAGCGAGAGTTTCCTTGGCAGCGCCAAGAGTTGGCGTGGCCGGAGAGGCAGGAACGGTATTAGAGTATCGTTCGGTATATATTTGTGGGATTAGAGTGTCCCTGAGTGTATTAGTCTACCTACCGAGGTTTTACCTTGGTCCCCCTGTATAAGGCCTAACACGCCGGTACCCTTCCTTTCTGAGGGACTGCAGTGGGGCTGCGCGAAAGCGCTACATAGTATCCTGGCCTTAGCTCGTGACTAGTGGTACAGGTTTTTGGGTTGACCGAAGATAACCTGAGGTGCACAGAGGCGCTTGCAACCGACCCGGTGTAAGGGGTCGTTCCTGGTCTTCAGGTTTGGATCCAATAAGCGCTTACCTTTGCGGGTTAGCGTGTTGTTGGTGTCTCAAATACCTTTTGGTAGAAGAGAATTTTAGTGGTATTGCCACACCACAACTGGTGCCGCGACCCGGGATCGGTGTGATCTTCTGTGTTTCTTGGTTGTTGTAGGTCTTTACCCCCAACAAGCGAAGAGGAGAAGAAGAAGAGAAGTGAAGAAGAAGAAGTGAAAAGATGGCGAAGGGAGTCAAGTCAGCGGTACCAGCAACGCCGGTCAAGTCGAGTGGAACGCGCAACGAGGCTTCGGTGCGCTCCGGAAGCTCGTTCTCGACCCCAGCGACGGGTCGGATGGAGTCGATCGACGAGCGTTCGGCGAGCTGTGACACGGCGATTGATTCCTCGGACGCCAAAGAAGATGACGAAGATGATGACTGGGATGTCAGGACTGTGATGTCCGAGACTTCGGAAGCCGCGGTTGTGTCGGCCGGCCGCAGTGGAGGATCGAGGTCGATCACCCGCGTTCAACGACATGCCGGGCCCCGAGCCCGCCTACGACGCGGATGACGGTGCGACCGACGGTTTCAAAACCTCGGTGACGGTAGGAGGGGCAATCTCCAAGCCAGTTGGCACTCGTCCTCCCCTCAACGGCGATACTCCGGCGGCCAACAGGGTTCTAGGCCGATGCCTGGAGCTGATGAAGACCAAGAGCGAGTGGATGCAGTTGTTCTCCCCGAAGCAGGTCCGCCAGGCCATCTGGATGGACCTCGAAGGGGCGTTGGCCACGCCGATCAACTCAACGAGCACTAGGCAGGTCGCTCAGAACACTGTGGACCTCCTGCGGGCGATGGGATGCGAACCTCAGATCCTCCCGACGGAGGCTGCTCTCGCGAGCTGGACGCCAACCACCGCCGCCGCGGCGCTTACCAAGTGGAGGAAGAAGTTGCGCGACGCCTTTGGAGTGGCGGATAGAGGCCCAACGAAGCTTCGTTCGGCCCCGGAAGCGGTTGACCCCTCCAAGGTCCCGCTACCAGCGACCCCTCGGAAGGCAGCCACGGATGACGGAGTCTTCGCAGTCAAGGGCGAGGCTTCGCCTTACATGCAAGACTCGCACATGGTAACCCCACGATCTACGGACCGTACTGAACGTCTGGCTAGGGAGACCGAGGTTTCGTACGCAACGCCTGGCACGCGCGGGGCAACCGGTCGCCGGTCCAGCCACCGTTACAACCTCCGAGATGGCTCGTCGGACAGTGATAATGATCTCGGGTCCGACTGTTACGAGGGCGACCTGCCAAGCGAATGGGCTCGTCAGGTGCGCGAACGGAGCGCGACTGACGATCAGAGCTCAACCCCGAAGCTCGAGATTACCACGCATCTACCTCTCTGCAACATCAAGTCGTTCTACGGTGTGCGCGACAAGAGCGAACACTCCATGCAGTGGCTTCGTACGTTCGTCTACGAGATGAGGGGGACACATGCACCGCCCAACGAGTGGTGCATGTCGTTCGAACTCAACCTCAGAGATGGGGCTTTGTATTGGTGCCGCCAGCTTCCACGCAAGACGAGACGCACATGGAAACTGTTGTGCGAGGCATTCATTAAGTACTACTGCTCGAAGTTCTCCCAGTCTGCGAAGGCTCGGTATTACTCGGCCAAGCGAGAGGACAAGGAGCACGTATGTGACTACCTCAACCGGCTTAACGGGTACGCTCGCAACGCCGGCGTGCAGTTTGAGAACGGTGGACGTGACGCGAAGGACCATGTGGAACACTTCTTAGTTACGTGTGATGACCGAAACTTAGAAGACCGTCTGTGCCACGTTCGGGTCAAGAGCATTCATGACCTCGAAGACATGATCAACGACATTCTGCGTCACCGCGACCGCAAATCGACCCGCGAATCATCGTTCCGCCGCTCCCCCAGTCAAGATGACAGTCGCCGTCGCGACGCGCGGTCGAACGAGGATTCTCGAAGTGGTTATCGCCGGGAACGACGTTACCGTGGCGACGACCGCCTCACCGATCGTCGTGATGACGACCACCGCCGTGACCGACGTGACGGGTCACCGCACCGGTCGAGGGTGACTTTGGTCGACGCCCTTCCCGATGTAATGGCGGAATGGAACGTCGGAGGCTCGGTCGGTGCACGCAACGAGGCTTCATACGCCTCCCGACGTGATGCTGAGGCGAACGAGGATTGCTTCGAGGATGGGCACCAATACTCGGACGACCAACGCTCGGACGAGGATTCAGACGCTGATTACGACTCGGATGAGTCTACTGGACATGTCGCTGCCGCTAACGATGCTGACCACAGGGCCGCAGCCGAAGGAACGTTCGCTCGGTCTGATAACCGACGCTTCAGGAACGGAGGAAGCCCGTCCAACCGTGAACGAGATGGTCGGCGCCAGTACGGGCTGTGCGCCGCGTGCGAAAGCCCGTCCCACTCCGTGCGCTTGTGTTACCGGCGGTGCAAACTGTGCAAACAGGTGCACGACGCTGGGAAGTGCGAAGCACTCCACGAGCTCACCAAACTCCTGAAGTCCAAGGTCGACAAGAAGGATCTGTCGCCAGAGCTGCAAAGCCTGGTGTCTGGAAGCCATTTAAAGTAATACCACTAAAATTCTCTTCTACCAAAAGGTATTTGAGACACCAACAACACGCTAACCCGCAAAGGTAAGCGCTTATTGGATCCAAACCTGAAGACCAGGAACGACCCCTTACACCGGGTCGGTTGCAAGCGCCTCTGTGCACCTCAGGTTATCTTCGGTCAACCCAAAAACCTGTACCACTAGTCACGAGCTAAGGCCAGGATACTATGTAGCGCTTTCGCGCAGCCCCACTGCAGTCCCTCAGAAAGGAAGGGTACCGGCGTGTTAGGCCTTATACAGGGGGACCAAGGTAAACCCTCGGTAGGTAGACTAATACACTCAGGGACACTCTAATCCCACAAATATATACCGAACGATACTCTAATACCGTTCCTGCCTCTCCGGCCACGCCAACTCTTGGCGCTGCCAAGGAAACTCTCGCTCAATGCACGATAAGCTCCCCGATAGGCATCCACACGCAGCCGAGCGCGTCCAGGCACTACAATAAGCTAGCCACGACCCTTGTTGGCTTTGGGGAGAGACTGTCTTTTTATTACTGAGTTTGTGAGGCCCTGGGGGCCTCGTTCTAGTCATCCTATGATGAGTCCTATATCCCTATACAAATATCTAGTGTGAACGATTGCAATAAGGCGATTCCGGACACATCAAATGACGACCGCGGCCACACTAATAAGTGCGGTCGAAGTACGCAACTAAATGCGTCTGTACCGAAAAGTGGGTACCGTCAAGCCTCATCCGGGGTTGTATTAGAACCCGACGAGGCTCCGGCACCTATCTGTCAGTCCAACGAGGATAATGTCATCATCCAATCAGAAGCAGCCATCTCCGTCTCTCGCTTGACCTCGCCTTGATTGCCCCTTGCTTGAACTTGATTGCCGGGCAGGCGGGTCAACAGCGTTGGAAACTGCCACTTTCCAATACCCCCCCCCCCTCGTAGCAACCAGCCTTCCATACTGCAGTTTTTCAGCTCAAAACCAGCTAGTAGTTAGGCCAAGGACATCCTAGTCCGTGCATTCATTACCCACATACATAACACATTAGGAGTATGATATGGTTACCGGTTTGTGGTGAGAGCACCGGGGTCCGGATGGAACCCCGGGGTTCCGCCATTCGTTTCATATATATTAATGAGCTCTGTGTAAATATATTAATAATATATTAATAGATTTGAGAAATAATAAAACAATTCCATTTCTGATAGATAGTAGTATCAGTCAAATAATATCAGTTGTGTCGTATCGATATTAATGCGATAACTGTAATAATATGAATCCCAGGTCATATAGGAATATATCTTGGTGTACGAGAGCAAGGGATGGGCAACAAGCTATTTGAAGAGATCTAGATACTAAATGACGTCCTGGATCTTAATAAGCCACTAATAACTACAGTAATTTATATGTAAATAGGTTGGAATTAATTAAGTATTTAGATTGGTACAAATGTTTTGTACAGTCCAAAGTAGTTCCAAATAAAGTGCAAATACCTAATAACCTTAGTTATGGGATACAACTAGTTAAGGGATATAGGACAATCTGGCCAATCAGAACTCGCAAAACTAGGCGACTTTTTACAGATCTTCCCGGTGTTATATTTGATTTTTGTATGTATCAACAATTTATGCACTTTTTCGCAGCATCTCTCCGCTGCAGATCAGGTGTAGCTCATAACTAAGGTTATTCGGTAATCCCCTTCTCGTGCACGAAGGGATGATAAGAGATCGCGTCAAACAAAATGATGCTTACGAAGCTAAGAACGAATCGCGATTTAACCACAAAAATCGAAAGAACTCTGTCTTGGGCTTCTTTTAAGCTATTGAACACTTCAGAATGTTGAGAACTCGAAGAGTGACACCAGTCTGAAAACAATAGGAGAGGTCAGAATTGACAAATGATGCAAAAATATCACCACTTGAGAGCCCCCAAAATGACCAAACCATTTCCAAAATATCACCCCGGTCAGATATGAAATGAGGTAGATTATTAATCGGGTCGTTTGCGGGTCTGGTAAGGCCGTCGGTCGGGTATGTTTATTTCGCCGGTCAGGCTCCTGGTCGGGCTGACCAACACCCGACTCGAAAACTACAGCTTGCTTCACTGGAAATAAACACAATACAAACTAATACCGGTATTTAACCGGTACTCATACACATCCCACTAGCGCCGCCGCTACGCGGCGGTAGTTATGTGGTTAGTTGCAGTAATGAGATCTGCCCACCTCCGCTTCGCTCTGGTGGGCTTTTATCCAATTCATTTTGTGCATGTAACGGTATTCTTATCTTGGGGATACTCTTAGTATAATGACGTGGCTGGTATCAACATAATAAATGCCCCCATGTCAAGAGTTACTAAGAGTAGATGGAGGTGTTTGAGGTTTTTACAATTATTGCAGTTATCGCCGGGGGCACTCGGGGCGAGCACTGCGTCAATCCCGCTTACCGGGTATCCCCGACGGCACCGGTTGTAAGGTGATTGAGTTAAACATTCTCCATTGAAGGTACTGTGATGTAATTAGTTAGCACGACTACAAAGTCGCCGCCGAGTACATATCTAACATAATATGAGCTAATTGTAAATGTAGTAGAAATAAACGTTGGCTTGAGTTACAGATCGTGGTGGGATAGATCCATATTGTGTTATCTACGATATACTCCCAGACGTTTGTATACATGCTTTTAGATTAAGTTGCTTAAGCCTCCACAGTTCACAGTGCGAGCTTCACTATTCCAGTACTTGGCATCATATTCAGTGCTGATGTTCCTTAATAAAAACACCGTGTATCCATCGTGCTATCCTTCAGCACTTTGTATGGTCCATAACATGTTTTGGCTTGCGGGCTGCGTTAATTTGAGCATTATTTTATATGTGGGTCGCGCTCATATCTACGTAGGCTGTAATATGACTTCACTATTCTACTACGCGGCGCACATTAGCAGTTGCGCACTACCAAGGGTAGCTAAAAACAATTAATGTAACAAACCTAGCATTCTATCGCCAAACTACATCTTACGCAAGGCTAATTTCCGTCTCCTGCTTGTGTCGTTTGGGTATGTGCGACCTTATAAAATGTTTGCAAAAGCGCGGCAGGGTAACTTTCACGTTGTGTGCAGTTAATATCGCGTTATTACTATTCTGAACACATTATCTTGCCGCTCCATACTGTGTATTTACAGTATATAAGGCACGCGTACTACATTGTAACTGTATGTCTTCGCAAGATGAACGCCGAGCGCCGCTGTAGCTATAATGTATACATTCCTTAAGTATTCGAGTAACAGTAATAACTATGTGCACACCTTCCGCTACATGTGCTCACACTACTATCGGTTACTATCCGCTGGTATCGCAGCATGTCTATTGAGCCGATCTCGCTGCATTTTGTTATTATAGAAGGTAGTGAGGAAGGCCCAGCTATCGCGACGACAACGCACTACGCGCAGCTCTATTAGCTATTTTATGGTTGGGTGGGCCCTGCTATCGCTGCTACTGTGTGCTAGACTAATTAATATCGTAGCTACAACAAATATTGAGCCAGGGGGCCACCCGTTCCGCTCGCCTCGTCGACTCGCTGCACTACTCGCAGCGTTATTAGTAACTTGGCAGTTGGACTGGCCGTGCGGTCCGCTATAACGCGCATGGCGGAGTGCCGCCTTCGCTTCGCTTGGCAGCTAATCGTGCTTTGTGGGAAATCGTACTTAGTGAATAAATGTGATGATATCGTTACCACGGACGGCGCCGTGCTCCAATTGATGTTGAGGATAACTATTGTGTCTTTTCGATATACATTATCGAGGTTTTTCATGCTGCAGCCCTAACAAACCAGAGTCTGGTTTACCTTTCCTTGGCGCTATCCCAGCTGGCTTGTTATGCTTGCAGGGGTTCATGTTTACCTGCAAGAGGCGGTGTAAAGGGACTGGTTGCAGTTGAGCAGTGAGCTACACCGCCAGCCAGTAAGATTCAAAAGTGTGAAGGGACTTTGGTTGGCTAGTAGAGTTGTTCGAAGTGACTGGAGCACAGACTAAGCTGCTAATCGGCACCATCTGAGGGCTCACTTTCAAAATGGACAACGTCCAAGAATTCTGCCCCTTCAAGACCACGGTGCAGTGGGAAGGGAATGCCTACACCTAGGCGTATCTCCGCAAAACGACTTTCCGGTGCAGTTACTACAGCAGCACCAAGTGCACGGCTCGCGTCGACGTGATGGCCGACGGGTCGTACGAGAACGCTGTGCCTCAGACGTGTGTGCGTCAGAGCTCTGAAGGCGCGACCCAGGCGACGGCAGATTATGGACTAGCGTCCGCGGTGGTGGTCGTCGTTGAAGACATGAAGGCTGAATTTGACGCGCTTGCGTTATCCAACTTGACGCTAGTGCCGTCAAAGATCTGGGAACTCGTTCGTGAGGAGTTTACAAGAAGAAGATGACCCGCGGGCTGACACGTGATCAGGTGATCAGCCGCGTCTACCGTACCCGCAACGCCCACTTTGGCTCGAACATCTACGGACGTGTTGAAGTGCCTCCGGTGTCCATGACCAAGACAGGAGATGCAATGTTTTTCCAGTTCCACTACACCTACGTGGACGACGGTGAGGTGCAGCACATTCTCGGCTGGGGCCATCCTGTCCTGATCCGCTTGTTGTCCTACAGCCAGACGGCGCTCTACATCGATGGTGCCTTCCCACTGTGTCAAACGCCCGTTCTACCAGTGTATCGCCATCATGGTACTCGACCGCGGGTCCAAGTGCTTCGTCCCCTGCCTGCACTGCCTCACGACCAACAAGTCTGAATGGACTTACTGGAGCACCCTCCACTGCGTGCAAGCGACCACTAGGATTACGATGGACGTCGGTATTGTGTCGTGCGACTTTGAGAAGGGTCTCATCAATGCTGTGGGGGATCAGTTCCCGGAGGCCGACATCATCGGCTGCCTCTTCCATTTCAAGCAAGCCATTCGACGCAAGATGCAGAAGCTCCATATTCCGCTACGAGATGATGGCACGTGGAATGCTGACCGTGATCCCCCACGATCGCATCGACCCCCATGGTATCGCCTACGCGACGAAGAAGTTCAAGATGGCTCTACGTGTGAAGGGTAGGGCGTGCTCGGAGTCCAAATGGGACGATTTCTGGTCGTACTTTCGCAAGATGTGGCTGGAGATGTACCCACCGCGCTTGAGGAACATCTTTGTCATTCAGCGCACGGTTGTGAACCGTACCAACAATCCGCTGGAACGCTACAACCGCCAGCTGAACAGCGCGTTCTCCACGAGCCACCCCAACATCCCCACGTTGGTTGGTGTCATTGAAGCGCACGCCGCGCGCTACGTCACTTTGTTGGAGGACATCGCTCGCAGGCGTGCTCGCCCCCCGCCCCATGGGAGGTGGTGCTCAGAACGACGTATACCGAAGCCAGTCTCGCGTAACTAGACTGTTATCGAATCTGCGCCTGGCGTCTCGTGCTGTACAGGAAGATGCAGCAGTGCGGAACGAGAATTACCAACTTCGTGCCTTTTCCAACATGCATTCTAAAGCTGGTGGTACTGATCAGGAGCCCCACCAAGATTATACGGCTGACGTGATTGCTGCTGTGGACGCCAAGTTTCCTGGCACAGTTCAAGCTAGTGTGATTTTTGCGTTAGAGCCAGGAACAAAGCTCCGCGTATTTCCAAGTTGTTTTGATTACGCAAGGCCTCAAAAAGAGTCAGTGCTGGACATACCTCCTGGGTACGCTGTGGTTTTTCGTGGCGGTCTCTTTCACAGTGGAGTGGGTTATGCTACGCCGAATTACAGGCCACACTGCTTTCTGTTCTGCCAGGGGCTGACTGGAACCCTGATGTCGTCTCGAGTACGTTGCTTGTGTGCCAGTTTTGTGGGCACACAGACAGTACTTCCAACCGTATCCGGCAGCATCGGTACTGCTGCAGCGAGAATCCTGATGGTTGGCACGTCGAGAGCAGCAGAATCGTCGTGGAATATTTCCGTGTCCTCACTGCAGTGTATTGTTTCGATTATTGCTCCAAAACAGTAGTCTTACCCTACCCAAGAACTGAAAGAAGAAAAAATATGCAAAATCGTGAAGCACAAGTACATGTGCTTCTTGCGAGGAGATTCACTAAACAGTGAACTCCTGTGGCGAGCTGGAGTGACACGATAGCATAGCCGGAAGCGAGGAATGATGGGCGCATCCTGAAGGAAATTCTGCAATGTCCTTCTTTAACCTAAAGTGTTCTAGGGCAAAGCTATAAATATTCAGTTAGGATGCTAATATTTATAAATCAAGTGTAGCCATTTTCGTCGCTAACGGCGGAGTTGAATGTAAGCGTTGGTGATGACTGTGTAGCCATTTATCGTCGCCAACGGTGGATAAGACTAAGAGCCTGCTCGCTAAGTAGCTGGAGATGGAGATGAAGACCGCAAGTGTGATCGGATTGGCCAAAAGTAGGTAGCTCGCAACAACACAACTAGAGATAGAGGAGCGATTTTGTCTCTACCTAATTGAGGTGGAGAAGGTGGAAGCACCTGGAGATGATACAAAAGTTTAAACACAGCAAGGTGCTCGTATCCTCCTTGCTGTATGCTCTGATGTGGCGCAGGATGTAAAATGTACGCTAAGACGTGTGAACCTGAAACTCGTGCTTCAGTCCACGGTAGTTGATGCAAGGGTAGTATCTGCCGCATCAAAGCCACGTTCCTCCGGATAATAGTTCATACCCCGCAACTGTGACTTGCATCGCCTCGCATCAACACTGCTAACGTGCAGGCGAACTGCGGCTGGGTGGTGTACTGAGGGTGCACGAGCAGGAACAGGAACGAGGGGCGTGAGCAGCAGCAGTTGCCACACGCGGCCACACGGCGGGGTGCATTGGCATCGTGGCGCGGTGGCCGCACGGGGGGGGGGGGCTCGGAATGGCCCGGGTTATCAACGTGTGAGTAGCCGTCTTGTCATTGGCTCAAAATGTATCTGGAGATGGATACATAGCGAACGAACTAGAGGTGGAGATTAGCAACCATCTCCATCTCTAGTACAACGTGATCAGGCTCTAAGCGTTGCCGACGAAGTGCCTTATCTCTGGCTTCACGCTCATCAGCTGCTATCTTGATTAGCGAGACGACCGAGCGATAACTTAATATACCGGTATCATGACTAGTAGTTGTGGCCGCCGCCTGTTAGTTTGATATGTGACTGACATGGGTATGGGTCGGGCATGAAAGGAATAATATCTTCGCTGTAAGATATTCGCGGATCTGGATATGGGTCACTCTGACTCGCGGCCTTACCGGACCCGCAAACGACCCGATTAATATCTAACCATGAAATGACCGGTCATTTTTTAGAATAGCTTATCTACATGTCGACATGCAAGGCTGCAGCTTGCTGCGCATGCCTGGCGGCTCGGGCAGCAAGCTGCAGCCCGTGGGCGCCTCTGTGACAGCAGCGCTGCGCAGAGGACGCACTGTAGGCACGTAGGAGCATTAGCTGCCTGTTAGCCTGTCTGCCACGTATCGCCCAGAGGCGCAGCAGACAGCGGAGGCCAGGAGGGTGGCATGGCCCGTTGCAGTGCTGCTTGTCATGGCGCCATGCAGCACCACAGTGCACGTGCGTGAGCTCGCGCTAGCTCCCTAGCCGCGATGTACGTGCGCAGGGGCGTCCAGAAGAGCGCCGCGGCTTGCGCAACGCTGGCGCTGGAGGCGCCGCACGTGACAGCTCGGGCAATTGTACCTCGCTGTGATTTTCCCCAGATTTCACCAAATCCAGGGATTTCATTCCCTACATTTACCTTGTACCTTTTATTAAGTTCGGACAAACGTGTCGATTCCTTACAAATTTACAGAGAAGACACCTCTGGAAACGTATGCAAATCAAAACTCATTGAACAAAATGTGAGGGCGCATTTATGACTGAAAAACGACTTTGAGGGTAATGCAAGGGCGAGGAGAATCCCGAAATCTCTCTAATATCTCCATTTCCGGACCCAACCCCAGGTTTTTTTACATCAATATTTCTTCAATTCCGTGCTGCACATTATCGGAAATTTCGTGCTAATAGCATACGAATTGAAGTACTTTCCGCTTTCTACGCGTGATTTTCACTTTCAATTTTTTTATGTCCGGTCCGGTACGCAATTTGATTGGTCAACTTCAAACGCGATTATCTCGAAAACTCCATCATGGTTCGTGAGCATCCTTTTGTTTGACGCAAAATATGTATCGTTTTTGTTGAAGTTATAGCGTAGTGCGCTAAGTTAGAAAGTAGCTTTTTGGATCGTCTTCATTAACGGCCCAGTAGTCGGTCGCCATCCAGAGCCATGAGCTCCCGAGGTCGCCGCAGCCCACCGCAGTCGCTGGCCGACCCGGCCGCGAATGAGAGCTCGCCACTGCTCGTGTCCGGCAGCATCTCGCTAAACTACAATTCGGACTCGGCCGTGTACGACCGCAAGGAGGAGGAGGGCGCGTCCAACGGCTCGCGGCGCTTCTTCGGCGCCGACAGCGACGGCAGCAGCGCCGACGACAGCGACGAGCACGAGGACTTCAGCGACCTGGACCGGCAGTTCTCGCCCACCAGTTACCGCCAGCAGGCGCCCGACGCCTTCCGCCAGATCCCGCGCGCCAACTGGCACGGCCTGGGCTCGCGCAGCAAGTTCAAGCGCTCCAAGCCGCTGCCGGCGCCGGGCACCGTGAGCCACACGACGCGCCGCTCGCGCATGCGCACCATCAAGAAGCAGCTGAGGGAGCCGCCCAGCGCGCCCAAGCTGCGCGTGTCGGCCTACTGCACGTGCGACCAGCTGCAGCTCTTCAAGCTGCTCAAGTGGCTTGAGCGAGTGGAAACGGGCCAGCTGCCGGGTGGAGAGCTGCACCCCGACGGCTGGAGGCACAAGATGTACATGGGTGCGATCCACTCGAGCTGCGCCCCGGCCCCAAACCTTGCGTTAGTTGGATTCAGTGGTGCTGTGCGTTGGCTATTGTGGAGCTTTATCTGACATTGTGGTGTACTGTGTTTGACTTTTGACAGGGAGGGGGCTCCGGTGCCATACCAGCAGAAAGACGCTTTCTACTTCGCGTAAGCTGGTGCTTGAGAGGTCGAAGGGATTGGTGCTGGGTGACTCACTAGGTTTTCTTACTTTTATTGCAGGACGGGTTGCGCGGTCTTCTGGGGGCTGACAAGAGCGGAGGAGCAGGCGCATCTGGTGGCGCTGGGGGCATTCTCGGTGGGCCCGGTCAAGCAAGTTGAAGTGGAGGACATGGACTACACGTATGGCGATGCGAGCCTCATCTGCAACGACGCGATCACGCTCAGCAGCAACCGCGCGTCGGAGAAGCTGGCCGTGTCTTTTGCGATGGCGCAGTCGTCCAAACTCGACGTGTTTGAGGAGCGCGTGGAGGAGGCCATCCGTGAGACGAAGCACGTGCCGCAGAACCTTGCGGCCACGGGCTCGATCCAGTACTCGCAGAGCGATATCTCCAAGCTCATCGGACGGTTATTTATCGAGGTAAGAGAGAAGACCACAGAGTTGCAAACGTTGAGCTGCATTATGTATCTTAGGCTCGATTGTTTTCCTGCGCAGCGGAGCGATGTGAACCTCAACTCGGACATGCTGGACGAGCCGGACTTCTTCTGGGAGGACGACGAATACGAGCCTTTGTACAAGAAGGTGATGAAGTACCTGAGCGTGGACAACCGCGTGCAGATCCTCAATACGCGGCTGGATATCCTGCGCGAGCTGTACGCCTTACACATTCAGTTCCTCTCGTACGACTTGCACAGCGGCTAACTTCTTAATGTGTGGATGAACGCTACAGGCTGGACGTGCTTAGCCAGCAGCTCGCGCATCAGCACGACACGAAGCTGGAAATGATCGTGATATGGCTCATCGTTGCCGAGGTCGCCGTGCAAGTCGTGTGGAATATCCTCATTAAGGATATCCTCGGCTTCTTCCCGCGCTCCGACACCGAATAGACGCAGAATGCAGCTCTCATGCCTGTCAACGTGCTTCAAGATGGTCGAACGTAGTAGTAGAACGGGAAGCTGAGCCGCGCAAGGCGGCATAATGCATGATGCGTATTGCCTAGAATTCGATTTGGTTAATACGTCATTAGATAGGAAGCTTCGAAACAGCACTATTTAGGCGGTAAAGCAGCGATACGTGCGGCGGCCTTGGTGTGCTTGCGCCGCACTTGTTGCATCTGAGCGATAACCCGGCGCGCACCGCGACTGCGAATCCTCCCGTTGATCGAGAGCAGCGCATCCTTGTCATCTTTGTCCGACGTTGTGCTGGAGGCACTAGAAGGCTGGCGATGGAGGTCCTTCCGAGCAAGGTGCCCTCGCACCAGCCGCTGGATCTGCTTGGCTGCACCAGCGCGTTGACGCAGAGCCTCGTGCTCGAGGTCGATAGCCTTTTGTCGCTTGGCCTCGCGCAGACTTATCAGCTGCCGCTTGGCGCGCTTGTGCTGGAGAAAGCTCCGGCAGACGCGCTGGATCTTGACGACGAACACCTCCTGCTTCTCTCGCCGCCTGGCTTCCAGCACCTTCTTGGCAACGCGGACTCGTGCGCGTGCCCGACTAGCTTGCTGGATGCACAATGCGGCCTCCGTGTCACGCTTGAGCTTCTCCTGGGAGATCGTCCGCCGCGTGAGGAACCCGCGCAGCCTGGCCTGCAGCTGCACCACGGCGGAGCGCAGCAGCTCCATCTCGTGGCGGCGCCGGTCGCGCTCGATGCGGCGCAGCTCCCTCTTCTCCTCCAGCACGTGCTGCAGCTCGGCGTACTTGACGCGCATCCGCGAGGTGCGCACCGCCATCTTCTGCTGCCAGTTCTCGGAGCGTCTCCGGCTGTTCTCGAGCGAGAGCAGACTGCTGTCCGCGTAGTTGCCGGCGATGAACTCCTTGGTGAAGGCGGCGGGCCGCGCGTACTTGGGGCAGCTGAGGGCCACGTCCTGGAAGTCCAGGTAGCGCCCGTAGTCGTAGCCCGTCGTGGTGCGGAACAGCGGGTGGCCCGGCCTACGCGCCAGGATGTCCAGCTTGCCCAGCGAGCGGATCTCGCGCGCGGCAGGCAGCCCAGCGCCACATAGGCGCGGCAGCGTCACGCGCTCCGGGGCGGCGTTGTTGCTGCTGCCGCTGGCTCGCGGGGCCAGGCCGTAGCTGTTGAGCGCTAACATTGGGCGGCGGCTTCAACTTGCATAAAGAGCGGATATGCCGCAACAAGCTGCCCTCGCCATCGCCATAGTCGTCAGCCCCGACCAGGCTCGAAGGAAGGGCGGCAGCCCAGGACGCAGCGCTGCAGCAGCGGCCGAGCATCATCGCCGCGCGCATCTTATCGCTTCAGCCGGCGCTGATTGGCCGGCTGGAAATACGCAGGTGGATACCGCCGTCGGAGGGGAGAGGCCCTGCAAGCATGCGGCTACATATAGGCCCTGATATGATCCCCAGCGGAGTCGCCCCGCTCACCTTCACGCATTAGGCGGCCGCCAACTGCGCGAAAAGTCAACCCAAGTGTGCACACTTGCAGCCCTGTGAGCGCAGGCGAATCTTGAGCGGCTCGCGGGAGTGAAGGTCGTGTCGTCACCTCGTGGTGTGCACCACATCATGAACCCATACAAAATCGCCGCCAGCAAAAACCGCTGGTCAGGAAGCGTCGCGCCGTCGCGCCCGCCATTGGCTGAAAGTGGGGACATTGCCGCGGATTGGCTGAAAACGCGCGAGCGAGCTTTCAATGGCAAGGAAAGCAGCAGCGGGAAAAGATCCTCCCCGCCGCCGCCCTCCGCCAGCCTCACTCTCAGATTTTCTTTGAAGAAGGTAAGCGCTCGCGCCCCCGCCGCCGGCCGCAGGAAAGATCGCAGCCGTCTAACTTTCTCTCTCTCGCTCGCTTGTGTCTCCGCAGTTAACCATGGGCAAGGAAAAGACGCACATCTCGCTGGTCGTCATCGGCCACGTCGACGCCGGCAAGTCGACCACCACCGGTCACCTGATCTACAAGTGCGGCGGTATCGACAAGCGTACCATCGAGAAGTTCGAGAAGGAGGCTGCCGAGCTCGGCAAGACCTCGTTCAAGTACGCCTGGGTGCTGGACAACCTGAAGGCCGAGCGCGAGCGCGGTATCACGATCGACATTGCCCTGTGGAAGTTCGAGTCCCCCAAGTTCTTCTTCACGGTCATTGACGCCCCTGGCCACCGTGACTTCATCAAGAACATGATCACGGGCACCTCGCAGGCCGACTGCGCCATCCTGGTGGTCGCCTCGGGTGTGGGCGAGTTCGAGGCTGGTATCTCCAAGGAGGGCCAGACGCGCGAGCACGCTCTGCTTGCCTTCACCCTGGGTGTGAAGCAGATGATCGTCGCCATCAACAAGATGGACGACTCGTCGGTCATGTACGGCCAGGCCCGTTACGAGGAGATCAAGAACGAGGTGTCCACGTACCTGAAGAAGGTCGGCTACAAGCCCGCCAAGATCCCGTTTGTGCCCATCTCCGGCTGGGAGGGTGACAACATGATCGAGAAGTCGGGCAACATGCCGTGGTACAAGGGCCCCTACCTCCTTGAGGCTCTCGACAACCTGAACCCGCCCAAGCGCCCGCTTGACAAGCCCCTCCGTCTGCCCCTCCAGGACGTGTACAAGATCGGCGGTATCGGCACGGTACCGGTCGGCCGTGTGGAGACCGGTGTCATCAAGCCTGGCATGGTCGCCACGTTCGGCCCCGTTGGCCTGTCGACGGAAGTCAAGTCCGTTGAGATGCACCACGAGTCCCTGCCGGAGGCCGTCCCCGGTGACAACGTTGGCTTTAACGTCAAGAACGTGTCGGTGAAGGAGCTGCGTCGTGGCTACGTCGCCTCGGACTCCAAGAACGACCCGGCCAAGGGCACCCAGGACTTCACCGCCCAGGTGATCGTGCTGAACCACCCCGGCCAGATCGGCAACGGCTACTCGCCCGTGCTGGACTGCCACACGGCCCACGTTGCCTGCAAGTTCAAAGAGATCACGGAGAAGATGGACCGTCGCTCGGGCAAGGTGCTCGAGACTGCCCCCAAGTTCGTGAAGTCGGGCGATGCCTGCATGGTCATCCTCGAGCCCTCGAAGCCCATGACCGTCGAGTCGTTCCAGGAGTACCCGCCCTTGGGCCGTTTCGCCGTGCGTGACATGCGCCAGACGGTTGCCGTCGGTGTCATCAAGTCGGTGAACAAGAAGGACCTGGCTGCCAAGGGTGCCGCCAAGAAGAAATAAGTTATGCGGTACGCAGCTTAGCACTTCTTGATCCACTCCAGGCGTCGTAGTTCGGTAGACAGCGACGCGTTTAAACGCGGGGCTTGATTAACAGAATGAAGACGCTTCACAATACTCGAGCCTTTTGCACATTTTTGCTTGTTGTCAGTATCCACGCTTCATAGTGATCGCAGGCTGCGTTCAAGGCTGATGCTAACACATCAAAGCTCGCCAAAGCAACAGAAGAGTCAACAACAGGTATACAGCAATCAACACTTTCGTCACCTAAAAAAGTGAGCGGTACAGCTCACAATCGCTTTTCCCTCATATCCCAGACACCGTCACGATGAGCGCCTCGACTGAGTATCTCGCGCGCGTGCAGCAGCTCGAAGAGATCTACACCAACGTGCCCGGCACCTTCGCCAACGAGTCGTACCTCACGCGTCTCCCCGGCCTCGTGCGCGACTGCGTGGCCCACAACCGCGACCGCTTCTCGGAGCTGCAATGCCAGCGCCTGCTGCAGCTCGCCGACGACATGGTCAATGACGCAGTGATCCCACTGCCGTCGCAGTACCCGGAGCAGTCAGCCAAGTCCCCCACGAGCGCTCACTGGGAGACTCTGCTGGCCGGCAAGGGCTACACGTGGCAGAACTCGCCGTGGTTCATGTGCGAGCAGTACATGTTCCACCTCGTGCTGCTGCTGGCCGAGTACTACTCGACGGGCATCGACCCGTTCCACCCGTCGAAGGTGGCAGAGCTGAAGGAGGACACGCCGTGGGCGTTGTTGCAGACAGCTGTGGGTCTGTCGGCCCAGGAGGAGGCGAGTTCCCAGAGCCACCACGACCAGCTGAAGCGGTTCATGAAGCTGTGTCTGTGGGGCAACAAGGCTGACGGATGCTACAAGGAGGTCAAGGATACCGTGAGTGGGGCTGGCGCCTCACTTGTGTTTGATGATGAGCTGCTGTTGGTCGACCACAGTGACGAGGTCATCTCGTTCTTGGAGCAGAAGGCGCGTGAGGTCGGCGACGCCAAGAGCTTGGGCGTGCAGTACATCAACGACAACAGCGGCACCGAGCTGCTGCTGGATTTGGCGCTGGCCGACCACTTGCTGTCTCATGGCTGGTGCGGCAAGGTGACGCTGAACGTGAAGGTTGAGCCCATGTACGTTTCGGATGCGACGCCTGCGGATGTGCACGAGCACATTGCCGAGATGCAGCGGGAGACGCGTACTCCGGAGGTGCAGGCTTTGGGCAAGCGGCTGGCTGGTTATGTGATGAACGAGCAGTTGTTGGTGCGCCCTGACCTCTTCTGGAACCGCTACACCTACTACTGGGAGATGCCCGTCGAGCTGCAGACTCGCTTGGCGCGTGAGGCGACGCTGGTGATCATCAAGGGCGATCTGAACTACCGTCGTCTGCTGGGAGATCGTCTGTGGCCGCCGTCGACGCCTGTGGACGAGGCTGTGCCGTACTTCCCCACGGCTTTCGTGTCGTTCCGTACGCTCAAGTCGAACCCCGTGGTGGGCATCCCAGCAGACATCGTAGACAAGCTGGAGAAGGAGGACGCGAAGTGGCGGTACAACGGCAAGCGCGGAACCATCCAGAGCGTACTGACCCCGGCTTCGCTGTCCAAGTAGACTGTCTGTGCTGTGTTTGCCGAGGTAATCGAGGTGGAGCGACACCATCGAGTTGACAACAGTGAGATTCACGTGTTCGATGATGTTGTGTGCAAATGGTTTATCCCACGATAAGTTGTTACCTGGTATGCATTACAAAGTTTGTGTAGAGTCGAGGAAGGTAGCAGAGCAATGAAAGCTCGGTTATTCTGACGCTGGGTTAGGCGTGAGTACGCTCTGGATCGTGCCGCGCTTGCCTTTGTACCGCCACTTTGGGTCCTCCTTCTCCAGCCTCGCCACCACGTCAGCAGGGATCCCCACCACGTGGTTTGACTTGAGCGTACGGAACGACACAAAAGCCGTGGGGAAGTACGGCACAGCCTCGTCCACAGGCGTCGACGGCGGCCACAGTCGGTCGCCCAGCAGACGACGACAGTTCAGGTCGCCCTTGATGATCACCAGCGTCGCCTCACGCGCCAGGCGAGTCTGCAGCTCAATAGGCATCTCCCAGTAGTACGCGTAGCGGTTCCAGAAGATGTCGGGGCGGATCACCAGCTGCTCCTTCTCAATGAACTCACTTAACCGCTTGCCAAGAGCTCGCACCTCAGGGGTACGCGTCGGACGCTGCATCTCTTCAATATGCTCGAGCACGTCGGCGGGCGTCGCATCCGACACGTAGACGGGTTCTGCCTTGACATTGAGCGTCACCTTGCCGCACCATTCGTGAACGAGCAAGTGGTCTGCCAGCGCGAGGTCGAGCAAGATCTCAGTGCCGCTGTTGTCGTTGATGTACTGGATCCCGAGCTTTTTGGCGTCCCCGAACTCGCGAGCCTTGGCCTCTAGGTAGGTGATGACCTTGTCGCTGTGGTCGACCAGGAGCAAATCGTCGTCGAACTCCAAGGACGCATCAGCCCCACTCACGGTATCCTTGACCTCCTTGTAGCATCCGTCAGCCTTGTTGCCCCACAGACACAGCTTCATGAACCGCTTCAGCTGGTCGTGGTGGCTCTGGGAACTCGCCTCCTCCTGGGCCGACAGACCCACAGCTGTCTGCAACAACGCCCACGGCGTGTCCTCCTTCAGCTCTGCCACCTTCGACGGGTGGAACGGGTCGATGCCCGTCGAGTAGTACTCGGCCAGCAGCAGCACGAGGTGGAACATGTACTGCTCGCACATGAACCACGGCGAGTTCTGCCACGTGTAGCCCTTGCCGGCCAGCAGAGTCTCCCAGTGAGCGCTCGTGGGGGACTTGGCTGACTGCTCCGGGTACTGCGACGGCAGCGGGATCACTGCGTCATTGACCATGTCGTCGGCGAGCTGCAGCAGGCGCTGGCATTGCAGCTCCGAGAAGCGGTCGCGGTTGTGGGCCACGCAGTCGCGCACGAGGCCGGGGAGACGCGTGAGGTACGACTCGTTGGCGAAGGTGCCGGGCACGTTGGTGTAGATCTCCTCTCCTTGGTTCACAAGTGCGAGGAACTCGGCGGAGACTCCCATGGCGCTCGCTTTGGGCTTGGAATGGTCTTGAACTGAACACAGCAACTCGAAATCGGTTGTGAGCTTTCCTTCGCAGCCACAGACCCGCAGTCCTCAGCTATCGATGCATGGAGCGGCACTGGTTCGAGTACACTGTGCGGTTATTATACCAGTTCTGCTTTTCCAAATCACAAGACGTCTGCGGAAGTCAGTGGAGCTCCTCTGCTGATGTCTTTGGTCTGGGAGGAGCTTGCCATACCTTCGGCTCTCAAAAGAATCTTTATGGGGGCCACGAACAAATTCTTTCGCAGGTTGCCATTTGCCTGACAAGTCGTGGACTTGTTGAGCAGTCTGTATGTGTATAAAGGGCGAAGTGAAGGAGCGCGTGGAATATTACTTGAAAATACACACAGCCTTGACATGGCTACAGATGAGTCACCGCTTCACTCGTTGCAGTTTTGAGCACGTAGCGTTGACTGATCACCAGAAGGTTAGTCACCACACCGCGATGCCCCACAGCGTCCACCAATGCTCGACTCTTGCATCGATGCGGCCAAAACTTGATCTCACTCTTCAATTTTCTTTCTCAAAACCACATCCACCGCATCCACCTCCCAGGCATGCGCGTCGCCATCGTTGGAACCGGTTCATTCGCCAAGCACTTCATCGACGAGCTGCCTGCCGCTGGACACGAAATCGTCGTGCTGACCCGTTCGCACAAGGACTTCCTGGACGGGAAGAAGGGCGTCGTGGAGCAGCGAGTCACCGACTACTCGTCCGTGGCGCAGCTCGCAGAAGTGTTCAACGACTGCGACGCACTCGTGAGCACGGTCTTCGATATGAAAAACCCGAGCGCCGACACCCACTTGAAGCTGCTTGAAGCGTGCAAGCAGACACCCAAATGCAAGCGCTTCATCCCAGCGGAGTACGGTGGCAACGCGGAGGACTTCTCCGAAGACGAAGAGAACATGGACAGCCACAATGCGCCGCTGAAGAAGGCGCTCCGGGACGTTCGTCTCGCTCGGGTGTACATCGTCCCGAGTGCCAGCCGAAACCACCGGACCTCGGTACTCTCCACCCGCTCGATCTGAGCGCGCGGACGATGAACATCCCTGGCACGGGCAACGACGTGTTCTCGACCACCAGTGCGCGTGATATGACCAAGGCGGTCGCGGAGCTACAGAAAAGCCCCAACAAGTGGCGTCCGTACACGTACGTGCAAGACATGGAGACGGCGTGGCTGCAACTCGCCGAGCTGGTGAAGACGGAGGGCGGAATGCCCGACCTCAAGGTGTCCTTCGAGCCAGTGAACGAGATCCAGGAGGCGCTCAAGAAGAAGGAGTCGCACTTCTCCGCGCTTGTGGCCGAATTCAAGATGCTCGTCACGACACGAGCAGCTCGTGCCGTCTGGAAGGTGCACGCTCGACCAGGAAAAGGTCAAGCGCGACCAAGCTGAGCATTTCCCTAATGTCCACTTGCGCACGGCGCAGGAGCTGCTCGAGGCCGTGAAGCAGGACCCGAAGGTGGTCATCTAAGCAAGAGCACCGATCCCTAGAGAGAAGGAGAAGGATCTTCCCATAAGCGCTTGGAAATGAACCTTTCGAACGCATTTTTGTTTGTTCTGCAATATAGAGTTTGCTGTCTAGACATCGATGGACTGCACTAATGTTTCCTCGTTGCTATGGCTTGGGCGTGATGATCCACTCAGTTCTCCTCGAACAAAATGTTGTCCGCGCTCGAAAGGATGCTTTCAACGCACGCATCGGTCGCTGTCATGATCGAGACTAACAAGTTGCTCGCACCCTTTGCTTGAGCCCCCGCTTCCGCTTGAGACTGGCACACAACCGTGACGGTCGATTCCAAGCCACCCTTCGGACTTCGCGTCACGGCAGCCCACAATGTATCGCAGTGCGAAATGCCTCGATCCGCGAGCTCGAAGAAGGACTGCCGGACGACGGCGTGGTAGTTGAGAGGCGTCAACTCACCGGGTTTCACTTCTGTCGCCCCCTGGAACTTCATCGCGCAGGTACTTGGAGATCGCTCTAGCACACGAGCGACTGGCGTGACGTCGTGGGCTGAGTTCTCCTCCGACGCAAAGCTCCTGTCCGGACACGAGAGGGTCGTCCAAATTGCCGCCGACGTCGAGTGCATATCGAAGGGCACGCGGCGTACACAGACCAAGGTGGACTGGGAATCCCCCGTTTGCACGTTAGACCATAAGTCTCGCTCCAGGTCGTCTCCATGCAGAAGCCGAACGCCGTTTGCCGCGAACACGGTCGGTAATTGGGGGACCGCCGCCTGTGCCAGTTGCTTGAGACCAGGTCGTCCTCGGCTTTCTGCTGCAGCGCTGCAATCCTTCTGAGGCTGGAGGCCTCGACAGCCCGTCGCTTCTCGCACAGGAGCTCCCAGAGGCGCTGGATCCAGTCGGCGTTGCTCTGCACCTGACCATTGAGCACTCGGTTAGTGCACTCTGCTGTTTGTCGGGCGCGGGCTTGGCGCTCGGAGAAGCACCGCCACGCTGATCTCGACCCCGTTTGGGGCGGTTCCCCGTGACGCAGCACCGCTAAGTGGGCCTCCAGCTCGGGGACGAGCCCCCTCAGCGTAGAGAGCTCTGCCTTCTCGCGATCCCGCGTTGAGTTTCGGTGGCGAGGCTTGCGCATGAGCGAAGAAGAACTCGAACTGTGGTTTGTCCTTGCTTGCACAGGGGCTTTGCCAGCTGTGTCGTAAGCGCTGGCTTTGGTCGTGAACATCAGTACCGGCACAGTGGTGGACCGAGTCGATAGCGTCGACTGCATCTTGTATCGAGTCCCACGGCAATTTTGACGATTTCAGGTCTCTAGGCAACTTCTTCCCCCGCAAAACACGTTCAAAAGAAGTTGCGAAAGAAAACTAACTGGTTCCTAGGTTTAGCATCACTCTTGTGGGATGCGCGTCGTGGGCAAGCTGGAGTCACGCTACTTCGGTGTTATTGGTCAGAGCGCTGCCGCCCAAGTACATGTGCATGCCCGATCGAGAGAGATCCGTGTGCAAGCAGGTATCGAGCCAAGTGTTCACAAGAGAGTGCAGATTTTGCTGCAAAGCGCTCAGCACACCTTCTACGAGCCCTGTGAGCCCTCGTTAAGGGCTCCCTGTTAAATATCTCGCTGATGATTGGCCGTCATTGAAGTATCTCCAGGTTCTAACCTGAAAAGGCATAGGAAAGAGGGCTTCTCCTTGAGGGGAAGGAAGGACGATCCAGAGGGCACACTGTAACAGTCGTGCATATGCTGGTGCTACATGTAACCAGCACAGCGTTCGGCGACTTAACTGCGTCGAATGACGGGCATTTGATGGTCGTTAGGAATACTAGACTCAAATGGAACCTCACCTTGAAACGAAAAGGAAGGACGATCGGCGACGCTGGGGTGGCCTCGGAGTGGCTGTACACATATGAGCGGCGCGAGATCTTCTAGTGTGGTGATCTTTGAGCTCGATCTTCTAGCGTGGCGCATCTGCTCGCCTTAAGTCTAGGTAAAATTGGCCAATCAGATATTACTATGAAGAGCCCGTCATAGATTTGAAGCTAATTTTTGGGAGCAGCCAATGGGGAGCCCGAACCAGGGCTCCTTGATCTCGTACTTACCATGAGGGAGCCCATTTTGTGCGACTTTTGGCTCTCGTATTAGGGGGAGCCCACTTTTGAAGTTGACGGGCTCGGGCTCGGGCTCGTAGAAGGTGTGGAGCTCAGTATCCCGTAACCCGTCCCGTAATCCTGACTTCCAAGTCATGGTTACCATGTACGATGCGTGGAACGGGTCGATCCCCGTTGTGTAGTAGTCGGTCAGCACGAGCACGAGGTAGTACATGTAGAGCTCGCTCAGAAACCATGGCGAGTTCTGCCAGGTGTAGCCCTTGCCAGCCAACAAAGTCTCCCATTCAGCTCTGGTGCGGGACTTGGCCGCTTGCTCAGCGAACTGAGATGGCAGCGGGATCTCAGCATCGCAAGCCAGGTCGTCGGCCAGCTTCAGTAGACGCTGGCACTGCTCCTTCGAGAAGCTCTTGTGGCTGTCGACCAAGCAATCGCGTATGAGCTCGGGCATGCGTGACGTGTACGCCTCGTTGACGTACGGCCCCGGTACATTGGTGAGGATTTCTTCGTGCTGCTGCAGGTGTGCGAGGAACGTGCAGTGGCAAGGTCATCACCTACCTAGAGGCCAAGGCTCGCGAGTTCGGGGACGCCAAAAAGCTCGGGATCCAGTACATCAACGACAACAGCGGCACTGAGATCTTGCTCGACCTCGCGCTGGCAGACCACTTGCTCGTTCACGAATGGTGCGGCAAGGTGACGCTCAATGCCAAGGCAGAACCCGTCTACGTGTCGGATGCGACGCCCGCCGACGTGCTCGAGCACATTGAAGAGATGCAGCGTCCGACGCGTACCCCTGAGGTGCGAGCTCTTGGCAAGCGGTTAAGTGAGTATATCGAGAAGGAGCAGCTGGTGATCCGCCCCGACATCTTCTGGAACCGCTACACGCACTACTGAGAGATGTCTATTGAGGTGCAGACTCCCCTGGCGCGTGAGGCGACGCTGGTGATCATCAAGGGCGACCTGAACTGTCGTCGTCTGCTGGGCGACCGACTGTGGCCGCCGTCGACGCCTGTGGACGAGGCTGTGCCGTACTTCCCCACGGCTTTTGTGTCATTCCGAACGCTCAAGTCGGACCCCGTGGTGGGCATCCCTGCTGACGTGGTGGCGAGGCTGGAGAAGGAGGACCCAAAGTGGGGGATCAATGGTACGCGCGGCACGATCCAGGAGTGTCGGCTCCCTTGATGCAAGAATAAGCTTGGTATACATACACTTCAACTTGGCCTAACCTAGGCCTAATCGACCTGATCTAGACTGTAGTCATTATGTTAGGCCTTGCAACAGAGTGGTACACCATACCACACGAGTGGTACAGCCCATGCATTGTACCGGTATTGCCAAAGTCAAGAGCTCTCCAGTGGCAGTAGCAATGGGCACGCTCGAGGTGTCGGAGGAGCCGCTGCCGCCCGAGTGGGAGGTGCTCATGTCGCGCTCCAAGAACATGCCGTACTACTACAACGCGCAGACCAAGAAGGTCTACTGGGCGGACGACGAGCTGCCGCGCGGCTGGTCGCACCAGTTCGACCGCGACGGCCGCCGCTTCTACTTCCACGTGCGCGACAAGAACGCCACCATCTCGTATGACAAGCCCGTGCTGCGCGCGGCCGCGAGCCCGTCGCCACCGTCCCCGCCCGCCAATGACGTCGCGTCTCCCGAGCCGCTGCCCGTGCCGGCGCCGTCCTACGACTCGCCGCGGGCCCCGCGGAGCTCCGACTCGCCCAGTGGCCACGCTCGCCCGGACTCCGGCGAGCCGCCGCGGCTCGTGCGCAAGAAATCCAACTCACTCATGGACCTGCTGAGCCCCGGGCCGCCCGCGCTCGGAGCGGAGCAGTCTCAAGGTAGTGATTCTACCACTTTTTGGGCTGTTTGGTGGTGTTCTAGCGCCTAACTTCGCTATTTACTGTTGCATTTGGGTGTTTTCGACGCAGATGAGGCTTCTCCGAGGGCGCCAACGTCACAGCCGGCGAGGACCATGCATATCTCCAACTTGATGTCGTCTCCGGAGCGGCCGCAGCGGAGCGAGGACAGAGGCTACGGCGCCAAGAGGTCGTACGACGCCATGTCGAGGGACTACGGCGACGACAACGGGGAGAGGGAGCGGGAGAAAGACCCGGACGCTGCCGCCGCCTTCTACAACCAACTGCAGCGGAGCGCGCAGAGCGACCGAGCGGACAGTTTGTTGTTCCACATGCGCGCGCTGAATAACTGGGTCAAGTCCATCCTGATCAACGAGTACTCGCGACGGGAAGGAGACCGAGTGCTGGACTTGGCCTGTGGCAAGGGTGGAGACCTGATGAAGTGGACCAAACGCAACCTGGCCATGTATGTGGGCGTGGACATCGCCCAGAAGTCGCTGGAGGACGCGGTGGAGCGGTACACGTCGTTCTCGCGCGGGGGAAGAGGGGGTGGAGGAGATCGGGACAGGAAGAAGACCGAAGTGCAGTTTATTCAGGGAGACTTGGGAGTCGTGGACCTGCTGCGCGACGAGATGCACTGCTGGAGTGAGCACGAAGGTTGGCACGACGCGGTGCCGCTGCCAACCTCTGCGATTGGCAACTTCAACATCGTGTCGGTGCAATTCTCCTTCCACTACATGTTCGGCGACGCCCAGCGCGCAAACCGCTTCTTCTCCACAGTGCACGAGCTGCTAGCAGATGGAGGCGTGCTGATTGCTACGACCGTCGACCCGAACAAGCTGCTGATGAAGTACTACCAAGGCCTGCGGCCACCCGAGGCAGAGAAGGAGGACCAGGAAGCAAATAAACCTGACGTCAGCATCGTGGACGAGAAGAAGCGCGAGGTGTGCTGCATCCGCTTCGACGCAGCTACGCGCGCGCAGCTATCCGGACCGGATGCGGCCTCGGAAGGTTCCTTCGGTCTGCGTTACAACTTCACGCTGCGCGATCGCGTCGAGGAGAACGCTGAAGGAGGCGGCGGCCAAGCCGTCGACCTGCCCGAGTACCTCGTGCCGGACGATTTGTTGGCCAAGCTTCTGCGCGAACACGGCTTCGAGCTGCTGTTGAAGCAGAACTTCCACCGCTTCATCCAGCAGCGCAAGGATCAGGACCGCAACCGGACGCTGCTGGAGAAGATGCACGTGACCAACATCCGCGGTTCGATCTCGGACGCCGAGTGGGAAATCGCTGGTCTGTACCAGGTCCTCGCCTTCAAGAAGTCGTACTAGGCGTCCGTGGATTACAAAGGTGACTAAGAACACGCGATACCGACTAACGGGAACTTGAAGAAGTACGTAGACGACTGCACTGGGCGTAAACGATCAAAAGTGAGCTGCGTTAATGAGTTAAAGAGTGTGCATCGCATGCGTTGTGGAGCTGTGCTGCCGGTTTGCTAGTGTCGGTAGGTTGAGTTGCGTCGGTGCTTGGGCGACGTCGTCGAGTTCGCGGAGCGGCGCTGGCTCGAGTGGCTCGGGCTGACGTAGTTCTTCGCGCGAGAGCGTGGTGGCGACCCCCAGCTACGACTCCGACTGCGGTGGCGGCGACTGGGGCTGCGACTTCGACCACGACCGAGTTTCGGGGACCTTCGTGCACTCTGAAGGTTCCTCGAGCTTGAGTTGGGTGAGCTCTGCTGCTTCTTGACCTGCGGGGCTCCTCGCTCCTTGAGTTCGTCCCGCAGGAACTGCACCTCGGTCAAGATGGCGGTCTCCCAGGCGTCCCACTTCTCCGCCATGTCCGCGACAGCGGCTGCGTGGTGCGCCTTGAGGTCGGCCAGGGCTGTCTGCTGCTCGGTCTTCATCTCGGCGATGGCTGCGTGGTGCTCGTCCTGCATCTGCTTGGTGGTGGCCAGCAGCTCGCTCACGGCCTCCTTGATGATGGAGCTCTGCTTCTCCGATAGACTCTGGCCCACCAGCATGCACAGTGCGTCGGTGACCCGAGCGGCCTCCGCCCTGACGGCATCGCAAGGAGATTCGTCGGCCATGGAGCGAGGTCTGCGGCGTCGAAGGTAGAATGACGAGTGAACTGACTCACGCTTGGCTGGGGTGTCAATGGTGTAGCCATGTAGCCGAATGAGTCATTCCGGACAACTTCAACGTGTTGCAGCCCTCCTGGTCGTAGGCCACAGGTCAGATCCCAGCCATAGCTGCCGAAGGAGGCGAGAATAGCAACGATGGCGCGCAGTTTACGAGGCGTCCTCGACCGACATTTGCTGCGAGCATTCGACGCGTGTGCAAGTGCAGGTTGGCACGGCTGGATTGTGCGTTTTCAGTCCAAACTACGGTAGCGATTATCCACCTTTGCAGTCGTGCAGAGATGCCGGCACCATGCCGCATGAGAGCAGGGCAGCACCATGAGTCAGCTCGGCTCACAAGCACTTTCCCCTCGTACCGCGCACGCGCACCCGCAGCCCGATCTCCAGCGCCATGTCGGCCGAATTCCTCGCACTCCTGCAGCAGCAACGGCCGCACTCCACCAACGTGCCAACGGACACCTTCGTCGATGCCACGTACAAGTCTCGCATGCCGGAGCTCGTCCGCGACTGCGTGGCCATGAACCGAGAGAGCTGCTCCGAAAAGCAGTGCCAGCGCCTGCTGCAGCTGGAGAGCGACATGATCAACGACGCCAAGATCCCGCTGCCCTCGCAGTACCCCGAGCAAGCCGCCAAGTCCAGCACCAGCTCCGAGTGGGAGGCGCTGCTGGCCGGCAAAGACTACACGTGGCAGAACGCGCCCTGGTTTCTGAGTGAACACTACATGTTCCACCTCATCCTGCTGCTGACCGAGTACTACACGACAGGCATCGACCCGTTCCGGCCTTCGTACGTCTTTACGAGCTTGTAGTGGTAGGCTGCGGTGACTAACAGTAGTTTGTGGTTGTCTGTAGGAAGGTGGCGGAGCTGGCGAAGGACACGCCCTGGCGACTGCTGCAGACGGCTGTCGACCTCTCGGCTCAGGAGGAGCCGAGCTCGGAAAGCCACCACGACCAGCTCAAGCGGTTCATGAAGCTCTGCCTCTGGGGCAACATGGCCGATGGCTGCAACAAGGACGTCAAGGAGGAGGTCAGTGGTGCCGACGCCTCGTTGGACTTCGACGACGACATACTGCTCGTAGACCACAGCGACCGAGTGATCTCGTACTTGGAGCAGAAGGCCCGCGAGGCTGGCGACGCCAAGCGTCTGGGCGTCGAGTACATCAACGACAACAGCGGCACGGAGATGCTGCTGGACCTGGCAATGGCCGACCACTTGCTGACGCACAACTGGTGCGGCAAGGTGACCATGAACGTCAAAGCGGAGCCCATGTTCGTGTCGGACGCGATCGTCTCCGATGTCCATGAACACATCGCCGAGATGCAGCGCTCGACACGCACGCCGGAGGTGCAGGTCCTGGGCGCGCGGCTCGCCGAGTACGTCCGCAACGAGCAGCTCGTGATTCGAGATGACATCGCCTGGAATCGCTACCTGTTCTTCCACGAGCTGCCGGCGGAGCTCCACGCGCGGCTGGCCCGAGAGGCGACGCTGGTGGTCATCAAGGGCGACCTCAACTACCGCCGCCTGCTGTGCGACCGGATCTGGCCGGCCGCCACGCCCATCGAAGACGTGGTGCCGTACTTCCCCACGGCGTTCGTGCGTTCCGCACGATGAAGTCGAACTTGGTGGCCGGCGTCCCGCCTGAGGTCGTGGCGCAGTGGGAAATGGAGGACCCCATGTGGCCGCTCAATGGTAGTTGCGGCAAGCTAGCGGACGAAAGTCGCGAAGTTGATGTGATCGCCGGGCATTCACCCGAGCCACGGGAGACTGGTAAACAGCGCCCCTGTTGCAGCCCCGCTGAAATGCGTGCTCGGCAGGTGGTGCAAGGAGCCCGCGCTCTGGATCGCCACCGTTTGATTGATCGATCGCCGCTGGATTCCCCGAGACTGAATCGCGGCGAGCGTGTCATTGTCGACCAACAAAGCGGCGGCGGCCGGCTCACGTGCGAGCGCGAAGCACCCGGCTCGTGGAGAGGCCCATCGGTCGTTCAGTGGAGGAGAGAGCGCTGTGCTCGCTCTGGGCTTTGTAGGCTCGACGCGACTGCATTCATACGGAGCGCTAGACTTGCGAGCGCTGGCGTCTGCCGTGACTGCTTCGCTGGTCGCCAATGCAGGGCAAGAAAGCACCGTGACTCGCAAAAGCAACACAGGAGAGCTCCACTTTGCAGCGTCACGATTTGCTGCTCCGTTGGAATAATCGCCGGCGCAATCGATGGTAAAAGCGATGACGCTGCCCGTGCGCACCGCCGCCGCGGAGCAAGCAGCGCTTGAAGCTCGCCCCCCAGCGGAGACCACTTCAAGCGGACAATCGCTTCAAGTGATTCGCCCGATGAAATCGAAACTTAAATGCCAAAGATGTGTATTTGTGACGGTATGTGTATGTATTGACTGGAGAGATGTGAGACTGGCCTTAAAAGTGACTGAAGGTGTATGAAGGTGTATGACGCCAGACATCCTCCCCGCAAACTCCGCCCTGCATGTTCCTTACCTCTTGGTGCATACACTGCAACTCAGCGCCGAGTGCACGTCGTCATGGTCGCTCTCTCAGCCAGCCGACAGCGCTACGAAAACGAAGTGCCGGAGACACTATCGAGCTCAACTCACAAGGGGACCGAACGGCGCTGGTTATGTCGGTGGATCTGACGAAGCTCAAGTTCCCAGTGGAGTTGGCCACGATGGAACCTATCTCTCCCGAGATGATGATCAAGAGGACGCATGATGCGGTTGTGGAGGGCTCCAAGTGACACAAAATGCATTCCTATGCAGTGCTGGAAGGTAGTGTACCTACGGACGGCATGCTCATCCACGGCAACCATGCGCAGCAACGCAAACGACTATCTGCTAGTTAGGTAGAGATGTTCAGACAACACTGAGGTACTGCCAACGCCGCCGGCATCACGTCGGATGAAGGTTTCTCCACACGCAGCCTCCATTGTGTTGCCCAACGAACCCTCGCTCCGGTGGTGTCGAGATCAGCACGACCGCCGAAGCCGAGCAAAGCAAGCACCAAATGGCAACAAAACCGACTTCCCGCTCATTCTAACAGCGAAAGCTGGCTTAATGCAAGTGGCCCCGTAAAGTAGGTGCCGTACGACACACGCCACACAAGGATACCAACTATTAACGTGTTCAGAATTCGTCTCCACACATCAGCTCCGTGCGCAATGGCCAGCTCTCTATGCGTGTCCAACACCGAGTTAACCTGGAGGAAACCCACTGCACACGCGTCTGCAACTACCCGTACAGACTACCCTACCAGTACATGACTGCATTCCTCAAACAGCTTGACGCGGTACCCCAGTACATCGATGACATATACAAGTTGTCATCGTACTCGCTCGCTTTCATGAGAAAGAATGTGCGTTTTCCACTGGACCAAGACCTTGAGATGGACGCTGTGGCGGCTCGCAGTGCGGCGCAGTCGTTCAAAGACCAAAAGGACTCGCAGCAGCGGCGAGGAAGGGGCACACATCTACCGATGCAGTGGTTGCGGGCTACAAGAGCCCATCCAACAGACATGCAAGCGGCAACGAAAGCCGCCGGGCCACGCTGTATGACACCCTCAGCCCAACATACATATTCTTCGCCGTGTGATTGAAATGTTATACTGGGATAGGAAGCAACGTTAGTGCTGCTATCGCAGACCAAATAGGGGGAGTCGAACCTTAAAAATGGCGACAAAAATATCATCAGAGAAGGGGCCGAATAATCAGCAACGTTCTGCCCCAAAAATCAACAAATCAAAGTAGGGTACTCACTCTCAGTTTTCGCATGTAGTTGGTGGAAACAGCGAAGTATCACTTCCTTTTTCGCCAGCACGCGCAGGCTCTTGCTTAGTGCATATATATCTTCTTATATTCAGCTTTATACCTAGCAATGGCCGACTCCAACGAAACACTGTCCAGCAGCTCACAACGTCTCCATCATCGCGAGTTAACATCTAAAACTTGTTTATAGTGATAGTGAACATGTTTATTTGGAGAGGATTCGTGTGAAAACTTGCCTAAACACATACACAACAATTTCTAGTTGAGGAGGGACTTCAAAAACAGCTGAAATTGTATCAGAGGTCGAGGAGGGAACAGCAAGCGGTACCACTTGAAGTTCGAAATCATCATGATGATTTTTCAAATCAACCACCTCCGGAGGTGGTTGATTTTGAAAATCAACAAGATTTCGCCGAAATAATCAACATCAAATCGCCCTAAAAATCAGCACGTTTTTTGCCAGGTTCGACTCCCCCTAATAGGATTATATCCGTGGTACGTCAAGTCAAAATATGACCTCTCTTGACACCCAACTGGTACATTTCCAGAAACCGGTATGACCCCGGTGCCGCACTGGGCCTACAAAAGGTTTATATGCGTGGGCAGTTTGAACCGGTATGGGTCAGTAGCATATATCGAATCGGATGGAGCGATGACAGCACTTTAGTAGCATACAAAATGCAAGCATTTTCATTTCTCCACGAGCTAGATCTCGAGCAAGGTTCGTTTCATTACTGTGTATAATTACTGCCTAGTCGTATCTTGCATCTTGGCCGTTGAGGTGAATGGCCGGGCAGATGCTGCGGCTGCGAAGTAGGCGCAGGAGATGACTGTGGGTCGTAAAAAAAAGTAATATAGGAGTTTATCCCAAAAGCCTCCTATCCCAGCCTTTGCGGGGCCCTAGTTTGACCAAACATGTATGCGGTAATATTTATTCTATCGGTAAAGGCTAGGGTACTCGCTGCATACACGTTTGGCATTTAAGCTTCGACTTCATTCAGACGTCCCCGGGCTGGTCCTGGCTGTATATTTTAATGTACCTCGCACAGGAAGTACAACAAGCTCTCAAGATTTGCGCGCTACTTCTGCAAGCATATTGATTTAGATGAGTGTACAGCGAGACCTACTGCGACAAGTGGCACATTGCGGGAATACCTCCAGTATTCTTGAGCTAAGCTTTTAGTAAGTCAGTACATACTCATTTATGTTCAGACCGCGTGAATCTTGTTGATTCGCAAACATCATAAGTACCACTGTGGCGAATAGGCCGGGGACGCCTGTACCTCTGTTGTCATTCGCCCGGACCGAATTTTTTCGCTGCGTCGCACGTGGTACTTCGCGCGCATTTGGCTGCGCCTGATCTTGAAGGTCCGATCTTCACCGGCTCTTGGCTTTGGCTTTGCGGACCCAAAAATGGCGTGGTGATCCCAAACGCGCAGCCAGCGATGACTGCCACGAAGTGCCAGGTCTGGCGCCTTCCGGAGCTTGCTTGCTTTGCGGTGGCGATGAACTGTCTTCGCCGCGCCACGTTCAGGCCAGCAGGCCAGCGCCAGTCAAGCAAGCATGGACGCGTGCTGGGTGGGGGTCAGCAAAATGGGTGGCTTCTGCAAAGTGGAGCAAGCAGGGCGATGCGACGCGTTTTGGCCAATGGGAGGCCGCGCGACGGGCGCAATCCAGCGAGGATAACCCCACCGACCTAGTTTTTAGGGTACTTTTGCTAAAACGGAGTCTAACTCGCGATGGAACCGGACAAAAGTCGCAGCTCCCGCGCCGTGGGCATCGAGCTCACGGCCGTGCTGCATGCCGTCATCGAGCCAAGCATTGCGCACAATGTGTGGCGGCGGCGCCTCCGGCGCTGCTGTTGACGGCGCCGGGTCATGGGTAATAATATGCCCCGGCGCTGCAAAAATGGAGTCAACAACCCCACCGGCACCGCACAAGTTTTTTTAATACCCACCACCATTCTCGGTGCCACTGTGCGCGCGGTCTCAGCGCCGGCAAGCTTGTCGCGCCTCGGTCTGCTCGGCGCTGCTGGTTCGTTGCTGTCGGTATCGCTCGCTGTCTGTACTCCGTCACCGCCGCCGCTGTCCTGGTGATGCAAGCAGGTCTGACCGGCAGTTGCAGACCCGTCACACGGCCAGGACAGCTCTCTTCTCGGCGAGGCGAGCACGTGCCGCTCGTTTGACTGGAACCCCGTAGCCGCCGTCGCTGGTGGTGTTGCCGCTGCTGCTGGGCCGAGCCCTACCGCCGCGCAGAGAGCGGGATCCCCACATAACGCTGCGTCAAACAGACTGTCGACGTGGCGATCGGCTGGCCAGCAGCAGCTGTGGCCAATATAGCGTGGAAGATAAAAGGCAACGGGGGCAACGGCGACGGCAGCGCCGCAGCTCAGCCTCGAGTAATGGGGGCGCCGCGAGCGCTGGGCTCCATATTTGCCGAGCGATGGTTGACGGCGGTGGGGCGGCCAGAGTTGCCGGATCGGCCGTGGGTAATCATTGCGCACAACCCTAGCCGCGCTGCAATAATCAGTATCAAGCGCATCGATTGGCCACTGCTCCCACCCGTTTTATCCCTTCGTTGTTCTCTCATTCGCGCTTTTGCCAGGTCAGCCGCAGCTCAAAGAGTGAACCCACGTGCTGCTGCTGCCCGCCACCTGCCTTTGCTTCACTTCACTCGATCAGTGCTAGGTGTCGCCGACCCCAGACGGACAGGCTCACCAGGACAGACCAGCGCGCGTAAGAGTCCCACGCGCAAAGCCCTCAATCAGACGCAGACAGGAAACGCCGGCGCCGGACCTATAAAAGGCGCCACAGACGCAACGCCGCGAGCGACCGTACGACCCTCGCCGCAGCACCGCACGGAACCCCTACCGAGCCCCCAGTGTCGAACCTCCCTCGCACCCCTCGCTCATGGGCCTCGCGCCTCCTCCAAACAGACGCCGCCGCTCCTCCGTTCCCACCACCGCCGCCGCCATGCCGCAGCCCAGTAACAACAACAACAATAGCAAACACGCCGCAGCCGCGTACGACTCGCCGGCGCGCCCGCCGTCGCCCGCCTACGACGTGGGCTACGACTCATCCGCCAGCGACGGCAGCGACTCGGACGCGTCCCCGCAGGTCGAGCAGCTGCTCATGAACCACCTGCGCTTCGCGCACGCCTTCCGCAAGAACGACGCCGCCATGATCCTGCAGTTCCTGGCCAAGGACGTGACGCTCGTGTCCGTGGACGGCGCGCGTCACGAGGGCCAGTCCGCCGTGCTCGCCTACCTCGTGGGCGCGCGCATGACCAAGCTCAGCTCCAACCTGCACGTCAAGGGCTGCCCCACGCGCTCAGGCGCGTGCCAGTCTACGTTCATCTACGAGCACGGCATCGTGTTCAAGGACCCGCTGTACATGGAGGTATTGGACTGGAAGCCCAACAGCGCCACGATCGTGCGGATCGCGCACATTGCGCTGCCCGACGCCAAGAGCGGCAAGACCCCGCAGGACTTCGGTAAGTCGTCGCCTCTGCGGCTGTCCTTCGGCACGAGGATGTCGGACGACGAGGGCTCAAGTGAGTTCAGCCGAGAATCAGACGCCAGTGACACCTGGGACCCGGATAACAACAATGCCAGCACGCCGCCGCCCGTCAAGGTGAGGTGTCGACGACTCAAGTCCAACAGCTCCGCTGACAGCAGCGCGGCCATGTCGGCAGTTACGGCCGCCACCATGAGGCTGTCCAGTAGCAGCAGCAGCAGTCAGAACGAGGCCGCCGTGCAGCCGCTGGCAGCAGGTGCTATGGTCATGCCGATGCTCACATTGGCTGAGATCTCGTGCACAGGCCTCACTCCCATTCGCAAGCGGAAGACAGTGAATCCTTTTGTGCTCCTGCAGTGCCCCGAAGCAGGATACGTATGGAAGAGCCCCGTGATGCGGCGCGACCCGAATCCCAAGTGGAACCACATCCCGTTGAAGATCCCGCCCCAGAAGATGGCCGATGTGGTGGAGATCTCGCTCTGGGACCACACCTTCTTCCGCTCCGTCAAGGTGGCCGGGGCGGCGCTCGTCGTGTCCGACATCCTCAAGGACGACGCAGAGTTCAGCACCAACATCCAGTTGGAGAGGTTCGACGCAGCCAACGCTGCTGGCGAGCCACAGTACGTGACGTTGCAGCTCCGGTTCGTGCGATTGTGCGGCGACATGGTATGCCGCTCCTCGGATGAAGTGGAGCAGAGCCCCGAGCAGTTGGACGAGACTGAGCCGAGCAAGGCGGAGCAGGCGACCTCTGCTGGCTCGGCGTTGAGCACCGGCGTCAAGTGGCTGGTGGTCGATCCGTTCCAGGACGGGCACCACGCCAGCGTGCTGCTGATGATCGTCCGCGCAGTCATTGTTGCAGCGATCGTGTGGGTTCTATTCCACGCCACCCTCGTGTGGCCCATGCAAGCTTAAAAAATGCAGGAGAAAGTTAGTTAGAAAGCGGCTTGCGGCCGAAAGAAAAAAGCAGTACCATCAGTAAAACGTCATGTAAATTATCAACCATTGTTCAACAACGACAACTCGCTACCGGTAGTTCGTCTCCTGCTTCGCATGAAGAAAACTTGTTCAGGGTGGAACGCCGCGTTCATATCCCAGTGCTCACTCGTAGACGAAGGTGGGTGTGAACTCACTGTGAGTCACGTGCAAGAGCGGCGTAAACATGTCGCGCGAGCGCAGGTCGGCCCAGGGCACCCAGCTCCAGCCCTCGCACTTGTTGGGCTCCATGTTCCGGACGGTCTGCCCGTCGTCCACGACGGCCTGCATGAGGATCGTGATGTAGTGCTTGCCCTCGTCCTCCATCGGGTCGTTGGTCACGGTCGCGAACTTGGCCGCCTTCAGGTCCAGGTCTGCTCGGCACCACTTCAATTAGATCCACCAAGTTTGAGGGTACATGTGCAAGATGGCGGTCGCCTAACGCACCTGTCTCCTCCTTGACCTCTCGCAGCGCACATTCCTCCCAGCTCTCGTACATCTCGAGGTGTCCGCCGGGCAGAGCAACCTTGCCCTCGCCGTGCGATCCCTTGCGCTGGCCGATGAGCACGCAGCCCGGGTGCTTCTTCGACATGAGCATGACACCGACACCCACGCGCACCACCGTTTTCTGCTCCTTCAACTTGGCGTACTCGGCCTGCAGCGTCCCCATGCTGTAGCATACATAGAGACCAGCGAGGTGAGCTACTGACTCGCTACTGCCCCCTCATCTAACCCCAAACCAGCTTCCGTACCGATTGCTCTCGGAAGTGTCCTGCGTTTCAAGGAAGTTAATGATGGCGTCCAGATTGGACGTGGAGCTGAGCTCGCTCCAGTGACTGGCCTGACTGATCTGGCTCAGCTGGCTGATGGGCTCCGTGAACCCGTCGCCGCAGGGCTGGAAGTCGCTGTTCCAGAGGCTGTCCTCGCTCTCTCCTTCTTCCGCAGTCGTGTACTCGTGCGGAGACTGCGACAGCGCCGACGTGTCCGTCTCGGCTATCGGAGGAGAGTTTGGCCCCGGCGACGAGGTCTGAACCATACTCGTCGTCGACTGACTACTCGACTGCGTCCATTGCACAACAGAATACTTGTTATAAATTTAAATAAAACTTAGCAGGATGCAATTCCGCATAGCTCGCACCTCGGCGACGCTGAGCTGGCTGGAGCACAGCAGCGAGTCGTCCTTCTCAATGTACTTCATCAGCAAGACCTTCATCTTGGCGTTCTCCCGGGCCTACACACCCAGCTTCTTTCAATTAATCAATAGCTCTACAGACCAATTATTGTCGGTCTCTCACCGTGAGCACGAGCTTGCGCTTGGCCTCCTGCAGCGCGCTGCGACAGGCCTCCAGCTCCGCCTCCGCGTCGCGCAGCGTGCGGCGCTTCTTCTTGGGCGCCTCGTCCGAGGGCGACGGCGCAGGAGGGGGCAGAGGACTCATCGTGCAGGCGGCAGGAAGTGGCGGCGGCCGAACGATTCACTCGCTTTTGGATGTTCCCGCGAAAACTAAACGCGAAGGCCCGCAGGGATTTTTAGTGACATCGGTTTTTGAATATATACAATTTTCTAGACGATTGACGAGTTCACTTTAGTGACGGGGGCAAGTTGAAGTGGGAGATCCAAAATAGCGGAGCTGGTGGAGTGGAGTTTGGCGTCAAGCTTTGGCGTTGTAGCTGGCAACAGCTCGTTGTTGCTTGACAAGAAACTCTTGCCAAGGCGCTATGAACACAGCAGTAGAAATGGTTTCTCTATGTCTCGCGCCGCTGCATCTGCATGGATTGAACGGCGCACGGTTTGCTTACGAGTCAACCTGCATCCGTGACTGCACACACCGTCGTCAAAGCAAGCTCATAGAAACTGCATAATACAATGGCGACGTGCGCACCACGCAGCATCGCTGCGGCGCAATCGCAGACCCTGAGCATTTTGCTCCGGCCGGACAGGCCCGTGTCGTTTCGTGCTTCTTCAGCGTCAAGTGCGACCGCGTCTCGTGCAGCACAAGTTGTGCTTGCAAGTGCAAAGGATGTTATGGATAACACTAGCATAGAGGGGGAAATAATAGCGGTCCTTGGTCGCAGGGCGTTGGTGCTGACTGAGCCGGGAGGGTGGTCCAAGCGGTCCTCTGATTGGCCAGGCGACATGGGGCCGGAATGACGGTAACTTCAGCCGCTGGTGTCCGTTGCCCACCAGCTGCCAAGATGCCGCGCGCGACGAACGAGAAGACCCCACTGCTGAAGGAGCCGCCCGAGGTCTCCCTGGAGGACCCGCAGCCCAGCCAGGGCGCCACGATATGGGAGCTGCGTGTGCTGCTGATCCCGTGTAAGTTTGCCAGCTCGCTGTTCTGTGATATGGGGGGGGGGCACTTTGCTGACTGTATCATCACAACGCATTTGAACAGACTTCTGGCCCAAGACATGGGGACTGCGCCTCCGAGTGTTCGTCTCGTTCTCCTTCATGTTCCTGTCGCGAGGCTCGCGTATCCTGGCCCCGCTGTTCCTGAAGGAGGCGACGAACACGATCTCGGGGAGCAACTTCACACGGATCCCGGTGTTCGCTATTGTCATGTACTGCAGTAGGTGCTGGTATCGTCCAGGAAGCGAGCTACTTGCATGACTGACTAACATGGTGCGCGCGATTGATGATCAGTGACGCTGTTTGGATTCGCTGCGGCGAAGCAGCTGCAGACGTATCTGTACATGGTGGTGAAGCAGCACGCGTACCAGGATGTCGCTGCTAATGTACAGTCGTCGCCTGGATCCTATGTAAAGGGGACGAGCTACTCACTGATGTTTCTGTTGTCTGTTGCTGTAGCTGTTCGCGCACCTACATAGTCTCTCGATGAACTACCATTTGACCAAGAAGACGGGCAAGGTGCTGCGGTGTCTGGATCGAGGCTCTACGAGCACGGACAACATCGTCAACGTCATTTTCTTCCGCTTACTGCCCACATTTGTCGAGCTCGTGGTCGTCTCCATCGTGTTCATTTTCTCGTTCAAGGAGAAGATCCTGTCGGTGGTGACGATTATTGGCGTCGTTCTGTACGTGGTCATTACCGCGATGGGCACGCGAATCCGCTTGCGCTTCAAGAAGCAAACCAACGAGCACGATAACCAGGCCAGTGAGAAGGCTGTCGACTCACTTGTAAACTTTGAGACGGTCAAGTACTTTTGCACGGAGGATTACGAGCTCGCGCGGTACATGTCGAGCATCTACCTCTATCAGAAGTCGCAGCTGTCCACTCGAGGCCTCATGAACGCCATCGTGGTGGCGCAGCAGCTCATCCAGCAGACGTGCCTTGGCGCATGCCTTCTGATCTCGGCTCGCAACATTTACTACGGGGTCATGACGGTCGGTGACTTTGTGGCCGTGACGGTGTACATCACCAACATTTTCAAGCCTCTGGACTCGCTGGGCAACATCTACAACACCATCGTGCAGTCTTTCGTGGACATGGAGAATCTGGCGGAACTTCTGCGGATTCAACCCGAGGTGCAGGACAAGCCTGGCGCTCCAGCATTAGAGGCCTCTGCGACCGCTAGCACTGTCACGTTCCACAACGTATGCTTCAGATATCCTAGCCAGCCAGCAGCGAACGGCCTCAAGGACGTGAGCTTTACCGTACCTACGGGCAAAACGGTGGCTATCGTGGGCTCCACCGGTTCCGGTAAGACGACCATCAGCCGCCTGCTATTCCGCTTCTACGATGTGCTGTCAGGCCGAATCTCCATCAACGGCCAAGACATCGCTTCGGTGCGCCAGAAATCTCTTCGCAAGAGCATCGGAATCGTGCCTCAGGACACAGTCATGTTCAACGACACCATCCGCTACAACGTAAGCTTCGAACCTGCTCTGGTTATGGTAACTTTGATGCTGTAGATTCTAACGTGTTCATGTTGCTGTTGCTTGCCTGCAGCTCACGTACGGACACCGCCACTGCACGGACGAGGAGCTGATTGCAGCCGTGAAGGTGGCCAACATCTACGACTTCATCATGTCCCTGCCCAACCAGTTCGATTCGCAGATCGGCGAGCGTGGGCTGAAGTTGAGCGGCGGGGAGAAGCAGCGCATCGCTATCGCGCGCCTCGTGCTCAAGAACCCGTCCGTGGTGGTGCTGGACGAAGCCACGTCGTCGCTTGACACAGTGACGGAGCAGAGCATCCACCAGGCCCTGAACGTGGCGTGTGAGGGCCGCACCACGATCATCATCGCACACCGCCTCTCGACAGTTCGCCACGCGGACAACATCATCGTCCTCGAAAAGGGCCGCATCGTGGAGACTGGCAGCCACTCGCAGCTCCTCGAGCAAGGAGGACGTACGTTGCTCTTCTCCTTCGTCTCAGTTGTTAAAATGATCCCGGATACTAACTCTACCTGTCTGATCCGTCACCTACAGGCTACCTGCAGCTGTGGACGCAGCAGTCTCGCGAGATGGAGGACGATACTCCCACCGAAGAGTGTTGAAGTTGTTGTTGTTGATAGACCGAACATGGCTACACTACAGTGGCATGGCTACACAAAATACAAAACAATTACCAAACTGACCCGTCAATTGCGTACTTAAATGGAGCGGACACTGTTCGCTTGGCGCTCGAAGGCTCACCTGAAAACGCACAGAAGAGAGCAGGTGTCATCATGGCCGCCGCTGGAATGCGCTTCTGCCGCGAGTGGTAAGCCCCCCCCATACCTACTGTTGCCTCCTCCCACTGCTTCTCTGTCTGATTGTGTGCGGCTTACCCCCTCCTTGAGACGGTGGAGCCGCCCCGTCGTCGTTAAAGGAGGCGGCAAGCTGCCACGAGGTGGCAACAGCGAAGCTGCCTGCCCCGATGCTCATCCTGATCATACTGACGCCCTGCCCCCTTTGCTACTGCTTTGACTGCGACGCCCACAGCAACAACATGTTGTACCCGAGCCAGGACCGCGAGATTCGCCGCCTGGTGTTCCGCTGCCGCAACTGCGGGCAGTCCGAGGACGTGGAGGAGAACTGTATTTATGCCAACGAGCTGGTCAAGGACACGCGGTGCGTCTCCTGCTTGCCATATCTTGCCGTCCTGCAAGATAGCTGCAGTGCTGTGCATCTACGTGGACGATCGCTGACCGACGCTTTCTTTCATTGTTGCTCTCCGATATTTCGTGTGTTTGCTGCTGCAGTGTGCAGCTGGACGTGCTGCCGGGCGACGTGATCGACGACCCGACGCTGCAGCGCGACTACGACGTGGTGTGCCCCAATTGTAACCACAACGGCGCCGTGTTCATCCGCTCGCAGGACGGCGTGAAGCAGTCGACGCTGGCGCTGATATGGGTCTGTCTGAACCGCGACTGTCAGGTGGACGAGGAGGGCAACCGCCTGCCTTCCTACCGCTGGATGGGCTCCTGAGCTGACGACGCTGGTTGACTCCCACTTCCACACTGCGCAGGCGACAATCGACAAGCAACAAGACCGTCCGCAGGGTACAGTACAGTAGGTTGACCACATATACGTCATCTTTCAGGCCTTTTCCTATTTTACGCCGCATCCTAGTCTAGGCCCTGTCCTACTTTACTCAAACCGCAACAACCTGAATCCCCCCCGAGCCAAAAGGCGAGAACGCGAGCCGAGCCAAAAGCGCGAGCCACAGCCCAACAGCAAGCAAGCAAGAAACAGCCAGGCAGTCGCAGTCGCTAATTCCAGCCTCGCTCTCACGCTCACGCTCACCATGGACGCCAACCAGCTGCGCGAGCTGGAGACGCTGTGCCGCGTGCTGTACGAGAGCGGCAACGAGGCGGAGCGCGCGCACGCGCAGCAGGCCGTGCTCATCCTGCAGAGCTCGGCCGAGTACATCCCGCAGTGCCAGTACGTGCTGGACAACTCGTCGTCGCCCTACGCGCTGCTCGTGGCCAGCACAAGCCTCACGAAGCTCATCACGTCGCACTGGAACAACTTCACCACGCCGCAGCGCGTCGACATCCGTAAGCAAACTGCAACACGTGCACCATTGTTGCACTTCGGTGCAAAATATTTATTGGCACAGTTAGCACTAATTTAAACTTGTTGCCACCCTTTGTTCCATCCCATTTGCATGCAGGCAACTATGTGCTCGGGTACCTGGCCCAGAAGGGGCCGACGCTCGAGAAGTTCGTGACGACGTCGCTCATCCAGATGGTGTGCCGCCTCACCAAGTACGGCTGGTTCGACGACGAGCAGCACCGCGAGATCGTGGCCGAGGTGACCAAGTTCCTGCAGGCCACGGTGGACCACTGCGTCATCGGGCTGCAGATCCTGAGCGAGCTCGTGACGGAGATGAACCTGCCCGTGGCAGGGCGCAACATCACGTTCCACCGCAAGATCGCCGTGTCCTTCCGCGAGGACTCGCTCTTCCGCATCTTCCAGGTCGCGCTCACGTCCATCAAGCAGCTGCAGATGCACAACATCCGCGGCGCGTCGCCCCAGCAGGAGGCGCGCATGGGCGACCAGGCGCTCGCGCTGCTCATCAAGTGCCTGTCCTTCGACTTCATCGGCACGAACCCGGACGAGTCGTCCGAGGAGACGGGCTCGCTGCAGGTGCCCACGTCCTGGCGCTCGGTGATCCAGGACCCGGACACGATCCAGCTGCTCTTCGACTTCTACAAGACGACCAACCCGCCCAACACGTCCAAGTGCCTGGAGGCGCTCATGCTCTTCGCCTCCGTCAGGCGCAACCTCTTCTCGCCCGACAAAGAGCGCAGCGTGTACCTTGCGCACTTGCTCAAGGGTATCTGCGCCATCCTGCGCGCGCAGGAGGGACTGTCGGACCAGCAGAACTACCACGAGTTCTGCCGCTTGATCGGCAGGTTGAAGTCGAACTACCAGCTCTCGGAGCTCATGAAGACCGAGTCGTTCCAGGAGTGGATGGATCTCACGCCCGACTTCACGATCAAGTCGTTCCGCCAGTGGCAGTGGTCCGCCAACTCGACGCACTACTTGCTGGCCCTGTGGGCGAGGCTCGTGGCTGCTCTGCCCTACGTGCGCGCGGACTCGGTGCCCGGATCGCCCAACTCCGGGGCGATCAACTTTTTGGATACGCGCGTGCCACAGGTTATTCAGGCTTACATCCAGTCGCGGCTCGACTCGGCGGAGCAGTGCGCGCTTGACGACACGCTGGACAACCCGCTGGATGACGAGGGTGGGCTGTATGAGCAGCTGGAGAAGCTGCCGACGCTGTGCCACTTCAACTACCGCCAGACTGGCGAGTACATCGTATCAGTGTTGGATCCGATCCTGAATCAGTACGCGGAGGCGTGCAGCATTTTGGACCAAAGTGGCGGGGCCGCGATCCCTCCGCAGCAGCAACAGCAGCTCGAAAGCATGGAGAACCAGACTGCGTGGCTTGTGTACGCTATTGGCGCCATCATCGGCGGTCAGACGTACTCGTCCACGTCGACCGAGGGGGACGAACTTGTAGACGCGGACCTCTCGCAGCGCGTGTTCCGGGCGATGCAGCTGACGGAGCATCGGATCATCGCGTCGGGCGGCCAAACAAAGCCTAGTGTGCACTTTGAGTTATCGTTGCTATACTACTTTAGCAGCTTCCGCAAGAGCTACATCGGCGAACAGCACGGCATGCCGTCGGCGCCCACGCCGCCGTCCTCCATGCAGCCCGCGTCCGCTGGGGCGGCTTCATCGCCTATCATGGCCCCTAGTGAGAGCGCCATGTCTTCTAAGCACAAAGCATACTTGCGCATGTTCGAGCGGCTAGGACTGGGCGACCACACGGTCGTTGTGAACATGATGGTAACGAAAGTGGGCAACAATCTCAAATTCTGGGGTGAGACCGAAGTGGTTATTAGCAAGACTCTGGCGCTGTTCTTCGAGGTTGCATCTGGGTACTCCTCGGGCAAGCTGCTCCTCGGGCTGGAAACGGTGCAGTACCTTATTGGAAACCACACCGCAGAGGAGTTCCCGTTCCTTGCGATACCGGCGAACACGCGGCACCGAACCACGTTCCACTCGACTATCGCGCGGCTCATTTTCACGACAGCGTTTGACGAATCTTCAGAGCGTTTCGAGCGGTTTATGGAGCCCATTGAGAACGTGCTGAACCAGTTGCTACAGACACCCAACTACAGAGTGCCGGAAGTTCGCGAGGCTGTGATCGGAGTGTGCCGCGACCTGCGCGGCATCGTGCAGCAGACGCACAACCGGCGTACGTACAGCTGCATCTTCGACTTGCTGTATCCGGCCTACTTCCCCGTGTTCGTCCGAGCTGCTGATGAGCTCTACGACCACCCGGCGGTGACGACTGCGCTGCTCAAGTTTTTACAGGAGCTGGCGTACAACAAGGCCCAGCGTGTCACGTTCGACCAAAGCTCAGCTAGCGGCATCTTGCTGTTCCGGGAGCTGAGCAGCGTCGTCGTAGCGTACGGGCGGCGGATACAACCAGTGCCGGCCGGGAAGAACCCGTACGGCGATAAGTATAAGGGCGTGGCGCTTTGCCTGGGTATTCTGTACCGAGCGCTGGGCGGGAACTACGTGAATTTTGGCGTGTTCCAGCTCTACAACGACAAGTCGCTGGAGAACGCACTAGAGATCGCGCTGCAGCTTGTCCTATCTATCCCCCACGAGGACCTGATGCACTACCCCAAGGTGAAGAACGCCTACTTCTTCTTCCTGGAGATTTTGTTCCGGAATCAGTTGGCTTCCGTCGTGGCGCTGGAGGACGGGATCTTCCGGCAGCTCGTGCAGTCCTTGCACGAAGGTATGAACTCGTACGACCTGGCTATCGCTGCTCAGTGCGCGACAGCGGTGGATCACCTCGCGTCGCTGTATTTCCAGGAGATGAAGAAGAAGCGGGATACGCCGGTGAAGCACGCCTTGCGCGCACACGTCCAGGGCTCGCCGAACATGTGGTCGACGCTGCTAGCGGCGCTGCTGGACATTTTGGTGTACGGCGAGGTGAACTCGCAGTGGGCGCTGTCCCGGCCGATCTTGAGTCTCACACTGTGCAGCGAGGAAGCGCTGACCAACTACCAGCAGTCACTTAGCTCTTCACAGCCGCCTGAGAACCGAGCGCAGATCGAGGAGGCGTTTGCCGCGCTGTTCGCAGACGTGCGTCCCAACCTGGAGGCCGCCAACCGCGACAAGTTCACACAGAGGCTGGGCCAGTTCCGCAACACACTGCGCGGCTTCCTTACTATCCAATAATTTAGTTGGGTCGGCTACGCTGCGCTGCGGTGCACCTGCAGCTCCTCAACTCGTCGTGATTGCAAGTAATTCAACGAAGGTGGCCAACTGAGATGGACTGGAACGGGGTGTTGATTTTGGTATTGGTTACGAGCTTACTGGAGGCGAAGTACAGGCGACTAGGACGAGAGCGGATCAGGGGAGCTCGATGCAACGTGGAGATACAGTCAACCCTTGAGGAAACCCGGAGAGTGGCTAGTTCGATTAGATGGTGTAGGAGAGTGACCTCGTGGAGGGCAGAGCGAACGGAACTTTGTCGTGGTGAGAATTTTTTTAAGCGCTTTTGCTGCTGAAGCGAGCGAGCTCTGACGCATTAATTGAAAATGCAACGATAGACTAACATTGGAATACACCACGGACATTGCTAGGGGTTTTTCTTTATGGAACAAGTGGCGTTGCAGCGGAGAGTGATGAAGAGCTGGTGGGTGTTTCTTGACTGTCGGGGTGGTTGCCGTTTGGAGGCACGAGGGGCGTCGAAGACGGCAGTATACCGTTTTGGTATGTTACCTGCGTCGTTAGCAACACGGTGAACTACAGCCAGTATCAACCAACAGCGACACATCGTACCAGCGGTGGCTTCTTCGGTGCAAGGGGGTACGTGATCTGGATCTGCAGCAATAAATCCCACTTAGATCTAGACCTAGACCATGAAATGAGCTATAGCTTGACCTTAGCGTACCCAGGATCTGCCACACGACCGTACCAGCTGCCACTCGACGCCAACGCGCTCGAAGCAGACGCGTTTATTGATCCGTGTCAGAAGTGCACGAACGTACTGCTCGGCCTGCAAGAACCAGCCTCAACATCCAAGTACGAGCTTTCCAACCTTGTTCACGCCCAACATAATGGAGCGAACGTACATCCCTGATGCAGAAGTTCGGGCAGAAGAGCGAGAGCCCCAGTGTGCAAGGACAGCAGCCGTAGCCGCAGAAGATGCAGAAGAAGCACGGCCAGTAGTCCTGCATGGTGTTGTTGATCTGGTTAATGGCGATCTCGAAGTCCGTCTCCTTCACCAAGTGGCTGAGTTCAGGCGGGAAGTCGTCCTCGTAGGCTCGAGCCACGCCTGTGACGAAGCGCATCCGCGTGGGGTAGAGCCGCACCTCGCCGTACTCCTTCTCGGCATCGACGCGCCCTGGGCCGCGGACCATCACGACGGACACCGCGTTCGACGAGGCATCGTGAAAGCTCGTTGCCACCATCGCCGCTCCACGAGGAGAGCGAACGGGCAATCGATGAGTTCTGCCCCTCTACTGCAGCAATCCACCGATGAAATCTAGCATGGAGTGGCCATCCCGCGACAAGATTCGCTTTGTCGCGGAGGGAGCAGCAAGCGGCGGTCAGGGGCGCATGCCCACCGCAGATTTGAGACCCGCGTCCTTTCATGCTCCAACGACCTTCGCGCAACATCTCAAGTTGAAGTGCGTCGCCCGATAGGAAGGTCTTTGTTGCAGTCATCGCGCACCTCCAGCATCGACTGACTAGGTTATACTAATGACAGCATCACACATCCATTGCTGCCGATAATTAAAGGTTGTCACTTCGAAGCAGCGGGCTTCTTACGGGGCCCTGGGGTTGCAATAGCGTCCAGCACGAACTTCGTCGGAGATGTTGCGCCTGGCGTGCCGGTGGTAGTACGACGCGGGTGAGACGGGTGTGGGGCGACGTAGAGGACGCCACAAGGAGACCGCCTCACCACGGGCCCGTCCTGGCTTCCGTGTCGATTGAGTCGTGTCTCCAGGATGTTGCGCGTGAGATCCGTGCGCCACTCTTGAGCTACGATGCCTCTGAGCTCTACATCACTCAGTCGTCTGCCTTCCCTGCTGTCGAATCACCACGCGTGAGCGTTAGCACTTGTCTAAACGGAAGAGTAAATACTGTCACAACAACGTACTCTCCTAGCTCGCGACGTAGCTCCTGCGTGGCCCACGCTGCGAACGAGTCGCTCGGGCGCAGCAGATCCGGGTTTTCGCGGAAGGTGTTGACCTTTGTGGCGTAGTAGGAAATCTGCATGGGCTTGCCAGCGAACTCCTTCCACTCTGCCGGGATCTGCTGTTCGATGCGCTCCACTCGCGGAGCCATCTCGTATTCACCCTCCTTCGCCATGTCTTGGACAGCGTCGCTTTGGCGAAGAGACGCTAAGCGGAAGAATCGATAAGTAGAGAAGAAAAACTTGTGTAGTATTGAACGAACTTGGTAGGATACTAGTCTTTGGCCAAGGACAGAGGCTGGATACTGGGGTGCACGCTGCCCATAGTTAACGGAGAGCTGGATACTTCCAGTGACTTGTTGATCCCAGACGACGCACTCTTGACTTGACGGCCGCCTACGAAGATGGAGACGATGTTGCGGTCGTCTCCAAGGAACAAAAACTTCTGGAACGTGTGCAGTACGTCAGCAGCCTCAACGGGGTCGTGGGCTTCATCAATGGGGCTGTTCGGCGCGTAGGGGTCAATGACGAGCGCGTCAAAGCTCTTGCCAACCATGAAGTTGCCCACAGTGTCACCGAGTCCAAGAGCCTCAGCACTCCCCACTGTCGCGAGGTGAAAAGCCTCAGCGTACGAGAGCGAATCTTCCTGTGGTTCCTCGCTGTCCTCATCGCTGGAGCTGCCGTTGCCAATGGAGACGAGCTTGGAGGCGATAACCGCCTGGCGAATGGCGTCCAGCATCGAAGGCGAATACCCTCCGGACACGTCGGTACCGAGCCCGACCTTGACGCCTTCTTGCAGCAACCGACGGACATTCAGTACGCCGCTAGAGAGCGAGAAGTTGGAGTTGGGGCAGTGGATGACCGCCGTCTGCTTCTCTCGGAGCAGCTCGCGCTCTCCTTTGCTGCACCAGATGCAGTGCGCCATGTACGACCGCTCGTGTAGCAGTCCGTGGTCGTCGTAGACGCCCGTGTACGTCTTGCTCTCGGGGTGCAGACTCTTGACCCAGCTGATCTCGTCGCGGTTCTCGCCTAGATGCGACTGCACGGGCAGCTTGGGCGTGTGCTCCCTCGAGATCTCGGCCAGCGCGTGCATCAACTTGGACGAGCAGCTCGGCACAAACCTCGGGGTGATGACAGGCGTCAACACATCGCTCTTCTTGCTCTGCACGTACTGCACGAACGCGCGCGTGTCGTCGATGGACGCTTGCGTGTCCTCCTGTAGCCCGGACGACGCGTTGCGGTCCATGTTGACCTTCCCCACGTAGCCGCGCTGGCCCACCAGCTCCAATATGTCGGTGAGCACCTTGCAGGCGTCGAGATGCACCGTGGCGAAGTACGAGCACGTGGTCGTGCCATTGTGGAGGTGGCGGCGCACCGCCTTCTCGTAGACGGCTCGCGCGTAGTCCGCGTTCTGGAACTTGGACTCGTATGGGAACGTGTACGTCTCGAGCCACTTGAGCAGCGGCAGGTGCATCCCCACGCCGATGAACGAGTACTGCGGCGCGTGCGCGTGGCCATCGATGAAGCCGGGCAGCAGCAGCTGCTCGCCCAAGTCTACGAGCTCGTCGAAGTGCGGCGTGGCCGTCTCGGACTGGCCCAAGTCCAGCACGAACACGATGGAGCCGCGGTCGTCGACGCCGACGAGGCCAGGTTGAAGCACCTGCAGCTGCCCGAGCGCGACGGAGTGCACCACGTTGGCCTTGTACGCGACGACGCGAGGCATTACTTGACTTGACTTGCGCGCGAGGCAGCAAATTGCGGAATGAGCGTGAAATTCTTTCTCATCAGCCCCAAGTTGCAGTTACCTGCTGTTCACATTCAGACCCGGATTGGCTGGGGAATCGAGTCTTACAAACTGACGTACGCTCCAGCGCCTGCGACGTCACCGCCCCCTTCCTTCCAGCAATGGAGCGATGCAGGTGCTGGCCCACGTCGGGGAACTTCCAGGCTGGACTATTGCGGGCGGGGGCTGTTTTTAATCCTGAAACGGTCCGCAACGCCATGAGTGTTTAGCTTAGCTCGTCCTCGCCACCTCCTCACTTATTTCTATTCCAGCGGCAACGGGGTCGGTTGCAACGTGAAGGTCGACCCCCGCGCTGCGTTCGTTCCCTCGGCAGGCATCGGCACCACCACAGCAAAGAGACAATAAACTCGTCGCAGCGTGAATGCAAGCACTTGCTTGCTCTAACAGTTGTTGTTTTTAACCCTTTAATTAAAAAGGGTACAGAATTCTGCCCGAATAAGGAACGGGTGTACAACTAATAGCCTCACATATTTAATATTATTTTCCAGTCAATGTGGCGATAGGGGGATGTGCAAGGTACTGCAAGGTACTGAGGTACTAAGGTGAAATATCCAGTGCCAATCATCAGCTCTCCACCCTCGTTTGAAAAATGGCGCGCATTTAGCGATCTTATTAGACTTCAAACTACATGTACCGTAGTGGTAGACTCGCACTTTTGCTTTTGCACCGCGCCCCACAAGCCCACCTCCTCCCCCACTCCACCATTTGACAGCGCTGTTGTGGTGCGAGGATGCCTGGTCAAAGGTTAGTGCTTCGACCATACGCCACTGTTGGAATCATTCCGGACTCGTAGGTAAAGCTGCTCTTCAGTTCATTTTGAAATAACTAAATCAGTACATTGGAAAAGTATACTCAACTTAACATCAATTGATATATTCTGCATCTTTATATATATCAGGCGTTCCTTACTCGGGCAGATTACTGTAGCTTTACTTCTTCTGAACAGCAAAAACACGCCGAAACTTTCGCCCAATCACGCGCTTGCAGACGTACGTCACGATCGCAAAGATTCCGTCTGCGCCCTCATCACTTCGAGAGTCGCTCGCTGCATCCCTCTATCTCTACCCACCCAAGGACCTTGGCGACATGATCGAGGGCCAGCACCCCGTGCTGCAGGCGCTGCTGGGCACGCTCGTGACCTGGGGCTTCACAGCGCTGGGCTCGGCCATGGTGTTCGTGCTGGACGTGGAGGACAAGCGCCGCAGCCAGCAGCTGCTGGACGGCATGCTGGGCTTCGCGGGCGGCGTCATGCTGGCCGCGTCCTACTGGTCGCTGCTGGCGCCGTCCATCGAGATCGCTGAGCAGTCGGCGCTCTACGGGCCGGACGGCCGCTGGGCCTTCGTGCCGGCCGCCGTGGGCTTCACGCTGGGCGCGCTCACGCTCTTCGGCACGGAGCGCCTGCTGCCGCTGCTCGAGTCGGTTCTGGGCGTGACGCCGCAGTCGCTGGGCGACCGCCAGAGCGCCAAGAAGAAAAAGGACGACGACTACAAGGGGGAGAACGACGAGGTAGAGGCCTACGACAAGCCCACGGCCGCCAGCACCAGCAGCTTCCGCCGCGTCCTGCTGCTGGTTATCGCCATCACGCTGCACAACCTGCCCGAGGGCATGGCGGTGGGCGTGGGCTTCGGCAGTGTGGGCCACAGCTCCAGCGCCAGCTTCGGCAACGCTGTCAATCTGGCTATTGGCATTGGGCTGCAGAACTTCCCCGAGGGGCTGGCCGTGTCCATGCCCCTGAGGAGGGAGGGCACGTCGGCGTTCAAGGCCTTCATGTGGGGGCAGGCCAGTGGACTGGTAGAACCGATCGGAGGGGTGAGTGGAGAGAGAGGGAGTGATGGTTGTCAGGGGGCTGGGATACTGACTAACGAGAGGTTATGTTGTTGCTGTAGTTGATTGGGGCGGGCGCGGTGATGTACGTGCAGCCAATCCTTCCGTACGCGCTGTCGTTCGCGGCGGGCGCGATGATCTTCGTGGTGGTGGACGACCTCGTGCCGGAGACGACGCAGAGCGGCAACCAGAAGCTCGCGACGTTCGGTACCATCGTGGGCTTTGTGGTCATGATGGTCATGGACGTCGCGCTTGGGTAACCGGTAAACTTACGCACTTAGACTCGTTTGAGGAGGCGGTCGATGGCCTCGTGGAAAATGCATGTCTTTTGGTTTAACCTCGTTTTGTCTCCGTGTACGACAGTCTAGTTAACAGGGCTGCCTGTCGCCGTCTTCCTGCATCAAGAAGAAGGAGAACTCCTCGCCCTGCCAGTCGTTGGCGACAGCGGTGGTGGTTTGTTGCGCTGGTTTGGTGGGTCCTGCAGGTCGAATCTCCTCGCCTTGCGTCGCTGCGGCCACCCAGATCGCGTTGATAAGACCAGCCACCGCCAGGAGCGTGATACTGGCGAACATCCACTGCGGAGCTTGCGAGTAGTCGAACTCGGCGTGGAATTTCTCGCCTCCAGGGTCGAGGCTGAGCTCCACCGCGGCCTGCATCGGCTGGTCGCACATCGCTTCGGCGATGCCGACGCGGTTGTTGTCCACGTCGTAGATGATGTCGTGGCCCTCCAGGACGCTGGCCCCTAGAATGGTCGCCCTTGGACCAGGAGAGAAGAAGATGGTGCCCGTGTAGACGCCATCCCCCACTTGAGCGAAGTATCGACTGGGAGGGAGACAAATGTGCACGTCGTTCTTGAGCCAGAAGCAGATATCGGGCAGTGCAGCGACCTGGTCGGGCGTCATGGAGTAGAACGTGTCGCTCTGCGGGATGTAGGAGAAGCTGCCGACCGCTCGACTCCACGCGAGTCTGAATGGTTCCTTGGTTCTCTCGGGCATGTATAGGAAGGTCGTCCCGCTGTCGAGGACACAGCCACGGTCCGCATTGTACTCATAGGTGTCCACCTGCAGCGTGTTGCTTTGATTGCCAACAGATACCGACTGCAGCGTCACAGTCCAGTACTGGTAGCCCGTGCTGCGTAGTGGCGTGTAGCGCACGGGTTCCGTGTGTCTTGTGAGATCCACGCCGCCGATCGTGAGCATGCCCCCGCCCTCAGTCAAGCACTGCGAGAAGATGCGCGAGTGCGTCACCTTTTGGCGATAGAACTGCTCGAAGATGGAGTCCGGGTGACGGGAGAAGCCCATGATGCCATCCGACGGCTGGTCCAGGAACACGCCGGACTGCTCGTAGATGCAGCCGAACTCGATGCGCGCCTCGAACGACGGCGACAGCTGCATCATGTCCGACGCCTTGTAGGCGCTCCAGTGGTCTCCTTCCACGTACGTCTGGCCGTACTTGCACTTGCCGTTCTCGCAGGCCATGCACGCAGGCTCGCCCCAGCTCGTCTGGAGGGTCATGGAGCGGTCACACGACAGGTACGTCGTGTTGCCCGTCAAGACGAAGGGCTCGTGCCTCCGTTTACTGCCGCAGTTGTTGCAGCCCACGCACACGAACGCCGTCTTGCCGCTGCCCGTGTCGATGATGAGTTCGCGCTGCTGGCCGCCGACCAGCACCTGGATGGTGTGCGACCCGGAGCCCGAGCGAAGTGCCGTCTCCACAGTCGCCTCGTTGCGCGGACTGCTCTCGTCCACGGGGTCTCTGGCGCTCAGCGTCTGCTTGGCCTGCAGCTCCTCGTCCATCGACCGGTGGTACCGATATCGGCCCTGCAGCGCGTTGACAGCTTGGCTGCGCGCGACGCCGTTCGACATCTCGAGCTGGATCGTGTTGGGCGCGTCCACCGCGGCACGCGCGCCCCACACTGCGAGCGACGCGAGAACCGCATAGCGGCCGAGCGCGCCGACTGCCATTCGGCTCGAAGCAGTGCAAACGCGGAGTGGCTAGCCAAAGGATCCAAACACCGGAGGATTCGGCGTCAATAGGCGCGACCCCGACTAGTCGAGCATGCATGGCCCTTCAGCTTCGATCAAGGAGTTACAGCCACGGTCTTCGTGTTCCTACCGCTATGCTGGAGGCTTTAGTGCCTGCCTACTTGTTGATGTCGAAGGAGAGGTGTGCTAGCCGCTCGCTAAGTGTCCATAGCTTGGTGGCTGCGATGGTCGAGTAACTCAGCTTGGACGGCGTCTCGCGCACTGGGTGGCCGAACATGGCGTTGAAGTGTTTGGGACCGAAGAAGTCCCCGCCCTTGACGTCGCTCCCTGTAGCAGCGTAGAGCGTCGGCAACGCCCCCATCTCAATGGTCTGCCGCGGCATGAGCGTCCACAGCTTGAACGCCGTCGTCCACATCCAGTTGCTGTTGGATGTTGATGGCGCCGTGAGAAGGTTGGTGGACGTGGTGCCTGGATGACACGCGACGGCGGTGACGCCCTCGACCCCCGCGGCCTTCATGCGTCTGTCCAGCTCGAAGGTGAAGAGGATGTTGCAGAGCTTTGTGTTGGCGTAGTTGAACCACTGGCTGTAATTGCGCTCGCTCGCGGCCATGATGTTGTCCTCGTCGAAGGTCCAGAAGGCGTTGCGGTGCACCATGCTGCTCACGTTCACGATGCGCGCGGGGGCGCTCTGCTTCACCACGTCGAACAACTGCGCGGTCAGAGCGAAGTGGCCCAGGTGGTTGGTCGCGAACTGCCGCTCGTAGCCGTCCACCGTCTTCGCGTACGCTCCGCCCATGACGCCGGCGTTGTTGATGAGCAGATCCAGGCGGTCGTGGGTCTTCTTGAACTCGGAGGCGAACTGCTTCACGCTGGCCAAGTCGCTCACGTCCACCTGCATAAACTCCACAGAGCCGGCAGCGTCGGGGTCCGACGCCAACGTCTCACGGATCTTGGTCTCGGCTGCTCGGCCGCGTTGGATGTCGCGACAAGCCAAAACCACGTGCGCTCCATTGCGAGCGAGATGCAGCGCTGTCTCGTAGCCGATGCCAGAGTTTCCGCCCGTGACCACCGCTAGTTTGCCCTGCTGCGAGGAGATCCGCGAGGCGTCCCATTTGTCGGGCACCTGCGATCTGCTGGCGGCGCTGCCCATTGTTCAGGGAAGCGATGGTAGCCACACGTTTCTACAACCGCTTGAAGGCAGCAAGATTTGTGTCGAAAGCCTGAAACCAAGTTGGGGAGTTCTAGCATAGCAACAGGAGGCTGGGTAAAGCATAATGGCGGTACAGTCCTCTTAGTTAGCATGGTGATCAAGTGTTACAGCAGTGCTCGGGTCTAGATGGGCTGGTAAAGCTGACGATGCTCGCCGTTCTGGCGACGGCGACGATGCACGTAGACTGTGGCCGCCAGCATGAGGAAGGCGCAGCCAACGAAGAGCGACACGGTAGCGCCAGACGCGGCTTCAGTCGGGGTGCTCGCCTGCGAGACGGTGGCGCTGGTCTGCTGGGCCAAGTCCGCGTCGCGGTGGTCGTCTTCGTCAATTGCGCCGGGCGCCTTGGTACTCCGAGGCTCCACGACACCTCCAGCCGCCTCGCGCTCGAACGGATCCGTCGGGTACGAGATGGCCGTGCACTTGTCGTCGCCGAATAGGAAACAGTCAAAGAGGTGGAGGCCGTGGAGCGGACGCACAGCCGGCACCATGTGGCCTGCGCCCTTGACAGTCTTGAAGGTGAGTCCAAGCTCGAAACGCTGGTGGTAGCCGGCAATCTGATTGTCCGGGCCGAGCCACGCGCGCCACGGAGACGCAGGCTTGAGCGCCAGTCCGTTGTCTTCCGTGATCCAGCGCTGCGTGCCAATGAAGTTCACGACCGAGTCGGCGTCTCCACTGTAGATGAGAACCTCGAGGTCGTTGCCGAGCAGCTTGCGGTACTTGTCCAGCGAAGAGTAGGTACGGACGTAGTTGCGCGAGATGAAGGACTGGCAATCCACCCACTTCATGGGCAGCTCGCCTTCAATGTGCAGCGCCTGCTGTACCTCCAGCTTGTTCAGAAGAGCCTCAGTGAAGTCACCAGCGCAAGGGCCAACAGCTCCGCGGTGGGTCTGAATCTTCGGGCCGACCTTGTCCAGCAGGTGCTCGTGCAGCGCATTGCGCTGGTTGTTCTTCATGTGGCATACGTCGCCGTAGATGTAGTAGTGATTGAATTCTCCCGTGTCCGCAGCTTCGTGGGCCTTCAGAACGGCCTCCTCGCAGTGCTCGGTGCAGTTGGCGTCCGTGAACATGCACTGCGCGACGTTATGGTCGCAGTAGTCCAGCAGCGTGAAGTAGTCTCCGCGCGAGATGAGCGCGTGCGAGTAGTAGTAGTCCATGTACGCGTTGCCGTCGATGCCCATGTCCGTGAGCGGGTTGCCAATGGCGAATCCCTTGAGGTTCACGCCGTCCAGCGGGTCGTCCACCAGTCGCTCCACCAGGAACGGGATGTACATGCCGGCGTAGCTCTCGCCCGTCACGTAGAAGTCGCGGCCCTGCAGCTCCGGGTACTTGGCGAAGAACTCGCGCAGGAACAGACGAAGGCGGTCCGCCACGACGTCGTCGTTGTAGTATCCGGTCGGAGCCTGCAGCGGCTGGCTGAAGCCGACGCCCGAGGGCGAGTCCACCCACACAATGTTGGCGCGCGCGTTCCAGCCGTACGGGTTGATGCCCACGGTGCCGTCGCGCTTGGCGACGAACGGCCCGTTCTCGGTGAAAAAGCCCTCGGACGAGGCGCAACCCGGGCCGCCGTTGAGCCAGAGCACGATGGGGTCGCTGTCGGGCGAGCGGCGTGACTGCGCATACCAGTAGAAGAGCTTCTCCTCGTTCGGCGTGGGCAGGTGCAGCTGGCCGGCGAAGTGCGCGAAGGGGACGTCCGCCTGCTTGAGACCAGGAAGATCGCCAACGCGGTGCGGGTCGTACGCGACGGCGGGGGACGCGAAGAGCATCGCGCCCAGCGCTGCAATCGCGACCAAGAGCTTCATCGTGGCAAGGATCAACCCAGCGCAGCAGCACGAGATGGACGTGGGAGTGTGGCAAGATGAAGAGTGCGATGTGTGCAAATGCAGTTGTAGTGCTTGAAATACAGAGGGACGGGGTGAACGTAACGGCTGAGCTCATAGTATAGTTAAATCAAGCTAGATGGGCAGTTGGGGCGCGAAGGGGCGTTTGTCATCCGTCTCCCTCCGTAGTCGATTGAGCCACGTCGGCCACAGGTTTGCGTACGATTGGTCACGGTCTCAACTGCCGCGCGTGCTGCCTTTGGTACACTCATCTGGTCATGCTTCGACGATTGAAGCTTTGTCATGGGAGAAGAGAGCTAATCCACTCCTTCCCTCCTCTCTTTCTTGCGTTTTGCAGCTGGACGATGCATTAGTTACTTCCATGTTTGCTCTCAACTCTTCACACATAAAGTATCCTCCCCTTCTTCAACTCTGTCATAGCCGTTGCTTCTCTTCCTTAGACCACGGCCTGGTAGCCGTTGGAGTACAGACGCTGGTAGCGGCCGCGCTTGCGGGCGTTGCGGATGGCAACAACGGCCAGCATCACGATCAATGCGCCGGGCATCGTCATCCAGCCCAGCGTCAAGCCGGACTCACCCGCATTGGCATTGTCATTAACCGCGCGGACCGAGTCGCCCGAGTCCACGTTGTTCACAGTCTGGACGACGGTCAGCCCGGCCTCGATCTCGTTGTCGTCCACCGGGTACACGAAATTGTTGCAGGCGTCTTGGCCGTACACGAAGCACTCGAACAGGTTGAGACCATGCAGCGGTCGCACGGCCGGCACCATGTGGCCAGCGCCCTTGACGGTCTTGAAGGTCAGGCCGTCGTACTTCTGCAAGTAGCCAGCGAGCTGCTTGTCGGGGCCAAACCAGGCGCGCCACTTCTCGGTAATGCGCAGCTTAAGTCCCTGGCCGCCGATCCAGCGCTCAGTGCCGATGAAGTTCACGACCGAGTCGGCGTCACCGCTGTAGATGAGCACCTTGAGGCCGCGGCCCAGGATGTTGTGGTACTTGGGCAGCGACGACGGGCTCGAAGCGTAGAGATCTCCCACCGGGTCACTGCATCCCTTCCAGACGACGTACTTGCCGCCAGGCTTGGTCACATGGATAGCTTGTTGCACCTCCGGTAGGTTCAGGTACGCGTGGGTGAGGGAATCAGCACAGGCGCCGATGTCTCCGCGGTGGGTGGGCGAGATCTGGGCCGACGGCTTGGCTCGCTTGCGGAGGGCCTTGGCCTGGGTGTTGTCCAGCAGGCAGATGTCACCGTAGATGAAGTACGGATCCAATGCGTCCGCGTTCGCGCCCACCTCAGCCTCTTCCAAGAGCGCCTCGCATCCGGCAGGGCATGGCGTCTCGTCAAACAGGCAGCCGATGTGGGCACCACACTCGACCTTGATCTTCTCGTAGGCCTCCAGCGACACCATCGCGTGCGAGTAGTAATAGTCGATGTACGCGTTGCCGTCAATGATGTTGTCCGTGAACGGGTTTCCAATAGCGAATCCCTTCAAGTTGACACCTTCGATCGGCTCCTCCACCAAGCGGTCGACGAGGTACGGGATGTACATGCCGGCGTAGCTCTCGCCAGTGATGAAGAAGTCGCGGTTCTTGAGCTCGCTGAACTTGTTGAAGAAGAGGCCCAAGAACTCGCGCGTCTTGGCGGCCACCGTGTCGTCGTTGTAGTAGTTGGGCCCCTCCACATCACCGCTGAAGCCCACGCCAGCGGGCGATTCGAGCCACACCATGTTCGCCTTGCGGTTCCACGAGTACCGGTTCACCTTGATGGACAGATCATCCCGCACAACGAACGGGCCGTTCTCGGTAAACAATCCGCCCAGCGACGAGCACCCTGGGCCGCCATTGAGCCACAGCACGATCGGGTCGTTCTTCGGGTCGCTTTGGCTCTCCGTGTACCAGTAGAAGAGCTTTTCCTTGCCCTCGAGCTCCAAGTGGCCCGAGTAGTGCTTGAACGAGAGCTTCCGGAAGTCCAGGCCCGGCAGGCTCGTGATCAGCGCGTCGTCGTTGCGCGCGCCTGAGACCGACACCAGCGCTGCCGCCGCGAAGCCCGCGAGCAGCTGGAGCGCCACCTTCATCTTCCTCTTCGTCTCCTGTCGATGCGCCGACGGGGAAATTGCAAGTGAGGCGAGGCGGAGCAGCAGGCCAGGCGCGCGCAACTGAGGGCGCGCGCGCAGAGGCGGAGACCAGACGCGAGGCTGGGTGGACTGCTGGACGGAGGCTACGCGCGACTGGGTGGTATCAGATACTCGAGGCGGTGACAGCCGTTTCAATGTACGCACTTTACACGCGATTTCCAGCCAATCACAGACTTTAGATATCTATTCTCAACCAATGAGAGGCGGGATTGGCAATCTTTTTCGAGATGCCACTTCAACTTGGTCAATACAATTTTCAAGTTCAAATGGATTGATATGGTGTCGTCGCGGATGCGAGCAGCTTCGTCGCTGTTAGTTAGTCGCCCTTGGACTCGCTTGGAGCGGGTGCTGAGCCGCCTGTGTTGTTGCTGTTGCTGCCGGGGACGAGCGACGCGCCCTTGCCGAGACGGTCGCACACGATCGTGATGTGCTTCTTGAGCCGCTTGGTGTCTTCCTGCATCTGCAGCTCGCTCGTAGCGAGCGTTGCGCCAGCTCCTTCCTTGTTCTGAGGCTGCTTGGCTAACACCGTGCGCAGCAGCTCTGTCATGGCGCAGTCGGTCCGCTCCTCCCAGCCCTGCTCCACCGCCCCGCTGTCGGCCGTCTCGTTCACGACGGGCGAAAGGTTGGCCTCCAGGAGCCGCGCGTCTTCGTCGCTCATGTGGAAGCGGAACCGAATTAGCATCAAGATCAGCGCCACGCAGCACGACAACCGGTTTGCGGCGCGTTTCAGCTTGGCTTCCACGGCCTCCATGGCGTGCGACAACGAGATGAGCTGGTCATATGTTCCGTGGAGCAGCACGTCCAAAAAGTTCACTGCTGCGGGGCTGCGGTCCTTGTAGCGCACCAGTAAACGCTTCTGGATGACGCGGAACTGGTGGGCCCGGTCGTTCAGCTGCGCAGCGAGCTCGAGCTTTTCCTTCCGTAGCGCGAAGTGCGCGTCAATAGCGCCGAAGAAATCCGCGAGCGGCAGTGGCTCCTGGTAAAACACCTCTAGTGCGGACGTGGACGCGCCAGCATCGCTGCCCTTTGCTTCTGCATTCTGCTCTCGGCTGTCAAAGAATGCTCGAAGGCGAGAGACGAGCTCCTGTGATACCATCCAGAGCGCCTCGAGCTCATTGGACTGGATGCGGTATCGGCCTGCGTTCTTCGAGACGAGGATCGTGGCTTCTACGCCGTTGTAGTATTGGAAGCTCAGCACATTTGTGCCAGAACCTCCTGCCACGACCTGTTTGGCCCATTCAGGTGTGCAACTTGGCTGATGCAGCATGTCTTCAAACAAATTCGCGAGCTCCAGCGGCTCTTGGTTGGTCTCGAGCGTGAATTTGAAGGTGCTGGACTTCACGGGAGGCACAAGGCGGCACGCCATGCACATCGGCAACTTGACAACGCACTGGGAGACGCGTGGTTGTCCTGTTTCCAGCGTGTAAGACGCTGAAATGGTTACGGAGAGCGACGTGGGCATGGCTAGAGTGCTGGGACGCAATACAACTGGGATGATCAGCGGTGTGGACGCCTTGCCGTCAATGCTCCCGATCACGAAGGAGGAATCGCTTGCAAGAACGTTCTCGGGAGTTGATACGGATAGCGTCACATTCGATACTCGCGTGGCCCCCGTGTACGTGACGTATACGCGCATTGTGAGTTGTGTGTTCTTGCCTGTAGAGTCTTGTCCCGTGTTCCCACCCCCTCGATTGAACTCATCACTCCGATCTGGCAGCGCATCCAGAATCGCAGGAACCTGAGCTCGAATCAACACGCGGTCCTTCGGCTCCGTTCGTCGCTCTCCCTGGGACCGGCGAATAACGTTGAGCAGCTGCCGGTGCTCCTCATCCATCTCCTCATAATTGATTTCTTTCGTATCTGGGGCCACCACGGCGGAGGACGGTGGGTCAGTGCCCATGTAATTCACGCTAAGCGCTCCATCAGAGTCGAGACTTACGATCATTCCCTCAATTCCACCAAACTCGGCAACTTGCAAAGCCACGGGCACCGTTGATGCGCACGCAGACCAAATGAGCGTCTTGTCCTTGAAGACCGACCAGAGTTTCGAGTGGCTGGCCACAAGAAGGTTGTCCAAGGCGGTAGTTCCCGGCGTTCCTCGCTCTGTGGGCGCTGCCCATCGTCGAAACGGAATAAACGCTGACGGGTGAAAACCCAATCGCTTCTGCAGATAAACTTCTCCCTGAGGCTTGATGCCAAACAGTGTGAATTCTCCAAGCACCAAAATGTCAAAGCTCGAGGCCGATTCCTGATACGAAGCGCGCGCCACGCGAATGTCCACGATCACTTCGCCAATATTTATCTTCCAGTCGCAATGCACCAATGCCGACGCCGCGTCGTGCTGTTTGTCCTCTTTGCTGTCTTCGTCCAACGCACTTCTCTTCTTTTTGAGCGACGCTGATGCCAGCACCTGGTAACGATAGCACTCCAGCTGCAAGTCCGATGTAGCAGCGATCACCGCATCCATGCCAGAGGCGTAGCATATCGCGCCAGGCAGGAAGTTGTTGTTGAGGGGCTGCAGGAACGCGAACCGGTCCTGCTCGAAGAACTGAAGGCGTCCGTCCAGCGACTGCACGCACAGATGATCCCGCTCTGACCGCACCGGTGAGCCTCCTCCCGAGTTGGAGGTTGACGACCCAAATGGTCCGTAGATGAAGTTGTAGGCTGTGAAGTGCTCGCCGTCGATGCCGAGCAAGTGCTCGTACCGCAGCGTGATCTTGAAGTAGCTGGCTGCCATGCCCGCCCCGCCCATGCCCTCCACCACATAGACGCCGATACGTCTCGGCTGTAGAATAGCCAACGCCAAGACGCGCTGGTTGCTGATACACAACAGCGACAACAATACACTCAATCAGTCGTAACTCTTCACCTACGTGGCTCTAGAGATCGGGACCCACGGGATGAAGTAGCCCAGTGCCAGCTGCAGGATGGGGCGACGTAAATTCTCCTCCAGCAGCAAGTGCTCGATGCGGAAGTCGCTCTGAGTGGGGCAATACACCCGCAGCACGCCGTTCAAGCTGCCCGTCACGATCTTGGCTGTGCGCACACCAGTCAAAAGTTCCAGTCAAAGGAGGGCGCCGCTACCGCACTACATATAGCTGCGCTCTACCGTGTCCGGAGGCGTCGTTGTCCACATTGCCCACCACCAGCGCCCCGGGCGTGTACTCCTCGTCGCGCTCGCCCTTGGCGGTCCACCACTCGCGCACCTGGAAGAGCGACATGTTGGCCTACTGCCAGATGGGGTATCTCAGCCGGAGCGGACGCGTCGTTTCAAGCTCCACCCGTACTTAGCACGATTCCTACGCCCTCACACTAAGTACGACTTAATGACCGAAAACATCAAAGGCATGACGTCGAGCATCATCGTGGGCGTCCGCCAGCAGGTCGTGGCCTTCGCGCCGCCGCTGCGCGAACGCGGGGCGCTGCGGGCCGTCAAGCGCGCAGCTGCAGCATACACAGACTCCGGCGCATCGGATGATGCCGATTGCGTGGTTGGAGGCAGCGTGGCCATCGCAGATTGGGAGATTTTCCGCTTTGTGTCATTCCTGCTGTCCGCTGAGGGATCAGCCGCGTATCCGGGCGAGTCGCGGCAGCTACTGACGCTGCTGGTGGCGCGCTGCACGAAGAAGACGGTCAAGCTGCCAGGCATGGAGGAATCGAAGACGTTTACTCACTGGGAGGACAGTGCAGCCCGCTATTCGCTGGCGGAGACTGACCGTGACAATGTGAGAGCGGTCGTGCTCGTCACGTACCGCCCGAAGCTGTTGCTGCCGCTGTACATGGCGTCGGCCAGAAGCGCCGTCAAGTTCGTCAATGCCGTCGTAGCGCTGGTGACGGCCAACGCGTACATCTCGACGCTGGGCGGCGGCCACTTTTTGTGTCGCCACTTGAACCAGTCGACGCTGCTGGCCAAGCTGCAGATCGGCATCTCCATGGGGCTCAAGGACCCCGTGCTCGAGAGCAAGTGCAGAGTGAATCTGATGTACAACGCGCTGCAGCTGGGCAAGTTCAAGCGCGCGAGGCGCATCTTGAAGTGCGAGGAGCTGGTGGCCGAGCAGCTCGACAGCAGCGAGCTGCGCAAAGTTTGCCACGCTGCGAACGTGTACATCGACAAGATGGACCGGCTGCATCAGGAGCAAGTGCTGTTTCAACGGAAGAGCGGACGCCCGGCAGCGTTGCACGACAACTTCTACCGCCAGAGGATCGTCCGCATGACCAAGTGAGAAGGAAGAGGGAACGCACCTGCTGCGACGAGCTCACTGAATATTTTACTACGCTTCGTCACGACAGCCGTAACTACAGGAAGCCAATGTATTACCTATCCATACCTACAGCACTTGGGTTTATTACATGTAGTTTAACATGCGGCGAAGCATCTGCGATGAGAGTGTGGCTGAACCTGCAAGCGAGTCTATCTCGTGTACTACGAGTCACGATCCCATCTTCTGCCACAGTTGTTGAACACGCACGTTGCATACCCTGTATACGGACCCTGGTTTAATGGGGCGTCACCACGACCACCGACAGCAAGTCCGGTCGGCGATCATACAACTTCATCTCAAGATCTGTTCACTGCTTACGGCGGAGACCGGACCAAGCACGACACGCGCGCTGTCTTACAAGCTTTAATTTTGTTGCCACTCGTCAATTAACCCTTACAGTACCGGTTTGTACTTAAAGGACTTGCAGGACCTGCATGTTCAGCCAGTCAGCGTAGTGTATTGAGAAAATATTGGCGAATGGGAGGCAGGCAGAAAAGGCTGGGAAATTGACGTTTGTCAACTATTCACATCGTTTTGACAATAACGCTTGACTTGGTGGTACCCAGATTTTGGTACTCCCAGTCAGTAGTCCGGCCGCCCCATCAAGACGGTGGACGACCCCACCGCCTCCCAGGTGGACACGGACATCCGCGCGATGCAAGACGGCGGCATCGTGCTGCTGGAGAACGAACGCTCCTGCAAGCAGGAGACCAAGAACGACCCCAAGTTCCCCGGACTGCTGGACCACAGCCCCGACGTCTACATTATCGACGCGTTTGGCATCAGCTACTGCCCGCAAGCGCCCACGAAAAGCGTGGCCAAATACAAAGGAGGGTGTCAGTGGCTCATTCGGTGCTGGAAAAGTATGTGTTGTCGGGCCTGCTGGGCATGTACGGCATCGCCAACCATCGATGGAGCTGATGAAGCGTCTGACGATCGGTGTGGGCTTGCGACCCAGTCCAGCGTGCTGTTCCTGGACGAATCGACCAGTTGCTTGGATGTGCACTCACCCAAGCTAATCACGGATGGCGTTTGTAAGGTGGCGGACAGCGGATGGACGCGCCATCGTGTGCACGGTTCACCAACCTTCGTCTGATGTGTTTTCCTGTTCGGCCGCCTACGGCTTCATACGCGTGGTGGCGAGACTGTGTTTGTTGGTGAACTGGGCGAGAAGTGCGAAAATCCGGTGAACTATCTAGAAGCAATCCCAGGCACGCAGCTTCTTCCAGAGCGCCAAAATCCAGCCACCTGGTGGTCGGCGCTGGTTTGAACAGCAAGGTTACGACTGATTTTGTGCAGCACTTCAAGGGAGTGAGGAGAAGGATATGCTAGACGCAGCGCTGGAGATACCCGGAGTGAACCACCCAGCCCCTGGGGTCCCAGAAACGATCTTCACGAAGAAGCGCGCGACGAGATCGCTGACGCAGCTGTGGTTTCTGGTGAAGCGGCTCAACGACCGGTACTGGTGCACACCCTCGTACAATATCACTCGGTTCGCGATCTCGCTGATGCGGTCAATCGTCTTTGGTGTACTATAAGACATACCAGATCAACTCGGTGGTATGAACTTTAGGACAAGCTGCTCAACGGTGTTCACTGGCACACTTCCTATCGCATCTGCCGAGAGCCCGGGATTTCGCGAGTGAGCATCGCAAAGTTACAATTGTTTTTGGTACTTCGTGAATTCAACGGTGAGCGTAACTCGCCTACGTCTTCTTGATTGGCAGGCTCATTACACACCGTCTTCTACCCCTTCAGACTTAGTCTCTTCTTTCGTACAGTACAAATGTAATTGCTAAAGATCACTGTATCTAAGGTAATGACAACAGCACTTATCAAAACTGTGAGCTGGCCCTAGGGCCACGAACGAAGTTGCAATATACGTAGTACGTAGTAAGATAATGCATTGCAGCTGCTTCTGATGGTTGATTAATCGAAGCGTCAGCATCGCGAGTTCGGAAGACGCCGAGGAACACGAACACGTTGCCGAGGTTGCTCCAGAAATCAGAATGCTTCATGCGGTAGTGATCAACGAAGTTCTTCATGGTGGTGTGGCTGAGAGTGAGGGGCGCCTTCCAGCTGCTAGCAGGCCCGCTCGAAGCCACCATTCTCGTACAAGTTACCGCCAGGGCGCTGTTCCGTTACTGCAGTTAGTTAAGGCCAGCGCGTTGAGAATGCCCATGATGTACTTCTGCGGAGCTGTCAGGTATTACAACCAAAAGGCTGGAGGATTGAAACCCGTAACAACAGGTAGATCGAGTAGTAGAGCACACAGAGGACTGGAACCACCTCTACACTCGACAGCGCATACATCAAGAGCCGGCCCACATACGCCTGTATCAGCATGAAGAACAACCTCGTGATCCAGTACATTGCCCCGGACGCGTGGATCGTGAGCCCGTGTTCATCGAATATCCCGTTGAGGCAGTCGAGCTGATTTCGGAGCAACAAGCTCAAAATCCGCGTCAAAACTTCGTGTCAAACCGTTTTGGCCCCGATGCCGCAGCCTTCGGCCCGCAAGAAATACGAGCGACACCGCAAGTGGACGCCCGGGAAGGTATAAGCCCATGCGGCAACCCGTACGTGAACTCCGCATCGCAGAAGTCCGCGACACATGCGCGCACCCACTCCACTCCATCATTGCTCCCCTCTGTCCACCAAAGGATGCGCACAGTGTGTGCGGTTGGCAATGGGAACTTGAATGATTTAGCTTACTTCTCAGTGATCCGTCTATCCTTTGTTAAAGTGGTCGTGTGACTACAAACTCTCTTTAGTGGTATCAATGAAATCAATATGGAAGCAAAGTACATTGTGTCGTGACCTCATTACCACCTACACGCCTCTACTAGTATCGCTTACCACTCAAAAAAAAATTTAACCCATTTTTTCTGTTCCTTCCTAAACGCAGACTTGACGAGCCTCGGGAGGGGCTTGTATACTTCCTCTGTTGGTTCCCATTTCACGTCCGCTGATTCGACGCCGTTCGCGTCCGTGCTGGTCCTGATAATACGGTCAACTGGGTAGAGGTCCGTCGCAAGCGAGCTTTCTGGATTCTGTGGCTCGACCTCGTTCCCACGTTTCCCATTGCCGCTCTTGAGGAGGGTTGCTGTCGTTATCTTCTTCCTGACACCCCTCACGTACTGGTCTTCTAGGACTGTTGTAATCACCATCTCCAGCTCTTCCGCGGTCGTTGCCTTGCTCACAGCAAACAAAACAATCGCACGGGCGACGCAATCATTCACGCGTAGCCCTTTTAGGTGGCCTTTGCAGAGTCTTTCACAGAGCGGACGCGAATCATGGCGGCTCACTTTCATGTAGGGAGGTTGCTGAGCGCAAATTAGGTATGGTGGTAGTGAGTTCATTCTTCCGCGACAAAAATGAAACCTCTGTGGACTTCAACTTGTGTTTCTCTCAATATAGATATATACATAGATATCATCATCCTAGCAACAGAAACTGGGTGCTGCTTTCGCCACAGACTACCCCGTGTCATGAGAGGAAGTGGCGCTATCTTCACATGAACCTCGGCATGTTAGTGTTTCTACATATTTTTCAGCTATGAGCAGCCGGCAAAGTTAGGCTTGGCCTTCTCGTGATCTCGCACGTGCAACTCGAACATACGGTATTGGAACGGTCCTCCAGCCGTTTATACATGAACGGCAACAGCCAACGGCGTTTTGCTGTTGAAAAGACGGCGACAACGGCAAACAGGTTGCCGTTTCTACAAATTCCTGGAAGTTGCTTGCTTTTGGGTGGAGAAGCGAGGAAAATCAGTCCAAACGTGCGCTTCCCACCGCCTAACATATACATCGAGCAAGCTGAACGCATCACCCCG